ACCAGGCTTAATAGTTAACTAATAAAGGGTTCGCTTTACACTTATGTGTTTACAAATTTTTTTTGTACTTAAATGAACTTTCTGGGGACCATAACAACTTAATTGAAATAAAGGTGTTATGGTGCCATGAGATCCTTGATACTGGTTCATCTTTAGGAGTTAAACTGTTCATGACTGGTATAACCCCAAAGCCTGTGTTTCAGCATGACATTCTGTATACATGCAACAACTGCTTAAACCTAAACACACCCTGACTTTAAGCAGTGCTTACCACGAACACCCACTAAAAGACCCCCTAACAAATGTATCTACAAATTCACAGCACTGTGCTTTTTACTCTCTTTTTTTCGCCATGTATATATAATGTTTTATTCTGTACCATTTTACATGTCAGGAATAATGAATTTATTAAATCATATTCTACTGCAAAAAATAAACTGTGCAGGCCCCTTTAGTTTATTTTAATATATTTACATTACCAGCCGGAGTATACAGGCCTCCACTCTCTTATAGTAGTGCAGCCTTGAGTCACTCCATCTCTATATGTGCAAAGTGTGCCAACCCAGTATGTCTGGCTCCCCTCCTGTGCAGATTAGTGTGTAAACTCAATGAGCCTGTATAAATCTCTATGCCTTGAGGCTATGGAATTCGGTGTCTGGAGGGAGTAACAAAGCAAAGAGCACACTGAGAGACTGAAGAGCTTATGTATTCCTATGCAGAGTGAGCACCTTGACCTGTACAATGTATATTCTCATGCTAAGTGCTGGTTTCCCTTACGTTAGACATTCATATGGGTTATTTTACGAGAATCACAGATACATTACAAGACATTTGCCGCAGTTGGACAATGCAAAACCAATTAACCATTAAACACCAAAAATGAAAAACTTATCTAAACCTGACACACACGTGTTTTTATTAACTAAACATTCCTGTAATCTCATTTACCAATCATAGATCTCACCTGGATATATTTAAATAGGACCAGATCATGAAAGTGTACATATCCTCAGTTGGCATGGATTATGACATATAGTAATGGAAATGTAATACCTGGGTATATACAATATCACAGGGAACAATCAATAAAAAAAACCTAAAAAAAACAGCGACAAACAAACACTAACAACCTCTATGACGAGCATTATTTAGTTGTTCACCATGTTTCTCAATGACGTTCTGAGGAGGGATGCAGTCTGGAGACCACAGCTATACCAAACCTGGGTTAAATTAATTGAAATGTCAGAATAAGAGGTCATAGTAAGCTGTTGGCTTGCACTTGCCAGTATCCTACACTCGTATAAACTCATTAAGGACAACTCCATGACTCCAGGGGTGGAGCCGTGAAAGGGGTCCTAAAAAATCCTGAGTTTAATTTTGCCTCATTTTTCTTGTTAGCCCCGAGTCCCATGTAATACTGAGAGAGAAATAACTCCAATTGCACAATTTGTAACAGTGCCACCGTAATACACCATATTTGAAGGTACATATAAACAGCAGTGTGGTATTGACATGGGTGCAGTATTTTAATGGATGGTTAGTTAACACATTGGAGTTTGGGATTAATTTATAGATTTAAAAAGTATTCTGAATTCTAATATTTGGTGTCACAATGTGATGTGTTAGGGTTTAAGGTTACACTTAGGGCATGGTTTATAGCTTGTTTTTAAGAAAAACAACTTGACAAAATATGTGCAAGGGCCATAATATTTACCCTTGGGCTGAAGCCCCCTGTCTTTTTGCCACCTAATAACCTAGCCACCTAAAACAGAAAAACACACATTCTCCCAGGTCCAGCCTAGAGTGCTGGAAACATTGAGAAGAGTGCTTTTCCAATTAATCTATTTCCCTCACCCTCAACAGGAGTATTAAAAAATTAAGATTGACTTCAGTTCCATACAATATATTTCCAATGTGCTAAGGGCAATAAACAGCAAACATTTAGCAATTTTTGCTCCACAATGTTGAGAACCTCTTTTGGAACCACAAAAACAGGTTCTCCTGTTTGGATCATACTTATTGTGCCTTACGATACAACCCATTAAGGTCTTTGTGGTATGTTGCATTGTCTACACAATTGCTGTTGACAAACATCTGTTGAGTGACAGGGGGCTAATTAACCCTCACAAAATCACTGCTTTTAAGGGAGTAGACAGAATCCCTTATTCTCCTCAGCCTCTGCCATTGATAAAGGTTCTATTGACAAGCAAGACAAGTTCTGCCAGAGTTTGTGTCTGTTATGGGAATGATATCTCAAGTGTTCCTGATATTGACTATAGTTCAGCCATTTGCTAGATGTTGCTGGTTGTTGATCCAAAGAGTGGAACAAGACTTGGCGGATGCAGAATGGGGAAACCAAGTGAGGGATCATGGGGCTAGATATTATCTACTGTATTCTTGCACCTGCATTTGCAATCACTGTGTTCATTCTTTACCTGCCTGTTAACCTAAGATATTTGTATACCTAATTCTAAATCACTTTATCAATGTACAATACTAGCCATTTAAACAAATAATAAATTACATTTATAATACATGTGAAGACATCTTAAACGGCTGACATAAGATGTCATCCTGGGGCGGGGCCTGACAGCGAAGATGGCCAGACGCACTTTTTAGGAGCTCCTGCAATCACAGGCCCAAAAGCAAATATACCAACTGACAGGACAGCATAAGCAGCAAAAGGTGATCGGGAGCGGACGCATGACAGCACCCAGCGCACAATGATACAAACCCGGCACCGATACGCCGCGGAAAAGCTGCAACAGGCCATGCGGCCTAACCTAGCGCAGAGCGTAAGGCCCACAGAGGACAGTCGACCGCCCTGCACGGTACAAGCTCCTACACAACAGCCCAAAGCAGCCCTGCTACCCCCCCCTTTGGACCGGAGGGGGACATCCCGGTCCTCGCTGGGGACGATTACCCCCACAAGCGCACGTGAACAAGCAGCGAACTTGCTAAGCAAACGAAATCCACAGGGCCCGGCCAAGATGGCGACGCGGCCCCAAGCCAAGCACATGAGCATCGCACCACCCAAGCACACAAAGGACTTTGTGGACTTGCTACGATTCCACCTCTGGGCGAAGCTTGAAGCCAGGAGACAACCCTACCAGAGGGCGATGAGAGCGGTGGCGGCGTGGATTCGCCCGACCACCCGGCGTACCTTACAATGGACTCCCCCTCACAACTCCAGAGCAGCCTCCAAACGAAACTGGAGCCCAGGCTCAAACAGGCGGGAAACGGCGCAGGGCCTTCTGGACGCCAATTCTCACGACCCCGCTCCGCAGAAGAAGATCCGACATGCTTCTCACTCAGCGACCACAGAAAACAACGAGCAGCAAAGCATAAGCCTGCACACAGCGGCCCACAAAGCCTGGGGTGCCGAAGACCGAAAAAAAACGAAGCTAGATCCCAAGAGACGCAACAGGCAGAAACCCCACTCACGACATACAGGAGTGGAAACCCAGAAGAGACCCTCACCCAACTGCACAAGCAAGACTGCCAAAATGGGCATCGGTTGAAACAACAGAACCTCAAGCACCTCACGGTCTATGGCCGACAACCCTGCCCATAAAGCAGAAACTGATATTCTCAGCAGACGGAGGCAAGGCATCTATATTGGGCTTAGTGTTAGGCATGTAACCTCTCTATACCTGACTTACCCTCAGATAACAAGCTAAAATTTATTGTTCACATCTCGGCACACACCTTTAACATCAGAACCGGACTAATTATTAGTGCATGCCAACACACTGTTGCCCCTGTGGTTCTGAAGTGACAGGACGCCTTGGAAATTTACCCTTCTCTCTTACCAGCAGCCTACACCAACTACAGGACTAATGTGACGCAAATTACTGTTGTCTATATTTTTACTTTTTCTGAAACCTGCTGCTGAGACCAGTATAGCGAGAGAACAGAATTGTTAATAGTCCTTTGCATTGCTCTTGCAGATACACTAGCTTATACACTGCATTTGTGTAAAACAGGAGATTCTCATTCTGTTAACTTAATATATACAAACTCATGTTATGGTAGCCTAAATGTTTTATCGCATAGTTAGCAAACCGCCTTAACACTGTACCAGCGTACGCGAAGTTCTAATGTTAAGCTTGAACCAGCAATATATTGTCTAAGCATGTAAACTTTGTTTTGCATAATAACCCTACGGCACCCATTAGCACACACTCGCATAGGTCTTGCTACACTACAGGCAACACATCACAACCTTACTGCAGCACGTCATACGAAAACATATGTAGTCAACCAAGCGAGAATCTGTCTACTTGCAATGCTGCCCTAGCTATAAACATCTTCCCTTACACGCAAAGCAACATACCTTAATGTACCACCAAGCGAGAACAACTTTACTACGTACACACTTAGACCAGCATGTCTATCACAAACCACAAATGTTTTATAGCTTGTTAATTTCATGTTGAAAAAAGATAAAAACTGTGCTGTTTAATCTGCCACGCTATGTGATGCTATGCAACTGCTTGCAGCAGCTGTCGTGGCTCTGCATGCTCAATGTTAATCCATGCACAAATAAAATAAAGAATAAAAAAAAAAAAAAAAAAATATTAATAAGATGTCATCCTAACTGCAACCTTACTCTGAGCTAATAACTACATTTACATTAGAAGCTGTAGAAAAATAAAAATAATAATGGAAATGGACTATTTAGAAAGAAAAGATACAGTATGAATGATTATTTAAAATGAGCTACTTACTGGTAGGTAGTCTGGGCATTTCTGTAGAAAGTTGGACCAGGAAGTCCTTCCAAAGCTTTGATGTTCATCTTGCTTTAGATTATCTCCTCCACTGTATAAAACATTAGCTCTGCTGGTGGTCCCATCCATGTCTTTCATATACGAGGTGACTTAGAGCATCTTGTTTTTTTCCCTTGTTCTCTAGCAGTGATCCCATTGATTCTGGTAGGATTCAACTGTCCCCTTGGTGACCCCTAACACTATTGACTGCATCCTTGACCTTCTCTAAGGCTAGACTGTTGCGGCTTTTATTCCCTTCCTGCCTTCTCTGTGCCAACCAGGTCGGTTTTGTTCTCCATTACTATTTTAACCATGGCAGTGTTTTTGTCAGGGGTGTCATTAAGCCACCTTTTGCTCTCCGGTGAAAGTTTTGGCTTGTGAGTGTGTTGACTCTCTCTGTGTAGGTTGCATGGTTTCTCCAGCTGCTCACCAAGTCTCACTGTTGCTCCTTCTCTCTCTTAGAGGTCTTTCACCATAGGCCTGGTAGCTGGCCTCCTTTTACCCCATCTTCCTATCCCCCCATCTGTATCTCATTCTTCACCTGTCTCTACTTGTGTTGTCTCATGACTACCAAATCTCTCAATTTTAGGTTCCTGTCACATTGTCCCAGGTTTGCTCCTTGGTGCCCCACATCTGGGGACACCAGGAAATGTCCCAATCCGTGCAATGAGCTAAACATACTACTTTGCTCATCTTCAACTTTAAAACCACTGATAGGTGAAGTCCAAAAAGCGCCTTCAATGGAGACATGAGAGTCAGAACTGGACCATGGAGCAATGGATGAAGGTTGACTGGTCTGATGAATCACGTTTTCTTTTAGAAGAGGCGAATGGCCAGGTGTGTTTGCATCTTGGGTCCTGGCATTAATGTGGATGTTACTTTCACACGTACCACCTACCTAGAGATAGTTGCAGACCACATACCCCCCTTCATGGTAATGGTGTATCCTGATGGCAGTGGCCTCTTTCAACAGAATAATGCACTCTGCCACACTGCAAACGTTGTTCAAAAATGGTTTGAAGAGTTCAAAGTGTTGCCATAGCCTCCAAATTCTCCAGACCTCAATCCGATTGATCATCTGTGGGATGTGCTGGAACAACAAATCCTGCTCCACCTCGCAGGACTTAAAGGATCAGCTGCTAATATCGCTGTGCCAGATATCACAGACACATTCAGAGGCTTTGTGGAGTCCATGCCTCGACACATCAGATCTTCACACAATATTAGGCAGGTGGTTTAAAAGGGACACTAAAGTCACCAGAACAACTACAGCTTATTGTATTTGTTCTCGTGAGTATAATCATTCGCTTCAGCCTTTTTTGCTTTTCAGAGAAAATGCAATGTTTACATTACAGCCTAGTGATAACTCCACTGGCCCCTCTTTAGATGGCTGCTAGAGCTGCTTCCTAACTCAGTCTTGCCTAGTATGCATCACAACATTCAGTGTCTTTACCCTCTGCATGCATACACTGAACTTTCCTCAAAGAGATTAATTCATTCAATTAATCTCTATGAGGAGATGCTGATTGGCCAGGGCTGTGTTTAACTTGTGCTGGCTCTGCCCCTGATCTGCCTCATTCACAGTCTCAGACAATCCTATGGGGAAGCACTGTGATTGGCTCAGAATAACACTTCTGATTATGTCAGCAGACAGCTTGCAGGTCTGAAGCAAACAGGGGTAGAGCCAGCAGCTTCAGGCTGGAATACAAGTAAGATTTTACTATATTTAGGGAGGCAAGAGAGGGCCAGGAGGGCTAGGTGTTGGCTTTAACACTATAGGGTCAGAAATAGGTTTGTGTTCCTGACCCTATAGTGCTCCTTTAATGCTGAGATGATCAGAGTATATTAATCCCCTTCTCTCTCCTTCCTTCTTCCATTTTAGATAACCTTTAACCCCTTAAGGACACATGACATGTATGACATGTCATGATTCCCTTTTATTCCAGAAGTTTGGTCCTTAAGGAGTTAAAGGAACACTATAGTCACCTAAATTACTTTAGCTAAATAAAGCAGTTTTAGTGTATAGATCATTCCCTTGCAATTTCACTGCTCAATTCACTGTCATTTAGGAGTTAAATCACTTTGTTTCTGTTTATGCAGCCCTAGCCACACCTCCCCTGGCTATGATTGACTGAGCCTGCATGAAAAAAACTGGTTTCACTTTCAAACAGATGTAATTTACCTTAAATAATTGTATCTCAATCTCTAAATTGAACTTTAATCACATACAGGAGGCTCTTGCAGGGTCTAGCAAGCTATTAACATACCAGGGGATAAGAAAATCTTAATCAGAACTTGCAATAAAGAAAGCCTAAATAGGGCTCTCTTTACAGGAAGTGTTTATGGAAGGCTGTGCAAGTCACATGCAGGGAGGTGTGACTAGGGTTCATAAACAAAGGGATTTAACTCCTAAATGGCAGAGGATTGAGCAGTGAGGCTCCAGGGGCATGTTCTATACACCAAAACTGCTTCATTAAGCTAAAGTTGTTCAGGTGACTATAGTGTCCCTTTAAGGCATAACAATTGGCAAAATTCATAGAATATTAGCAGGGTTATTCGCTAAAGTGATAATTCAAGGTGAATTCATAGTGAATTTAAAATTTAAGTTAAAAATACCTGAATTGGAAAAATTCTCTCAGTCTATGCTTTCCATTCAACTACTCCGGATTCCCAAGTTAGTGAATAACCCTGCTAATATTCTATGAATTTTGCCAATTGTAGGCCTTACCTTTTTAGTTTTAACCTGTAGGATTTGCATTTATATATATTTTTTTGTCCATCCTTTAAATTTGAGAGTGCCATAAGTGTATTTTTAGTTCCCTTATTGCTTAAGAACACATAGGATCTGTATATACATCATTGATTTAACAGGGTCAAGTGACTGCTGCTATTGACTGAGTCACTTAGTGGATGCACTGGGGGAAGGAGTGATAAGAGCTAAAGATACTGCTTGAATTTACGCTCAGGGTTTTATTCACTAAACACTGAACTGTAGTGAAATGAAAATTGCATTACAAAATTTAAATGGTTACTCCTAGCACCATAACCACTTCACTGAGTTTTTCTGCAGCTTTGCAGTGAGAAACTATTTGGGTATCTGGTTTTCAGATGTGTAACTCCACCTACTGTGTCATAAGAAGTTCTGGGCAGGTTAATATCAATTATTTGCTAAATTAGCATCTGATGCCAGCACATACAGCATACTAGCACCAAAGAGCTAATGGTGGCATGCCACCCCTGTCCTTCTCATAGTCCTCCCTCCCTGAGCTTCCTACACCTCCGATGAAGGGGGGTAACATCGGGGGAATTGGACTGAAGGGAGAATTTCGCCTTGGCAACAAAAGAGATATTAAGCTCTTTTTGGCAGAAATGGAACAAAACTGATCTTAATAGAACTGTCTGTGACAAGCCTGGTCTTGATAGACTGGAAAGGTGCAAAGTTTGACCAGATTATGACTTAACTGAACTGTCAAAAATGACAAAAGTTGATAGACTGGAGCAGGACTAAACTTGACTGGATTGTGACTTCTGCCAAAAGGATTCTGCTTAAAGATTAGGCCATATGAGGTTCCTAGTTACAAATTGCAGCGTGGCATTTTTTTACTATCACTTTTATCAACATGTCTCACAATCTCTTAATCAGTGTATATATCAGTTTCTCTTTGTCTCTATTTCATGGCCCTTTTTTTCCACGTTCTTGCCCCTTATTTCTTTCTTTCTCTTCTGATTATTCGAAGTTTATCTTGCATTTTTCTCATGTCTCTTTATTGCAACTAGTCTTGTCTTTTTGGTTTTACATCTCATTCTGTCTATAATACGTCGCTCTTTCAGGACCAATGTCATTCAGAACATCTATAGGAAATATAAGAAATTTTTAAGTTTGGTTACTTTGATGAAAAATTAAGCTAATTCAGTTTCCTCAATATAATTCACGGTTAAATGAAAAAAAGAAAAAGAAAAACAGTGAGAATGTCAGAGATGGTGGTCTGCATTGTCTGAAGGCAAACAGAAAGACTACAGATGAGGAGAACATCTGATCTTCTCAACCGACATATAGCCACATTGGGGATGTCCACTGTGCCCTAAATAGTAGATGGAAAAACTCCAAAATTAGCGACTGCACCCCAGAAATCTGAGACAACATCAGTGGCAATACTCACTGCAAGGAATACTTTGGAAAGCTAACTTGCTAATAATTAGATCTCTTTGAGTAAAGTAGCCATTGTTACAGAATAACAGCTGAGAAACCATGGGGACTGAAGCCTCCCTGTTCCTTCCAGCTGGTGATCAAAGGAAGGTCTCTTTTGTGACTTGGGGCCCTGTCGCAGGTTCAATCCCTGCTATTCCTATTGTTCTGCCAGTCACTAGATAACACATGTGCATTGATATTCCCCATCTCATTTGCTGTGTACCTATTACCCATAAAACACCTCTTTTCACAACAGCTGGAGAGGACCCAAAATGACTGTTTGATCTCACCACATCAGTCAAGTTGTAATCAGTTTTTTTTAATATGTTAAAATAAACACCATTCAAAAGCACAAATATAAGAGACTTCTGCTTTTTTCAGTCACAGTACTTTACGTAAATACCTCCGTCTTCATATTTGCTTAGTTATTTCTAAGTTTTATTACTGTCCGTGTTGTTCTACGCATTGTTATTTACATTACATTTACAGTTCTTTTGTCACTATCAAGAATTGACAACAACAAACATGGCGTTCCTAAAAAACACAACATATAGAATGTTTGTTTTTCATACTCTTGTGATTCATATTTCTTTCAGGAGATGGTTAATTTTAAACTGTTTTTCATGCATGCAAACTGTGTTTTCTCTCTGGGTCAATCCCTTTTACTAAGTATTACACAACAGAGACCACGTTTCTACAGCTGGGTGTGAGGAATGGGGCACAAATGAGAAATTCCTGTAAAAAGGAGTGTATGTGTAGGGGGGGGTAGAGTGCTTGATTAAACTGGTTTGAACTGCCCTTTGCTTATAAAAAGGAAGCCACACAAGAAGAGATAGAGGGGGGTACACACATACACATATACACAATCAACTTCAGCAAGCATGTCGCCTCTAGGGTCCAGTGTCAGTTTGGATTTAAGTGTAGTTCCCTTCAAAATGAGAAAGCGGCTTGGTAAGGTTGACAGGTGACAGTGCTGTAGCGACGATTTGTTGTGTCAGATGGCTTTATGTGTCAGTATTATGCAGTGCTCTTTTTGACAATTTTAAGTAGTGTTTTTTTTATGTTACATAAGACTTTGGGCTATTCATTAAACAGTTAATTAATGGTAAAAGGGGAAAAATTAGGCAAAAAATAAAATGGTCAGCTACATTTACGGCTTGAATATTTTGGCTTAAATTTTGCACATCAAGTTTTCAGTTCATGCCATATAACTATTTGGTGAACAGGTCTGTGTGCATTGAGAGAAAACTGCTACGCTGGGTAATATGTTAGCGCACTACAAATATGAATAACCTGCATTGGATTTTGGGATTGGGTAGTGATAAAACATTATGCATTTTCTGCAATGCCACATAAATCTTAGTTGTTGTTTGTTTGTTTGTATGTTTGGTTTGTTGTATGTTAGTTTTGTTTTTTTTTCCTAACCATTTAATGTTAAGTGATATTGACGAAAACAGTAATATTGCAACAGATTGCTGCATCTACTATTAAAGACGTATCTGTGGATTTGTGATGTTAAATTGTTACAATATTTTTTTTTTTTAAATACCTCTGTTAAAGTGTTATCTCCATATTTATTGTAAAGTGTCTATTTCTCGCAGATAGCCGGATTCATGAGGTGAACAGGATGAAGAGCAGATATCCTTCAAAAATACCGGTAAGAGAAAAGGGGGTTTAAAAAAGAAATCTTTACAAGCAAGGAGGATGTATAAACTTGCAGCTTTGCGATAGGATTTAATTGGGACCTGTACAGATATATGATATGATAACAGTAACACAGTTCTACCCTATTTTGATTGGCCTGAATGGGGGTTCATTCATTATTCTGGGGCAGGGGTGGGGAACCTTTGGCACTCCAGATGTTGTGGACTACATCTCCCTAGATGCTTTGCCAGCATTATGACCGTAAGAGCATTATAGGAGATGTAGTCCAAACATCTGGTGGGGGGGGGGAGGTGGGGCTTCCCCACTCCTGTTCTAGGGTATGTGGACAAGGCAATTGCAAATTGCAGGTAAATTTACCTGAGGCAATACAAAATAACTGATCTGGAGAATTATTTCCAATTTGGCTAAACATTTGCAGTTTCTTTACCAAGTCTCCACAACTAAACTAAAGTTTAATGAATAAACCCCACTGTTTATAAAATCTCAATGTGGAAAGGAGGAAAATGCATAGAGATTAAAATGTAAATACATTTTTAATACACCTAAAAATATTTATCTTCTTTTTAGAAAGTGAAATAGGGTATACGAGTTGTCATGAGGGCATGTTCACTAAACAGAGATGTGAAAAATAATTCAGACACAAAGTGCAAAATTTAGGCTAAAGAAGTGTTTGAGTTGGAGATCTTTTCTAAATTAGCATTCTGCCTGCATTTTGCATCATAAGAATTCACAGTTTGGTAAATAAACCTCTTTGGGTAATTCAGTAAACCACACATTGTTGGGAATTTAAATTTTAATACTGATGGTATTTTGTCCTAAAATTTCAGGAATTCAGTTTACTTAATTGATAGTGTTAGGTCTTACCTAACTATGACCTCCAAACAGTAGCTATAGTTATTAAAGGGTTTCTCCAATTCTTTTTGCCATATTCTAAAAATATTTTAAAGACGTTTTACTTACCTAAATCCAGCGCCGAGGAAAGCTCCTGGTGCACTCCTTTTTGTCATCACAGGTGCTGCACAGCGGTCCAATCAAAGGTTCCTTTGATTTGACCATCTAGGCGGCTCAGAGCACACGTGGCGCTCTGAGCCAGCAAAAGGAGGGGTAAAGGGAGGTAAAGAATGGACAAGGAGGGGGGTTGTCTAAAAAAGAAAAAAAAAATGTAAAAAATATGGGATAGGGAAGAGGAGGGCTGCAAACAGTGTAGAAGTGTAGCGGGGGTGCACTTGATGTTTGAAGTGTGTGTCCAGTTTTAAATTTTTAAAAAAATGGAGATATTAATACATATTGGCATTTTTCTAAACTAACCTTGTTACACCCAGTGGCTTTCAAGCAGACTTCAGGTCCTGTTACTTCCTGGTTGGATAGCTCGGTGGTGCTAAACTCAAGATGCAGCAATTTCTCAGAGCTCCTGCCTTGCACAGATTTTTTATTGACCTGCATTAGAATGTCTGTGATTGAACAATTACAATAGTCTGAGCTGGGGAAGAGAGGGAGGGCTTGCAAAGGCTGCACACAAGAAATTTACACCTTTTGCAAATGGTTTTTAGATATATCCCCAATGAAAAAAATGCCTAATTAAATGAGTACATGTTTTCAATGCCTAATTAAATGAATACATGTTTTTCAATCTAGTAAACAGTGTTTTTTTATTTATGCAGTGGAAAGTAAAAAAAGTTTTACATAAACCTTTTCTAGCATTGAGTCTCACTATGTGCAGCCGCCCACTCCGCCTCATGTGACATCATCCTGAAGGCTGTCTACTCATCCAATTCCAATCCAAAGCTTGTCACAGGGAAGAATTGAATGCAATGCTTTCCTATAATAAGCATCAGAGGACATTTTAAAAACTATTTTACAATAATGCGTACAACCAAATAAAAAAAAATTATATGGCGGCAATACCTAATCGAGCGCAACACGCTGACCCGCTTAGTTTCTCCAGCATAGTGCTGGCGATAGCAGCAGCAATAATTCATACTCACAATCATCTTCCACCTCAGATGTTAAATGTGTTTTGAAAAACAGAGCATATATTAAGAATTTCCACTTCCTACACTCCATGCCTTCGTCAAAATGACTCCCACACATTTTTCCTTTGCAGTTGTCTTATTCTTCATCTCTCTATCTCTTCATCCTCAGGTCATTGTCGAAAGAAATCACCGAGAGAAGCTCTTGCCTAATCTAGAAAAGATCAAATACCTGGTGCCCCCAGAAGTCACCCTTGGGCAGTTTGTCAGTATGATCAGGTGAGAGGGGAGATGAATGAAGCTATCAAAATGGATGCATGTTTGAGGCAGGGGAGCAAAATAAAAGAATGAAGAGCCCAACTCTAGCATTTTAGATAAAGGCCACGTTAGCCTGACTACTACAAATGCATGCATTCATTCTTTGTATTATAGCCTTATGGAATAAAACATACGCATGCTGAGGGTGTGTATATATAACGCACTACAGGATCGGCTGAGGGTGTGTATATATAAAATGCGTACACCACTGCAAACAAAACCAGTTCAGGTGTATTTCATATGTTCCACCACAAGAGTACATGAATTGCACTTATCTTAAAACATTTAAACATTCGAAGAAAGATTAGCAATACATTTAAAAAAAAAAAACATGATTTGTTGTGTTTTATCGTCTTCGATTTAGTACCAGTGCACTTACAAGTGTCACCTGCAGTCTCTGTATAAATGGAATGTTTACTGACAGGTATATAAAATCCCATAACTAAGCTCAGGAAGTTTCTCTGTGGTACTTATAATATTTGCAGTGGCTCAGCTAAGTCAGAAAAGGAAGTCCTGAAGTTAATCAAGCATGAATGAAAGGGCAAGGAAGCATTCCAAAAGCATTTAACCAAGGCTGGGTCAGGGAGATTGTATCTCTTTAAATGTAGGGTTGTGTCAATATGGCTAAAACAGAGAGATAAGCCATCATAAACATTTCCATATCCTATGCTCCCAGGCAATGTTTATAAAACCTGCTGTCTTTGAAGCAGGTGCCATACATACTTCGTCAGGCCGGCATAAGGAGCTGTGATTTCTTACCAGGCTGCACACAAGATACTTAGACCTATACATTCCACTGATAATATTACGATTGTTTACAAAGCACTATAGCAACACTGTTCAGTGAGCGGAACAGTCTAAACTGAGACATCCTAAATTAAAAAAAAAGTAAAGTAAGAGGAATGGCAGCCCTACAACTAGATCGATCATGTGACTGGTCAAATAACACTTGCCATGCTGATAGGCAGTTTGTGCAATGTTCCTACAGAATATTGCATTCATTACTTAATGAAGGCAGTCCTAAAAGGATTTCTCGTTCATTTTTTGACCCTACTACAGAATGATTTCTGCACACTGGAGGCTCTCAACTGCATCTAGAATGCCAAGAGGTTTAACCCCTTAAGGACCAAACTTCTGGAATAAAAGGGAATCATGACATGTCACACATGTCATGTGTCCTTAAGGGGTTAAGGGGACACGGTAGTTGCCACAACTACACCTTATTGTAGTGGTTCTGGTATCTATAGCCTGTTCCTGCTGGATTTTCAATGCAAACACAGCCTTTTTTAGAGAGTTTTTACATTACTACCTAGAGACACTACGGATGGCAGGCACTCAGACAGCCACTAGAGGTGCTTTCTGGGTCAGTGCTGCACAGTGTGCAGCAATGACGTTCAGCGTCTCCACGCTCTGCATGGAGGCACTGAACACTCCACATGGAGATGCATTGATTCAATGTAATTATGTTTTGATCATTGCATCTCTATGAGGAAATGCTGGTTGGCGCTGCTGTGCATGCGCAATAGTCTCCCAATGCTTTCCTATGGTAAAGCATTGGATTGGCTGAGATCATCAAGTTTGATGATCTCAGCCAAGGAGGAGGAGCCATCCGCGACAAGACTTATGCAGCGCTGGGCGAAAAAAAGTGAATAAAATCACCGTTTTGAACAGCCATAAGGGGCCTAAATAGCTCATTTAGAATTACAGTGTCTGAAATACACATTTGAATTCCTGACACTATTGTGTTCCTTTAATCACTAAATTAGATTTTTTTTTGTTAAAATAGCTGAAATGCTTATTTTCCAGTATTGTTATTTTAACTTAAATGTGCCATTTGGTGAACAGATAGACCCAACTTTGACATACAAGAGACAAAGAAAGCAGCTAGTCCATGCACGGGCAAAAGGGGGACCAAGTAAATGAATACATGTAACCAAACATGCCAGTGTGTTTACATATAACTATAACCATTAGACAATCTGTGTTAAAAATCCCAATGGTTTTACAATTAATATGTGATACTCTATCACCTGTGTGGGTTTCCCTTATCCCACACCAACAAATTATGAAACAAAAATATATATACACCAGGCTCGGACTGGCCATTGGGCAAACCGGCAACTACCCGGTGGGCCGCAATGGCCATGGGCCGAGGCCGGTAGGAAAGATCAAGAGATCTCTCCTACCGGCCCATGCAGCATAGCACCGGCCCAAAGATGGAGTTCTGTCCTATCATGGGACGGAGGGGAGATCAGGCAGTGAGCCGGTCATCCTCCGTGCACACCGAGCAGCTTCCTTCTCCCCCTCATTCGCGAGCTCCGAGATTATCACGGAATCTGATGGTGCTATATAAATAATAAAATAATAATAATAATCAGAGCATTGCCATGGTAACCCGCGGCAACGCACTGAAAAAAATGCTCGCGGGAGGGAGAGAGACATGGTGTGTACCCTGTTGTACGGCATGGCCCCCTCTCACTGGACCACCAGGTATCTGAATGCACCCTCTCCCCCCTGCAAAGTTGTAAAAGGGAGTAAATGGGATTTTTTTTGGTTTGTTTTACATTCTGCTCCCCTGCACTAACACACAAACACACTACACACACTGCACTAACACACAAACACACTGTACACACTGCACTAATACACACATACTGTTTCCCTGCACTAACACACTGTACACACTGCACCCCCTGTACTAACACAAAAACATACTGCTCCCCTCACATACACACACGAACACACTACACACCCTGAACAAACACACAAACATACTGCTCCCCAGCACTAACACAAAAAACACACTGCACACCCTGTACTAACACACAAACGTACTGCTCCCCTGCAGCAACACATAAACACACTGCACCCCCTGCATTAACACACAAACATACTGCTCCCCTGCACTAACACACAAACACACTGCACGGACGCTTTACCCCTCTATAAATACTACACACACTCTATATCCCTGTATGCACATTACACCCCCTGCACTCACACAAACACACTACACACACTCTACACCTCTTATATACACACTATACCCCCGGCACTCACATACACACAGTAAACACACTCTGTACCCCCTAAACATACACTACACTTCCTGCACTCACATACTTTATACCCCTATAAACACACACATTACACCCCCTGCATGCACACACTAATTTACATCCCCTATAAATACACATTCTTCACCCCCTGTACACACTACACCACCTATGCATACATTACCGCACCTATACACATGTGCTCTGTAGCCCCTACATGAATACACACATACTTTACAACCCAGAAACACACACACACACACTACAGCCCCTATCCACATGTAGCACGCCACATACAGACCCCTTTACACACACAATCCAACACAAATAGTCATTTGGTGGGGAGGGGGGGTGCGTGTCAATGGTGGTGACATTACATGTCTGCTTTCTGGCCCCGCCCCTCCCATGGGCTGCTCTGCCTTTAATTGCCCAGGCTGAATTTTTGTCCCAGTCCGGCCCTGATATACACGGTGGAGTATCTTACATTTAGTCTTGAAATACTGTATGCAATAAGTACAGAGGAAGTTGGTTCCTAAAAGTGAATAAAAAAAGTAAAACAAGCACTAGTGCAATATCGTCTGTCAACTAGTGTTCAATACAGTAAGTATATGAAGGTACACTCACAAGTAAGGAGCCAGTATATCCTTGGCTCAAAATATCAGCTTAGTGGGATTTTTGGGGTCCCACTCCCTCTTCTGTATATCGGGATAGCTGCAACTTTGGTAGTGATCATAGGCTCAAGTCCGTGGAAAAGTGCTTTATTGATCCATAAAGTGCAACAAACATATAATAAAATACTTAAGATAAAAGTAGGTAAAATAAAGAGTACTTACAGTTTATCTTTTTAGTGAGCAAAACTTGTTTTGCCTCTCTCTGAGGCTTCTTCAGTTGCTGTCTTCTTTTTAAATGGTGCTAAATGGTGCTTGATTGCCACTTCCCGGTGTTCGGTATTTGTACCGGAAATGATGTCCATCTATTTCTGGTTTTGCGTTCCACCGGTGGAACCGGTAATCTCTCCGTGTTGGAACGCAACCTTGCGTTCCACTGTGTTATTTCCTCTTGTCAAAGAGGTGCAGGAAGTCCTCCTATTTGGAATGCAACTGTGTGTTCCACCGCTATTGGATGCTGTGCTCACATGTACAATAGTCTAAATTGTCCATAACAAACTTAGTGTTGTGCTTTGGAAAAAGCAAAAAGGAAATAATTTTGAGTACACTTCTGTGAGAACATCCATTCCTTGTTGTGTAAATGAATTGTTTGGCACAATTTAGATGTGCTTGGAAGCTCTATTTTTAATAAAGGCCTTCTGTCTTTGTGATCTACCCATTAGCCTAGACATGTGCAGATTGTAGACACTTGAGGAGTTACTGGTACCTGCTAGGAACTACTGTAGCTCCTTCGGTGATGTTGTTGGCCTCACTAGCTTCCCTGATAAGTATTCTTTCTTCTTGTCCTCTCACCAACATTGATGGGTCGGCCCAACCTTTCCATTGTCTCTGTGGTGCCATATATTCTTATTGATAATGGTATTGGCAAAGCTTCATAGTAAATCAAGTGCCTTTGATATTATATCTCTTTAACCAGGTGTATGCTATTTACCATCGGGCATGATTTACAGTGTGATTGGGTAACTCAGAACACAGCTTGAGTCGCCGTTATGAAAGTGTATGCAGACTTATGTAATCAGAGTGTTATAGTTTTTACATTTTTTTTTTTAATATATTTAAAATGTTCCTAATGATTATTTTTTCTCTGGATTTTTGTATGTCGGAAAATACTGTTACAGATGGAAGAAAATCTGACATTTACCTTGTTTTCATTTCTGTGTTTACATTTTAAAAACCTGCGATTTCTTAATAGTATATGTATAATTTTATATCAACAGTAGGCAATATCATGGTCATGCATAGTATATATAACCTTTATGGAATGTCAGGGAGGGTGCATTCTCCATTAGGTCCCCTGTAACAATGCACAAATTGAAAACCCTCAGACCAGAATGTAGATAATAATGAAAACGGCAGCACAAACCTTCAAAATATTAAGATGCTCGTTGATTAAGTGAATACACCAAAACAGGTCATATCTGAAACAATCAAGTCATTTATCAAATGTTACAAAGGCTTGGCAAAGACCTATTTGTGTTGAAAAATTACCAGGTCAGTTTTATAGCTGAATAAACATCAGGTCGTCACATGTTGGATTGAAGATTTCTTATTTGTGTCCTCATATTCTCTGTTTTTGTTGCAATAACTTGGCTCTCCCCAAGTTAAAAGGGTAATCCAGACGTGGACCCCGTGCTCACTGTGCCTAGTGGGGTATCAGCTACACGTCGCTGACGAGGCCCAAAGAAGCAGAACAATTGACCGGGATTACTGTACCTCTCGTGCAGCGAGGACTTACCGGCATTTCGGTTCTAGACTGCTCTTTTGGGTGGGATTAGTCTGATATGCCTTGGAACTTATTCTCTTTGTAATGGCACAAGTGAGCAAAATCTATTTTGAGACCTGAGCAGGAATTTACCGAAGGGCAAACTACTGAGTTTCTCTAAGCTTTTGTCCGTTCTCAGAGTTCTCATATGCTATGTTTTTCTTATTTGTGAGTCACACACAAACACACAATTCGAAAATCATTCACATACAGACATACACGCATACAGACCATACAGACATGCCACTTAGCTACTCTTCAGCAATGTTTCTGCTTTAAACATGGTATCTACAGGATATCTAATACAGACATAAATATAAAACTGATGTGGTTATACATGTGCTCTTGATTAAAAAAATACAATGCACACCATACGTTAATTCAAAAATATTCTCACTAATGGTAAGAACTCTTAAAGGGAACCTGTCAGCACATACCTGACCCTCCACAACGCAGTAGGATTACAAAGGTGGGTGTTTCTCTTCTGTAACATCCACCTCTGGTCTACCTTCACTCCGCCCAGTTTCTTTATTGCCAGCATGCTAGCGTCTGAACGGAGTGACATTATGTCACTGCATTCCTCTCTATAGCCAGCGCTAACAGCATAGGGCAGGGGTAGGCAACCTTTGGCACTGCAGATGTTGTGGACTATATCCCCCATAATACTCTTACACCCATAATGCTAGCAAAGCATCTGGAGTGCCGAAGGTTGCCAATGCCTGGCATAGGGTGTAGATAGGATAAGGACCCCATGTTGGTGGTCTCTTTTGCTCTTCATTATTAATCAATTATTTAGCATAGAGTCTATGCCAAACAATTGATTAACAGCTGGGAGAAAACCCTGAATTTAAACAGATATTTCTCCCAATCTACACATTTTCAAGCAAAACTGCTAGCACAATGAGTAGTTGAAATATTATGCTGTTTAAAAAGAGCTAAATTATTTTCCCCATGACAGGTTCCTTTTAAGGAATTTATTTAAATGTCTATGTTACTAGTGAGGTATATATATATTATTATATTACTGGGGACCCAGCCAGGTTTAATAGTGTTTGAGTTACTCACTAAACCAGGAATCATGGAGAAATGACATACAGGGATACAATTTTGTCAAAAATATATTAACAATTATCAAAATAGTAAAAAAATCTAAATTTTTTCATATCAAATCATTTAAGAAAAATGTATACAAAAATATGAAATCATTTGTACAGCTTCTCTAACATATTAAATCGAGGCCTAAGATGAACCATTTTCTCCTGTCTATAGAATTTTAATTACATCAATAAAAGCTACGTTTTATTTATATTAACATTGCTATTGGATGTGGCTTCGGGATCCTTCTTGTGTAAAGCGTATACTAGATACTAAATTGCAATTGTTAGGTACAAATGCCAAATTCACATGATACATCGACATGCCAACAAACCATTTCAAATGTATTCCATGTTTGTTTCTCCATTCTGATAATTTTCTCAATTTCTGGTTTACTGAATAATCCTCTTTGTGACTTTTTATCTTGATCTTTAAGACAATGGTTAATGATATATCCCCTTTAATGTTCTCCTCCTGTCATTTTCACAGAACCAGACTTTCCATGCCTCAGTCACACTCTCTGTGCATGCTACTCAACGGGAAACAAATGACAAGCCTTACGCTCACCATGTCCGAGATATACACAGAATACCACGACCATGATGGATTTTTGTATATGACATATATGTTGCAGGATGTGTTTGGCTGAGAAGTCATGGGGGCAAGACGGGTTATTGCTCTGTAATGATTTCAACACAAAGAGTATTGTGCTTTCTGGGTGAAACAGAAACTGCCAGAGAATGCCAATAGGAGGAATCTGTCACCCTACCGAAAGAGTAACAAACAGCAGTGAAATTTAGTTAAGTTCTCGAGAGGTGTAAGGAAAGCCTATGTGTAATATGTATATAATCTATAATTAATTGTTTTATCAGGATAGCAAATGGTAATCTTTTATATATATGTAAGAAGTTAAAGAAATTTAATCTTTTCAGTCTGTAATGAGGAGTTTTTAAAAAACATTAATGCATATATATTCAGAATCAATCTTGTTTCCCATATTAAAAATAATTTATTTTCTTTAAAAAAAGCTTGTTTTTTTGTATTCATACAGTAATTATTTTACTCTAGGCACATTTTATTGTCCATCACACTGGCACTTAAAGAGGTTTATTCACTAAAGTAAGACCACCCATGATCCCACTTATCTATGCCATCCAGAGACGATCTGACTGCAAAATTAGGACATTGTTCTTAGTTGAAGGGGTTGAGTAACTTACAATATGTCATTGGAATGTAATCAAAGACTGGGATATAATGTGGGATTTCTGCCATTTCCTGGTCTATGCAAACATGATTGCAGCAAATAGGTTTTTAAAATACTCTACCTTTATAATCCACTGTAATAAATGTGGTTATTAAAAAAAGTATGGTGGGTACATTAATGAATGCTATTTTAAATAGCACATCTAATGAATCCAGATGATACATGTATATACTTTATATTTAATATATTTTAATAGACTTTATGCTTATTTGACTAAGGTCTTTATCAACCTATTGTTCCTGTAAATTTCCCCTTTTATAATATTGTAAAAAACTGTGGAATACAAAGGCCATAAATAGCGATACAATACAAGACGGATGAGAAACTACATTATAAGCTAGAGCCTACCAGCCCAGACAATAAACATGAACACAACGCCCCACAAAGCCACGACGAACGACAACGAGGCCAAGACAGGAGGGAAGGCACCGCACAGGAAGCGCTGACACAGCCACTCAACGCATCACATACACACAACACACACAAGTCAGAGGGCAAACCACGAAGGGCCCAGCTCAAACAAAAACACCTTAAAGCTACCACGAAACAGATATGCCAATAGCCGCACCAAAAAGCAGAATGCACCTGCCCAAACAAAACCGCAATAAGCCCCACTAGACACAATCAATGAGACAGACACTCAAAAGCACTTCCGACAACGGGACCACAAGAACTGAACACAATCAGAGTAAGATTCATTAAACATACACTTCCAAATATGAGACTAAAAGTAGTAAAACGTGCAACCTGATTAACTGGCCTCTGCGCAGGCAACAACTTGCCTATTTACTCATGTACTAATAACTACGCCTCTGCGCAGGCAACAATTTGCATACCTACTCGTGTACTGATAACTACGCCTCTGCGCAGGCACTTACCCGCTTAAACACAAATACGTTTGAATTGGAATTTATGTTGTGAAACCAATAAACATATTCAAAACAAAGGCCAAAAATAATAATTGAATATGTAAAGACCACCAACTCTTCAATGTAAAATGTCTCTTTATTAATAATCAATTATAACTGTGTTATCTTGAGAGTTCGAGGTGTTTACATATTGGTTGCTTACCAAGTGGTGCAGTGGCTGTTCCACCGACCTCAAGTCATCTCATACAGGATTAAGTTTAACCAGCAATCGCAAAGGTGTTTTGGTAAATTTTAATTGAGCTTTTTGCCCTGTAGGAAGCCACGTTTACAGGGATGTGCAATTCCTATCGCTCAATGCCCGTGATATGCATTTCCGGGCACCGGACAGGTAGTTATTTTTGTCCTTTAGCCCTGCTTCGAGCTAGCAGCAGAGTGACTTGTCGGGTGACCGAGGACCAGACATTGGGATGGGGTCCGGCGGCTGCCCGGTGTGCCATCGGGTGCGAGGCCCTTCCGTCTGCCCAGAGAGCCAGCCCCTTCAGTCTGCAGCTCTGCTGGGTGTGAGCTGCAGATTGTGCTGTATCTCACAATCACTGGCCAATCAAAGCGTTGCCGCGGGTTACCACACCAAAACTCTGACTTCTGGATATCGCGAGATACAGCACAGTCGCACAGTCTGCAGCTCACACCCGGCAGAGCTGCAGACTGGACAGACAGACCACTGGACCACCAGAAAAAAAAAAAAAAAGGTATTTCTAACACTATGTCACCAGTCACCCCCTCCATCAGTCGCCCCACCCATCAGTCATTGTCACCCCCTCCCTCACTCTGCCACCAGTCAACCCCTTACTCACTGCCACCTGTTACTCCCTCCCACACTCTCTGCCACCTGTCACCCTGTCACTGCCATCCACTATGTGCCCTACACCCCTATCCCACACCAAACTATGTGCCCTACACACAGTACATCCCTATCCCACTGCACACTATGTGTCTTACCCATGCTACATCCCAATAACCCCACACTATGTGCTCTACACCAGGTCTGTCTTCTAAATTACGATCAATAAAGACCTAAATACGGTTTTGATTTTAAAAAAAAATTGTATCAGGACAAGTAGATTGGGCAAACGCTTTAGTCTCTGGACATGTAGTTTTTTTTTTTGTTTTTTTTTTAATTTCAACATCCCCTGGTTTGTAGCAGAAATTGGGCTGCTATAAGCTTGTCATCAGTTCAATTTGTAGTTGGCGATAATGATTTCATGTGACATTTGCTCAATATGTTAAATTTAAGTATAAACCAACAATAATCAACATTAACAAAACACATGCTTTATTCTACAGAGCCACTCTTGGCGTAGACTATAGCGGTTTCAGTGCTGGAGTGTTCCTTTGAAGTAGTCTCTCTGCCAATTGATGTGTCTCTCTACAGTGGTTCAAAACTACTGTCACTGGTCACCACTCTCTGCGTGTTGAACTTACTATGAGTGCACCTATTCAATAAGCTGTAAATTATGGGAAATTGACTTTTAAATTTAAAAAAATTAGGTCAAAATGGTCTAGCTGGAAAACTATCTTAGTCATTTTAAACTGTAATGAAATGAAATGAAATGTGACTTGCAATTGAGGATTTAGCAAAATGGGCAATTCTCTTATACCGTTTGATAGTTTCATCCAAATATTTTTTTGTATCTTTTTTTGGTGCTACTAGTACTACTTTGTGCTGAATATTTAATCTTTTGTGGGTAATATTATTGGTATTGTGTCCTCTCTTTTGAGACCTGATCCAATTTACTGATCTCTATATTTATTTATTTATTTATAAAATATTTTACCAGGCAAGAGATTTCGTTTTCAAGTATGTCCTGGGTCCACGAATCATTCCATTGTTACATTAGCGTACAATAAAATACACAAACAATATTAATACACAATAAATACAAAATGTAACATAGAACAGGTAGGAAATATATTATCAGCCATGACAGGTGCATTCTATATCAGGTTAAGCCCTAAATTAGAAAAAGAGAAAAAAACTGCGCTAAATTGCCACAATAAAATTATAAGAAAGGCAGCAATCCTCAAAGGGGAGTCCCCAATAATCCCCTAATGATAACAGATAGCAAGAACAAACAGAGATATAAGGATGCGCCTAAAACTTGATAAAATAAAAGACTAAATTAGTCAGATAAAATACAGAATAAAATAAGTAATAAAACAATAGTCCAATAAAATAGGCTTATCACAGTCCGTGAGGGTAGGTCCCACTTGTAAAGGAATATTCTTTAGGGTGTAAGTGGGATCGTATCTTCAAATGTTGAGAATTCAGCATATGTGGAGAGAAAAATAAAAACAGGACTCCAATGGCACAGTAAATCGGTGTATAAAATAAATATAAAAGTATAAAATCAGTCTTTCTCACACTTTTCAGAGCTAGGACAGCTCTGATATTGCTCGCGTAAAGTGGAATAATCCCCACTTCAAGGATATATGGAGTAAATTTTGATAGTTGAATATCTGACGTGGGTTCAGCGTTCAATTTGACGTAATACGACCCAGAGGAAAAAATGAAATAAAATATATAGTGCTCACTGTATGTAATAAAATTAAAAGAAAGTAAAGTATACTACTCACGTAAAGTAGAGCAGACTCAAAACTGCTCAGTGAAGGCGCTCAGGTGGTATAATCCCCACCTATGGATTCTTTGCACTTCCTGCAGGGTGAGCCGTATACGTAAAAGCAATAAAAGAAAATGTATGTAAAATCAGGTAAAGGAAAAAGCAAATGGCAATAAAGTATTTTATGCCAATAAAATATCTTTATTATAAAGTTATGAACAAAATCTATTAATATCTAAATGCGTTTCACCTTAACAGGCTTCTTCAAGTAGATAGTGGGAAAGAGGGGGGGCATACCTGACATACATAAGCTTAAAACCTTCGTTTTAATATTTAAATAATGCAAATATGCTTTTTATCATTGTATTGTCAATTTTTATGTGTGCAATAACTGTTTTATAATAACTTCCCTGTATTATCTATATGCTAATTTTATGATGTCATTTTGGCGGGAATTTTAAATTTGAAGTACTATTACACACTATATAAGCTTATGTATGTCAGGTATGCCCCCCCTCTTTCCCACTATCTACTTGAAGAAGCCTGTTAAGGCGAAACGCGTTTAGATATTAATAGATTTTGTTCTTAACTTTATAATAAAGATATTTTATTGGCATAAAATACTTTATTGCCATTTGCTTTTTCCTTTACCTGATTTTACATACATTTTCTTTTATTGCTTTTACGTATACGCCTCACCCTGCAGGAAGTGCAAAGAATCCATAGGTGGGGATTATACCACCTGAGCGCCTTCACTGAGCAGTTTTGAGTCTGCTCTACTTTACGTGAGTAGTATACTTTACTTTCTTTTAATTTTATTACATACAGTGAGCACTATATATTTTATTTCATTTTTTCCTCTGGGTCGTATTACGTCAAATTGAACGCTGAACCCACGTCAGATATTCAACAATCAAAATTTACTCCATATATCCTTGAAGTGGGGATTATTCCACTTTACGCGAGCAATATCAGAGCTGATCCTAGCTCTGAAAAGTGTGAGTAAGACTGATTTTATACTTTTATACACCGATTTACTGTGCCATTGGAGTCCTGTTTTTATTTTTCTCTCCACATATGCTGAATTCTCAACATTTGAAGATACGATCCCACTTACACCCTAAAGAATATTCCTTTACAAGTGGGACCTACCCTCACGGACTGTGATAAGCCTATTTTATTGGACTATTGTTTTATTACTTATTTTATTCTGTATTTTATCTGACTAATTTAGTCTTTTATTTTATCAAGTTTTAGGCGCATCCTTATATCTCTGTAAGCCCTAAATTACCCTGCAACCAATACGGGCTCTGTGACGGTGTACTGGTGACTGTCATGGATATCCATCTTTTTGTTGCTTCTACTGACGTTTGTTTACAAAGTTTAAAACAACAAGAAAAAAGGATGAGGAATTCTCTCCATAAAGAGATTTTTTTCAGAGTCTGTCAAGATTATAAACCTCTGGAAACACAGAATATGCAAGGGCTTAAATTACCACTCGAGGTAACAAATTGGTGATACAAGGCTATATTTGAAAGGCATCCTGGAGTCAAATGAATGTTTCCTTTTTTTTGTGGCAGAATTGGAAAACAAATTGCTTAATTTTTTAGCCTATGTAAGGCAATTATGTAACAGTGATTGTACTAGATGGTTAAGGAGGTCAGATGGAATTATTTACTAAATTCCCAGGGATATTCAATAAAGTGTGAATTGGTGGAAATTTATAGAGAATTAGCTTACTTGGAAAATGTCTAATTCTGTTATTTTGGCCAGAATTTTAAAATTCTTAATCTTTGTATACCTGATTAATATTTTAGAAAATAACCTTGTGAAGCAATGACAATTTACCAAATAAGCCTGAGAGTGTAAAGAGTTAAAGGGACACTCCAGACCCCCCAAACACTTTATCCTGCTGAAAAGCTTTTATGTATGAAGAGTGTGTCCTCTTTTTTGGACACGTTTATAAATTAACCTGGTTACAGCCTCCTGTTTTTTTTATAAATTCTTTATTTTTCAATTTTAGGTGAGGTAAAGGGTACAGAATAAAGGTAGGGGTAGGGTAGCAGTGATATTCAATAATTGTCAGTTTCGTTTCATTTCAATGGTATCAGTACGATTTATTGCCAAACCTCATGTCAGTCTTCTTGGTTGAGTGGTTCAGTTTTTGTATGTCACATGTGAAGGTTGTCACTTGGTCTTGGGTCTTGTCGTCTTTGCCTCTGAGAGCGTGTCTGGCTCTTCTTGTGTTGTGTTTGTCAAGTTTGTGTCTCTTTCGGTTTTATTTGGGTTTGGTCTGGTGTGTCTGTTTTGTGTGCGGGTGTGGTCATTGCGAGAGTTTGGTGGTCTCGACCCATGGGTGGTCGTCTCATTTAGGTTGTAGATGTGGAGGGTTTCCAGTATGGTGAGATCCGAGTCTAAGTCTAGTGCCTGAGGTTGTTCTCTTATATTTGTATCTGCTGCTGGTGATCATGTTGTACGGGGTGTGGTATTTTGTTTTTGTGTTGGGTGAGTTCCCTAGTCTTGTGATTGTGCTTTTATTTGTGAGGTTGGTGTAGGGAGGGGGGGTCTGTGTAGGGTTTGGGAGGTTGGGGGACCTATGTGGGGTCCTAGTGTGCTATCAGTAGGGGTCTTTTGGGGGAGGAATCGCGTCTTGTTCCCGGGTCCTCCTTTTATGGTGCCAGTAGGTGGTGTTGGGTCCATGGGTCCCATATCTTGTGTAAGTTTCGTGTTGTATCGTGTAGTAGGGCTGATAGTTTGTCCATTTCCATTGTTTGGGTTTTGTTGATAATAGTGGTTAGTTGGGGTGTATTCTGATTGCCCCATTGTTCTGCTATCGTCCGTCTGGTGGCCAGCGCTAGTCTGGCCACCAGTTTATTCTGCGCTCTGGTAAGGGGGGGGGGGGGGTTTAGAAAGCAGCCATATCCAAGGGTCTCTTGGTATATCTGTTTCTAATATGTCTGACACAAGCGTGACCACTCTTTCCCATATTTGTAGGACTTGGGGACATTCCCACCAGAGGTGGATGTAAGTGCCCTTCTGTGTGCAGCCTTTCCAGCATGTATCTGTGGTGGCGAGGCCCATTTGTTTCAGTCTGAGTGCAGCCTCCTGGTTTTTAAGCAGACAAGTCATTTACTTCCTGGTTTGGGCAGAAATTGCCCAGAGCACCTGCCTTGCAAATACTTCTCATTGAGCTGCATTTGGATGTCTGTGATTGAACAATCACATAAAGTCTGAATGGGGTTAGAAGAGGAGGGCTTTCAAAGACAGCAGGCAAGAGCGTTGCAGGTTTTGCAAGCGATTTTTTTTAGATATAACCCTTATGAATACATGCATAATAAAAAGGAATGCATGTTTTCATTTGGGGTATATCTACTAGAAAGGGATTTAAAAAAAAAAAAGTTATATTTGGGCAGTGGCGTGTTGCTTACAGTCTAGCAATAGGGGAAAAAATAACAGAATGAAAACAAATGACTGGGAGAATCTCACTACAATGTATGATTTAATGAGCATACTTCTCTGCCTTTTAAAATATTTTTTTATTTTCGTGGGAATATGACAAAATCCCCAAAACACAAAAAAAAAACAAAAAAAAACACACTGACTCAATAAAAGACATTGTTTAATGACAGTTGGTCAAGAGATCATGTAATGCGGTCATTGCTGATGCACTGAAATGAAAGCACACCAGAATGTAATGTTTACAGATATTTTTATGTTGACATTGCTCCAAGCTCACCTTGCTATTACAAAAAGAATAAAATCAAACTATAGATAATTGGGTTCATATTAAAGCCGCCATGTCACCTTAAGAGATCTCCAGGGTATTAAAGCGGTCTTGACACAAGAAGGCTATGGATACAAATGCCCACTCTAGGCAACTAAAAGCACACCCCATTTTCCGCCTACATTTTAGATAATCTGTCCCAATCCGATTAGTATTCACATTAACACAGATCGAAAGGGTTACTCCACTCACCATGACCACTTCAGTGATTTGAAGTGGTCATGGTGGTGAGAGTCTGTGTGTGCAGGATTTATTTTTTTAAACACTGAACACACTCAGTGATTGTTAATTATTGCTAGTTGCACCCCCATCACACGTGATTTAGGCAACCTAGAACTCTGTTCTGGCTCGCCTTATATCAAATCTGAGCATGTCATCAGAGTGCACAGCGCGCTGGGAAGAGATGTAAAAATCTTCTCCCTTGCAGATGCTCTGACAGTTTTACCCTCCCAGTGTGTGCTCCTTCCCATCTCTCCCTGCTAATTAAATAGACTCTTTAAAAAAAGTTTTTAACAAGGTTTGCAAAGCTGGGGACGTGATAGTATTGCCCTATAGGGCATTGTAAACTAAGAAATAAAAAAAATTTAAAAAAATAAAAATTGTTTTAGGGTTGCAGTAACCATTTAACAGCGATTCGGCACAGCCAAATCTTGCTTACCCATATAAATATTTTGGATAAACAATGAGAACGTGAGAAATATGATTATCACAGCAGAAACAGAGGGTTTTTGGTGTAAGAAATACTTCAGTTTTTAACGAATCCTGCTCAAAAAGGTTTGACAAGAGGGACTCGCCCATAGTTTCCTTGTGCCATAACTACTATAATAAGCTGTAGATATTACAGTAATTGGAGAGTCCCTTTAAATAAATAAATTATAAAAAACACCAAAACGCTGACATTGATAGATTAGACACTGTATGCTATTTTAAAAATGTCTGGACTTTCTAATTAAGATATCTTTATAGCAGATTTAAACAAAACTATAAATTGTGAAACTCATTAAAAAAGGTGTGCATATTCAAAGTCACATATTTTCCTTTTTTTTTCTGCACCAGTTTTAAAACAAATCACAAGAAATAAACAGAAAATCACATGCACCAGATGGAAATAGGAACAAGTCTGAAAATTAATCCAAAAGCTTTGTAAAGTACGTTTGTTAATAAAATGTACATACAGGTTTTTTATGTTGCTATTAAAAGGTACACTGGTTTAAGGTGACACATCAGCTTTAACAGTGGGGAAACCGTAAAAATAAAAAATAGTTTATCTCCTTGTTATGAGAACAAGGACTAGTAACTTAATGAGGCAAGTCTAATATACAAAATACATTAACTTGGAATAAATTAAATCAGTTCAGAACAAAATGATCCTTTCTCACTGGCCTGATTGGTGACATGCTCACAGTACTTCCTGTCACTCAGAAAGTTAGGCCCCTAATGCAGCTGAATGGTAAAGGTCTTTATGTTCATTTTTAAGGAAGGCTAGGGGGTGCTGGCTCCATGTCCCCTTTTGGTTTCTTGGCACTTGGTTCCTGCTGGCTGTGTGCCTTACGGATGTGCCTGTATAAGTCCCCACTTTGCGTGTAGCTACGCAAACAGTAACGACATTCATATGGACGTTCACGAGTGTGCACTGTGGCATGCCGTCTAAGCGTGTAAGAGCATGAGAATGTTTTTCCACATGTTTTGCAGGTGGGCACATCTTCTGGAAAAAGGGGAAATCCTGGGTGCCCCTCAAAATCTTGTAAGTACATGGCCTCTGGGTGCATGGAAGGTGGTAGGAGGCTTCCATAGCCTGGGTGGTGTCCACCTGGCACTGCAATCATATGATAGGGTAGATAACCCGATTCATCTTCACCTTCCTCTTCCTCATCAAAACCACGCCGTTTAAAATTGCCTACCCCCCTTTCACACTCTTCATCTGATATTACAATGGCTTCTATCTTCACTGTAACACCAGATGCTGGGTGATTTTCACTGCCAGTGGAACTACAAGGACTTGGGGCAGTGGTCACCTCCATGCCAGGCTGAGTGGTAGTTGTGACTGTTAATTCAGATTTGGCACATTCACCCTCCTCCCTCTGCTTGGTTAGGGGTGAATCGGGGCTATGTATATGGTATCTGGATGTGCCAGGCAATGCAGCAGAATTTCCTGCAGACTCTGGGCTCTGCAAAAAATATCTGGATGGACCTGGCTGAGCAGTAGTACTACCAGTAGGATCTTGGAGTTGTAAAGAGTATCTGGAACGTGCTTGTCCTCCATGCAAACTGCCTGTAGGTTCTTGTAAGGAATACCTGGAAGTACCTGGTTGGGTTAGCGAGTTTCCTGCTAGTTCTGGGCTCTGTAAGGAGTATCTTGAAGTTCCTGACATTGCTGTAGAACTGCCAGTGGGTTCTTGTGCTTGTAAAGAGTATCTGGAGCTTCCTGACACTGCTTGTGTGTTTCTGGTTTCCTCCTGATTTTGAAAAGAGAATCTAGGAACAGACAGCGACTGATTGCTAGCACCTGTAGTTTCTTGAGCTTGTAAGGAAAACCTAGAAGCTCCAGGTGCACCCTGTGTGCTGCCAGCTGGCTCCGGTCTCTTTGGGGAATTTCTGGAAGGTGGCCCACTGTCCTGACTCTGTGTAGCATATTTGTGTGTGGATGGTGTGAGTGTACTTTCTGTTGCTTCCTGCAGCTGATACCTCACACTTTCTGCTTGTTCTGCCTCAGTCCTCTCTTGCACCTCAAATCTAGAACTCACTGGTACCTCCTGACCATCTACTCCTATCTGCAGAATACCTGTACACTTCATACTTCCTGTAACGCCATGACCACTCCCTGTTCCCTCTTGAATTTCAAACCTAGAACTTCCTGCCACCTCTTGGGCAGTATCTCCCACACACAGTGCTTCAAATTTAGAGTTTACTGCCACTCTCGGTCCACTGCCAGATGCCTCCTGCCCCATGTATCTTACACTCCCTGGCAATCTTTGGCTGCTCCCTGCTACTTCCTGCCTCTGATATCTGGAACTCTCTGCAACTTCCTGTTGAAAAACTGAAATTCCTCCCAGTCTTTGCCCATTCCCTACTACTTCTTGTCCATGATGTTTCATTCCCCGTGCTGTGGTCTGTCCACTCTCTGCTCCCTCGTGACATCTATTCCCACCTTCATTGTCAGTAATCGGATTTACTGATGCACTATCTTCCTCTCGGCGAGTACTATCGGCCTCTGCTGGTGCTCGACCCTGCAACCTTTTTTTGCAGACCCTCACCACCTCGTCCATGTGCAAATAACTGGCTGCTGCCAGGACATCTTCAGTGGGAGCTTCCTGAAAGCTGAGACATCCACAGTACATGAAGTTGAGAAGCAAAGAGAAGGCTGGAGCTGTGACTATCTGATTGTTCAACGTAAGGTCTCTTGTTTCTGGACGTTCCCTGCAGGACATGTGGAAAAAAGGGCTGCAGGAAGCCAAAACAGAACGATGGGCCAGGAAACGGGCAGTGCCTACAGACACCTGACAATCACATAGAAATCCCTGGGACTGCTGGTCTCGAAGGCTGCGCAATATACGGCGACTGTGATCTGGGAACTCCATTGCTGAGAGCAGATAAACAAGAGATATATCAGTCATTAAAAATGGTATAGACATATATACAGTAACAAGAGAAATATTAATGAGGTAGAATTGTGAAAGACTGAGGACTGAAAAAAAGATCATTAAAAAGAAGACCTTCCCCCTCCACGCCAAATAACAAAAACTCATACAAACGAGGAAGTGGACATACATGAAATTAGAAACCGTAACTATTTTACCAACATGAAAGTCTTACATGTTACTTTATCAAATGTATTAAGTCATGTTGTTACTAGGTCCTCATATTCGAATATCTTACTAGATTTGGATGACGTCTGTCGCCACAAAACCTGTCTTTTCTTTAATGATTTGATTGTTATTTTCACGAATTGTATATGAATTGAACAACCTGACTGCATTACCAACCGGTCTTTCTATCACTACCTCTACACGACTTTATTCTTCAAAAAGAAAGGAGCTCACATTTCAGCTTTTTTTTTTTTTAACCTTAGGAGGTTCCAATATTTTAAATTCCTTACCGCCAATAATAGATAAACACAACGAAACATCCTAAACTACAATATTATATTAACGAGAGAAAAAAAAGAAAACATTAAATTTACCTTATGAAAGTCTGGTTTAAGAAGATGAGTCTTCCCCTATACAGATCTTTGGACTGTGCTGTGTGTTCAGCTCTCTTTGTCTTGCTAGTGAAGTTCAGAATAATACTATACTAGTTACCTTGTGTATAAATATCCATAAATAGGTTTATTATGTAAACATCCCCTACTGCTATACAACAAGTCTTACTCCAGCTGCTCCCAGAGATCAATACAGAGCTATCAATCAGCCCATATACTATAACAGACATGTTTTGGTTTTTTTATTTGCTAAATTCCCTCATTTTTTTGATTATACAAATAATACAGTATAATGGATAGACTAGATCACGTGAACCGAAATTCACTCACCGGCACAAAGCAAGCCCCTCTAGTCCCGCCTCTCCTGCGCGCTGATTGGTCAGTGTACGACCTGCCAAGCCCCCCACTGATTGGTCCCTTGTTGTTGTGATCGACAGATGTCGCAGCCTATCACAGTCCACCGGAGATCTGAACTCTTAATCCGGTAGTTTTTTTTTTATTGGTCCTGTGGCAGCCGCAGCCGCTCGGCTGATTCCGCTGCCGTCTGGTCGCCCAGGTACGCTGCCCGATAGCCCGGAACACCAGAAGCCGAGCCGGCGCTGCCACACACCGCCGCCGCTACGTCACTTCCGTCGTCCACTGACATCATCAACAGAGGCGTGCTCTTTCAACAAACTTTATTTATACTAACACGCGGCAAGTACAGCCACTTCCGGTGAGACTGAGTTCAGGTGGAAGCAGCAACAACAACATGTTTTATCACGTATGTATTGTCTGGGTTTGTATTTAATATAATTTAAAAATAGTAATAGTCTCATATATATGTCCGAGACGAGTCACATAAGGCTGTACTTTATGTAACACCCCCCTATATATATACACACACACATTCTCTCTCTCTCTCCCCATCTCTCTCTCTCCCCACATATCTATCTCTCTCTCTCTCTCTCCCCACATATCTCTCTCTCCCCACATATCTCTCTCTCCCCACATATCTCTCTCTCCCCACATATCTCTCTCTCTCTCTCCCACATATCTCTCTCTCTCTCTCTCTCTCTCTCTCTCTCTCCCCACATATCTCTCTCTCTCCCCACATCTCTCTCTCTCTCTCCCCACATATCTCTCTCTCTCCCCACATCTCTCTCTCTCTCTCTCTCTCTCTCTCCACACATATCTCTTTCCCCTCTCTCCCTCCTTGGAAACGTTAGGTGTCCTGGAAAACGCAGGTATTGAAACCCTAGCTGCAGCTAAACTGAGTAAACAAGCCTGCATTAGATTCATGGCACACATGGAATGATCTGTACCTGCAAAGGGGATTTCTGAGTTAGAATACTGTGTATGTATACCACCTAGAGATGGAGATCATGGCCTCACTCTCAAGGCACACATTTACAAGACCTTTTATTGGTATGAATTATCAGGAATTGAAATAGAATTTGAAATTTGAGACCAAACTAGTCTAGTTCAAAACCACTTATCCCCCCCCCCCCCTTTCCAATTTTGCTTTTGTGTTCTGAATAAGTTCACTTTGACTTCCACACTATTTACAGTTTAGTGAGTAAAGCTTTTGCTGTGATAGTTAAAGGACCACTATAGTGCCAGGAAAACTATAGTGCCCTGAGGGTGCCCCCACCCTCAGGGTTCCCCTCCCACTGGTCTGGATGGCGAGGAAAGGGGTTAAACTTACCTTTTTTCCAGCGCCGGGCGGGGAGCTCTCCTCTCCACCTCCGATCCTCCTCTTCGGCTGAATGCGCATGCGCGGCAGGAGCTGCGTGCGCATTCAGCCAGTCTCATAGGAAAGCATTCATAATGCTTTCCTATGTACGCTGGCATCTCTAGCGGCTGTCATTGAGACAGCCCCTAGAGGCTTTGGAGGCTGGATTAACCCATTTATAAACATAGCAGTTTCTCTGATACTGCTATGTTTAAAAAAAAAAAAAAGGGTTAATCCTAGAGGGACCAGGCACCCAGACCACTTCATTAAGCTGAAGTGGTCTGGGTGCCTAGAGTGGTCCTTTAACCTTCAGTAATCCAATGATGGTTGATAATCATGTACAGGGTGGGCCATAAGTCCCTACTCTTCTATCGATCTTATGTATCCAGTGTATCTGTGTGCTGAATGGGTAGCGACTTATGGGCCACCCTGTAGAATGTAGTCTGTAGCAGTTGGAGTGCTAAAGATAATCTGTCATTATAGTCACAGTTATTGATTGCATGTGCATGGTTTTTCTGAATGCTAGTGTTCCATAGATTATCATATAGGAAGATATGCATGCACAAAAGAAGCATCTTCTATGAGAATAGGTATAAAATATATATATATATATATATATATATATATATATATATATATTAAGGTGGGCTGCTACATACACCGTTAGGCGTCTAGATGAGAGAGAGAAAAAAAAGTGTATGTGCTCTTAATATTTTACTGTTGGGGAGCGCACATACACTTTTTTTTTCTCTCATCTAGACGCCTAACGGTGTATGTAGCAGCCCACCTTATTATATATATATATTTTTTATACCTATTCTCATAGAATTTTTTTTGTAGACTGTAATAAACAATAATTTCCAAACAAGGAACTGTCATGCGTTCCTTTTTTTTCTTTCTTTTTTTTCCCCAATAGTGTGTTCCAGCATGGTGCAAAAATACAAATCCCATTAAAGTAACGCTGTAGGCACTATTAGAAAAAATATAAATATGCCCCCTTTGTCCTATACGCCAATTATATTTAATTCTCTTATCCAGGGACTTGAAAGCATACATTTCTACCCACTCCCCCAAGCCTTCTGATTTAGAGAGCCGGAATGAAACTCCTCTGCTCTTATACGGACTAACAGCCGAGTTCTTGACATCAGCTTCACTAGTGTGCTGATTTAGTATTTGTGTGTTGTGAACGAGAGTCTTCAATGTGCGCACACAGCACTACCCATTACTATAGCACTTTCCCATACGCTGACAGAAGAGCAGCCTGACATTTGAAGGGACAATACTGAGAGCATTTGGTTTTTATTTTTGGCTATCTGTGCTTCACTGTAGTAGTGTAGTGTTCACTGCTTCTCGTAGTGAAGCATTAGGTCAATGCTTATCTATGAGAAGCATTTCTTTGGTGGATAGTGGCAAGTGCTGCGCAAGTGATACTTGGTCCATAGTTCTTCTCTCTGAGAAATATTGGATTGGACCATTGTCATCGCACTTGATTGCTACATGGGGGGCTGTGGCTGAATTCTGCAAGGGAGCAGTTTTCAGCTATTTAAAATCTAAAGTCCTATGCTATTAGTGAGGCCTTAAAAGTTACTAGCCACTGCAAATCTGTAGGGTTCATGGCACATTCACCAGAGGTGAATTTCTACTCACTGGGACTAGATTTTCACACTACTTAATACAGTTGATAGTGCTGCTATGCATTTTCCAAAACACACATCAATGTTTTTGCTTCTTCACAACATATACCTTATGTGTGTATAATACCTTCAACACTAAACTGTAATTTGTTCTGAAATGTGTTTGTTTGCTTAAATGAAAGTTTTGAGCCATGGTAAATTTCAATTCAATCAGGTAATTAACAAGTGAGCCATATGTATATTGTTATAGAGTGAATTGTGCGTAATGCAGTACACCCAATGAATAAACCATTTTGTTTTTAATCAGATTTCACTGGAGCATGAGATTCTGTTGCATCCAAGGTACTTTGGGCCCAATTTGCTCAATACTGTCAAGCAAAAATTGTTCACTGAAGTAGAGGGAACATGTACTGGCAAGTAAGTGCATTTGATTTATATTGACATGTTATTTTCCTTATTAAAAACAACGTAACCTTGAATGTTATAGTTGACATACAACATTTGAGAAAAGTTATTTCAACTGTGTAATTTTTGTGAAACCCTGTCTTCATCAACCTGTGCTTTGATTTAGAGTGGTAAGTAGCCAACATCAAGTTGTGTATTAAGGGCACACTCTAAGGACCAAGATATCTTTTAGTTTAAAGGAACGCTATAGCATTAGGAATACAAATGTATATTCCTAAAGCTATAGCACCCTGGAGCTGTTTAGGTCACCAACCCCTTCCTGTAGAGAGTAAAAAGGTAGTTTGCATGCCTTTTTAAAAATATGATGATCCTCCTTCACAATGCCAGTTTCCTTGCTGCCGTCCATCGTCTGTGGCTGAGATAATCAGGATCAATTATTTCAGCCAATGCAATGCTTTCTCATAGCAACGCAATGGGAGGCTAGCGTGCATGTGCGTCACATTAGACCATCTGCTTGAAATAGCAGTTTTACTGTGTTGTCTGAAACACCTCTGATGGCTATCTGAGTGTTTCTCTGACTGGGAATTGTGGCAAACTGAAGGGAATTGCAAAATTTTGAAGCCAATATAGCGTAAAAAAATCTTGCCTAACATATTAATGGTCCATGCCAGTTCCTTGTTTCCATATTAAGGACATATGAATGCTAGAACACTCAGTGATAATCTAGACCAGGGCTTCCCAAACTTTTATGGGCAGAGACCAACTTTTGAAAACAGTAATTTTTCGAGACCCACTTGCTTTTAATGCATATTTTAAAAATGAACACCATGGCAAATCCGCTTTAGAGGCATACAATTGGGACACCATGCAATCCGCTTTAGAAGCATACAATTGGGACACCATGGTAATCGGTTTTAGAGGCATACAATTGGCACACTGTCAATCCGCTTTAGAGGCATACAATTGGCACACTGTCAATCCGCTTTAGAGGCTTACAATTGGCACACCATAGCAATCTGCTTTTAGCTGCATAAAATTGGCACACCATGGCAATCGGTTGTAGAAGCATAAAATTATCACACAATGGCAATCATTTGTAGATGCATAAACTTGGCATATCATGGCTGTTTAAGAAGTATAATTTGGGGAAACATGGCAGTTTGAGGCAGAAACTTGGCACATCATGGCAAGCTGTTTTAGAGGCATACAACTGCTTACTCACAGACTCAGTCAAAATCAGAAGTCCCACTCTTTCATCCAAGCACTTCACTTTTGATTATCCCAGTGGTGGAACTAATGTGGAGAGAGCTCCGGTGCAAGTATGTATTCTGAGCACCCCTCTAGTGCAAGTGTAGCCAAAAGGTAGATTGCCATCTGTCAGAGAACTTAAACAATGCTATGTCAGTTGGGGATCTACCATTTGCCCATTGTTGCATGGTTATATTTGTGAGTATTGTTTGAATGTAAGCATTTTTTTGTATGAAGTATATGTGTACATGTATAGGTGTATTTGTATGTACTGTTGCCATTGGAATGTTGTGGTGTACTTGTTTGTAATGTTTGCATCTGAATGCAGGGGTGTTGCATTTAAAATGCAGGTGTGCTTTTTGTGTACAGTGTTGGTGTTTGAATGAAGGGGTGTTTGTATATAATTTAGTGTTTTAATACAGGGGTGTGTTTGTATGTAATATTTTGCGTGATTGCAGTGCGTGTAGTGGATGCTGTGTGTGTATATTGTCTATATAAAAATGTATACATATACCCAATGTGTTTTTGAATGTTTGCATGTTTTTGTATGGAGTATGTGTGTGAATGTTAGTGTTTGAATGCAGGTGCTCATTTGTGCACACACCGACACAGCGTTACACACAATGACACCTAGTTTCTTCCCTCGGGACAAGCATCTGAAATAAATAATTAACATAAAAAGTACCTCCCCTTACCAGGTATAAGAGACCCAACCAGCCCAGGGACCTCAGTTCTCTTTCTTGTTCCAACAGGAAGGGACGGCATCTGGAATGTGGATGGTGAGGCACATGGGTTGCTGCCAGGGGGATCCGGTCTGATAGCCTCCCGGGTGGAGAGCTGAATGGCCAGCAGACATCCTGCAGATTAAGGAGCAGGTATGTAAGCCTGCTTTTATGCCGGGTGCAGTCACCGGCAAAGCAGGGAGGCGGTCTCTAGTGGCAGCAAATCATTGCCCGTTGGAGACGCATGCGCACGGTGGTGGAAGGCACGCCCGGGTGGTTTTGCGTTCCACCGGAGTTCCGACCGCGCTATTGCGCATGCTCAGTCTGAACTCCCTGAAATGGCACCAAATTTAAAGCGGATCTGCCTATTTATGCTGTGCAGATCTTCCTGTCAGTATGGATGCTCAGCAGTGAAGGTCTCCCGTGTTACCAGCCCCCCCCACATGGGTCAGAGGTTTTAGAGGTATGATTCTTTAGACTCTCATCTTTAAAAATTATTCCAAAGCTAAACATCTCTGTTGTAGTGAATGCTCTACTCATTTACCAGATGGTTTTAAAAGGAAAGTCTGTAATGTTTGCTCTTCCTTGACGCTAGAAAAATCCAAGCAACAAGAGATGAAATCCTTTTTGTCTTGGTTTCAGGATAATCTGGCCCAGACTTTTGAGTCTTTTTTTTTTTTTTTAATTTGTATTTTATTAGAGGTTTAGTACTCATAGTACAACAGTGTCATAGTATGGGAAATGTAAAGAACTGCAAAACAAAGTTTCTGTAACAGTCCATGATGTCATTATTAAAACGCCTATTGTTGGTTACTCTGCAACCTCAGGTTCCTTGTGACCCTTTGTTACGCCACTTCTCAAGCCCGTATTGATGCAGACAGTCCCGCTTTCAAGGGTGTTTGTGGGGTCTCCAACTTTGCGCTCTCTGTGAGCCAAACATCTGGGAGAGGAATGTCTCTAGTTTTAGCTAGAATGGTAATACATCTGGGATTGGATTGGATTTGATTTCTGGGGCTTATAACTTGGTGTATGGTTTATCCTATCAGAATGGTGCCGGGTGTATGCTCTAACACCTGGGAGTTGGTGGTGTGCTAAGTGAGTGCTGTGGTAAGCCGCTTAGGTGAGTAATTGTCTCCTCGGTGTCATTGCAATGTGGTGACTCTTTGTGGGCCCTGGTTTGCTCTGTGCGGCTTTTTGCTTCCCGGTGTCGGCTTCTCTGGGTTCTTTGTTTTCCGCCACTTGTCTTCTCAGCTGGCGGAGAAAATGTGCCTGGTCGTCCGCGGAGGTGAGTGTGAGTGTCCGATCTCCCTTCATTGCTGTTAGGGATCCATCTGCCCCCCATCGGTATTTGATTGCCTCCGCTCTTAATTGTTTAGCCACTGATGCTAGTTGTCTCCACTCTGCTAGGGCTGCGAACGGGAGGTCTCCATAAAGGGACACTGTGCTGCCTTCGAATTGAACGCTTCCCAGTTCTCGGGAGCGAGCCATGATCGCTGAGCGGGTCTGAATATCTTTCGTGACCGCTATGACGTCCCTTGGGGATTCTGCTGGCGCTGCTGCGGCTTTGCGTATTCTAAATGCGGTTACTATTTTGTCTGGTTCGGTGTGCAGCCTTATTTCCATTCTGGTGGTGAGGCGGGATATGTACCTCAGCAGGGCTTCGTCCCCAATGGTCTCTGGTATGCCTCTGATGCGAATGTTTCGCTTTCTGTGGCGAGCTTCTAGCGTTGTGACCGTCCTCTTGAGCTGCTGGACCTGTGAGCGCAGATCCTGCACAGCGTCATTGGAGGTCTGTTGCTGGGCTTCTCTGGCGCTTTCTCTGGCTTCAACTTCAGTGAGCCTCTTCTGGATGACCCCCATCTCCTTCTTTGTGGCCTGCAGGTCTGCCCTCCACACCTCCCTCATTTCCTCAAGGAGGTCTCTGATGTCCCTCTTTGTAACTGGGGATGAGTCTTCCTCAGATTCAGATGCCTGACACTGGGCTCCGTCTTCTGCCTGAGATGAGGTGGGGCTGTCTCTGCCCTCCTGGGAGTCATCTGAGGCTTCCTCCTCGCTGGGTGCGGCGGGCGCCATTTTGGCTGGTGCCGCTTGTGTAGGCCTCATAAAGGACAGCCGAATGTCGGACGCTTTTGGCGGTTCCGGCAGACGGAATTTCTTAGTTTTTCGCCCCATGTCAGTAGCTGTGCGGGGGCTATAATTGTGGTGTTTGGAGGGTCCCGTTTGCGGGTTTCTGGCCTCTATTGTATTTCTCTGTGTCGGAGCTGCCGACTTTTGAGTCTTTTAAAGAGCCTGCTCTCACTTCTCCTGTAAAAGCTACTAAACAGAAGTCTAAAAGGAAGAGAACTCCGTCTAGTTCAGAACTATCCTCGGGTGAATGTTCTTTTTCTTATTCAGAATCCTCTAGCGACTCTTCTGTTACTGAGGTTGGTTTTCCTCATGATGAGTTGAGAAAATTTATTAAAGAGGTTAATTTTATCCTTTCTGATGAAACGGTAGATAAATCCAAGGGTAAAACACTTCCAGTCCAACAAAAAATACTGGATTTTATATTCAGAGAATGGAAGAACCCTGAGAAGAGGGCTTTTGTCTCCAGACATTTTAAAAGTATTGTTAAGATAGAGGAAGAAGATAAATGGGAAGAATTGCCGGTGGTTGATGTACAAGTGGCTCAATTGTCTAAAAAAAAAAAAAAAAACTACCATACCTATTGGTGAAGTTTCTGGTCTGAAAGACCCTATGGATAAGAGGGCTGAAACTTCCAGCAGAAGGGTTTATCAGGCTGCAGGTTTTCTGGCTAAAGCAGCATTAGCCGGGGCTTCAGTGGTGAGAGCTCAGAATCTTTGGTTTAACACTTTGGAAGATGGTCTGGGTGAAAACCAAGACAAAGGTCTTTCCCTCCTGTTCCAGAATTTAAGGTTGTCTAATGAGTACCTTATGGATGTTGTCACGGAGGTGATAAAGCTTTAGGCTCGTGTCATGGGTTTGACATCTGTGGCCCGAAGGGCACTGTGGCTTAAGGCCTGGACAGCAGACACTACATCAAAATCTGCATTATGTGAATTGCCTTTGGAAAAAGTTGTTTGGTTCTCCTTTAGAAGAGTTAATCTGACAAATGTCGGAAACCAAGAAGGCCCTGCCTCAATACAAGAAATATGCCTGGAAACCCAGGTATAGAAATTTCCAGTTCAAAAACCGTAGGGGTTTTCAAGAAAAACCCAGGTTTTTTCGTCAACACAGAAAAAAATCCAAGATTTGACACACAAAAAGACCCTAAGTATGACAGAAACAAACGTTTCTGACGCCATCAGAGTGGGCGGAAAGTTGCAAGGTATTGTTCACAGATGGAGGGAGACCACTACAAATCCATGGATTCTGAATCTGGTGCAAAATGGATACCGAATAAAATTCTTAGATGTTGCAAGACCAAGTTTCCTTGTCTCCTCATACCGGTCGAAGGTAAAAAGCCAAGCCCTTTTTTCTGCCTCCCTATTAAGAAAAGGTGTGGTAGAAAGGATTCGAACTTCCCAAATATATCAAGGGGTATACTCCCGGTTGTTCCTAGACCCAAAATCGGACATGTCTTTTCGTCCAATCTTGGATCTAAAAAACATGAATAAACTAATTCCTTACCAACATTTCAGAATGGAGACTATAGCGTCTGTCACCCATATCCTTCGAAAAGGAGATTTCAACTTTGGATCTAAAGGATGCCTACCTGCATATTCCTATGGATGTGAAATCAAGAAAGGTTTGCTATAAGGAAAGGAAAAAAAGGTCCATCATTTCCAGTTCAGAGCCCTTCCATTTGGGCTAGCTTCAGCACCCAGGATTTTTACAAAGGTCCTCACACCTGTCACAGCTTTTTTAAGGATGCAAGGAATCACAGTAGTACCTTACTTGGACGACTGGTTAATAAAGGCAGATTCAAGAGGCGCTCTAGAGTCAGATGTGGCCAATACGCTAGAAATCCTGGAAGAACATGGTTGGATTATCAACCTAGAAAAATCACACCTTACCCCTACGAGGTCTATCCTGTTTTAAGGGTTTTTGATCAAGTCAGACTATGTCGGTTTATCTGACAAGAGAAAATGTCAGATATGTTCGGTGAGGAAAGCCATGCAGGTTTTAAGTCATCTGACCTCTACAATCCCGGCAGTAAAATGGGCCAGAGCGGAATCAAGGCCCTTACAGTGGGAAATTCTTGTCCAATGGTCAAAGAAGGAAGAAGACTTGAATGCATTAATGAGTATATCAGATCATACAAAAGAAAAGATCTCTTGGTGGCTAGAGAAAAAATTCATTACAGAAGGCCTGTCTTTTCGTCACAAATCTTGGATCGTGATTTCTACAGACGCTTCAAATACAGGTTGAGGAGCTCACCTCCTGTATCACTTAAGACAAGGTGTTTGGTCGCAAAAGGAAACAAAGGAATCTTCAAATTTCAGGGACCTGTTGGCAGTTCTCTATGCTCTTCAGCAGTTATTTTTTGCAAGATGGTCTTGCTCAAGGTTTTAGTCTGTCTACCCTCAAAGTCCAAGTTTCCGCTCTGTAATTTTTTGGTAAAAAATTGGGCTTCTGATCCTCTCAGACTCGCAAAGCCTCTCTGTGTACTGAGCCTTTCGAACCTTTGGAAGAAGCTTCATTGAAGAATCTGTCACTGAAAACAGTGTTTTTGGTGGCCATTACTTCAGCTAAGAGGATAGGGGAACTCCGGGCCCTTTCTTCCTCTCCTGACTTTACAAATTTTCTTCCGGATTAAGTGGTTATATACCCTAAACCTTCTTTTTTTCCGAAAGTCATCTCCTCCAAGGTTATCAACCAACCTATTTTTCTTCCTTCCTTTAATGGTCCATCTATGCCAGACCGGAAATGTGATTGTAGCCAACTAGATGTGGGTACGTCTCTGAAAATCTATTTGGACCGCTCCTCTATGTATAGGATGACTGATCATCTATTCGTGAATTTCTTTGGAAAATTTAAAGGCCAGGTTGCTTCCAAGGCCACTTTAGCTAGATGGCTGGTGGATACTATTAAATTGGCTTATTCTTCCTCGAATCTACCTCTGCCTGCCTCCTTGAAAGCACATTCTACTAGAGCCATGGCTGCCTCTTGGGCCAAAAAACGTGTGCCTCTCCGGAAGATATAGGCAAGGCAGCTACCTGGTCTTCTTTCAACACTTTTGTCAAGCATTACAGCCTAGACGTATTCTCTGCCTCTGACGCTGATTTTTGGCACAAGGTGTTACAAGCTGTTAATGCCTAAATTCCCACCCTTAGTATGGGATCTCAATATATCCGTATTGTACTGCCACCATATGTCAGGAAAAACTGTAATTTTAATCACCGTAAATTCCTTTTTCCTTAATATGGTGGCAGTACATCACTCCCTCCCTTTATGTATATATTAATTTTGGGTGTTCTTGGTACATACTGAGGTCCCTGGGCTGGTTGGGTCTCTTATACCTGGTAAGGGGAGGCACTTTTTATGTTAATTATTTATTTCAGATGCTTGTCCCGAGGAAAGAGTACACCCTTATTGTACTGCCACCATATTAAGGAAAAAGGAATTTACGGTGAGTAAAATTACAGTTTTTTTCAAAGTACCCCAGAGGAACTGGATTGTACCCCTGAGGGTAGACTTACCACGGATTTAAAACTCCTGCACTCGAGGTTTAGCATCTACTTATAACATACTGTTCATATAATTATATTAAATTGCATTCATTAATTTGCACACTCTCATCCTTCCTAGGTATGGTTTTGTAATTGCAGTCACCACAATTGATAATATTGGTGCAGGTGTGATCCAGCCAGGCAGAGGCTTTGTCTTGTATCCAGTCAAGTATAAGGCTATTGTCTTCCGCCCGTTTAAGGGTGAAGTGGTGGATGCTGTAGTGACACAGGTCAACAAGGTGAGTCTGTTTCTACAAGTCCTGTGGCATTAGTAATTTTGTTTTAGAGATTAATTAAAAAAAAAAAAGCTTTTTGAATGCTGACAAAATATGTTCACTATTACATTATTATAGGCGCTTTGATAGCTATGATTTTTAATAAGATAATCGATCCCATTAAATATGTTTATCTAATCCTTGCAGGTTGGGCTGTTCACTGAGATTGGGCCAATGGCCTGCTTCATTTCCAGACATGTAAGTCACATGTAGAGTGGTGTACCTGTGTCTCTTCTCTGTCTCTATCCCATCATGTTTTCATATGTAAAGTGTCACAAGAAAGTGGTCTCTTTGCACACTAAAATGTCTCTTATTTTAATCCTACTTTTTAGTCAATCCCATCTGAAATGGAGTTTGACCCAAACTCTAACCCTCCTTGTTACAAGACAGTAGACGAGGTAAGATATATTTGATTCTTCTATTGTACTTAACATGAATAAACTTTACTTGTATGTTATCCAGTTCAATAAAGGGCAGTATGTGTAATGTGTGCATCCATTAATAAATAAACATTAAGAGAATTTTTCTAATTTGATAGTGTATAAATCACCCTGAGAGAATAGTTTAGAACTGCAGCGATATTCCAAAAACAATCTGCTTATTAAACTTGTCTTAACTGCTGGTATCAATTTTGTCCGTTTTCAGATGCCACTTAAACTTTAAATGAATTCTGTAGAGGCGATGTGCAGAATACTACTGCCGATTGCTGTATTTAGCCTGGTTCATTAAACCATAAGCTGACCGCAGTTGCAGTATGGCTGCTACACGTTTACAGAGCAATGTCATTCATCCTAAGTGATTAACTACTGTGCAAGGTTTTATGAGATGAACAGTGCATCAAAGGAAACCTTGAAAAGTACCACATTTTATTTATCTACGTAGCATTTTTAGTTCCTTCTTCAAATTGACAATGGCCATGAGTGTTTTTCTTGGTTTTGTCCACAGCCATCTTCTTTGGCTCATGTGAGGGATTAATGTTGTGTGTTGTTTTTGTTTTTTTTAATTTTTTTTTTTTGTATTTGTACCTTTGGCATATTGACCCAAGACAGGTACTACTTGTTCCTCCTTGATTTGCATGTATATTATCTCAATGTATTGTTCTCCATGAACACATATTGTATAACAATTTCAAAATAAGACTTTTTGTTCATTCTTTTTCTTTAGGATGTTGTTATACAACAGGACGATGAGATAAGACTCAAAATTGTGGGGACAAGAGTGGATAAAAATGACATTGTAAGTATGGCATAATCTCTGTATATCTGCTGAAAGGACTGTCTATTAGGCACTGAATGTCATAACAAAACTATTCTTTGGTATTTCTGACTTTTTTTGTATATGCCTGAGCATTATCCGTAGTGCCAAAGGTGTTTTTTTTTTGTTTTTTTTTTAGGCTAGGAACACTCTAACAAACATAACATAGTGGTTATGCTGCCTTGAGTGTTAGGCTGCAGTTTCCCTGTTTAATCTCAAATATCTGATTTAGGAATGGAGACAGCCAACTCCTAAGCCACAGTAATGATGCAGAACTTCTGAATTCTAATTTTATTGTTGTCCAATTTGAAGTTCATTGATTGACTATACGGAGCTAAAGTTATTTTTAAGCTTTATCAACTACACACTAGAAAATTCAGCTTATTACTACAAGCAGAGCTGAGATTGCATTTGAATAGTCTAAGTTTCGACTATAGCAAAATTGTAGAATTTTTCCAATTTGCCATAAATATTACTACTTAGATTGCAATTTTGAGTTCAGTGAATAATTTCCTTTGTTTTGCATATGCACTTAAAATAAATACTACACAGCTTATTTGCACTTGAGCAAATTCACAGAAATGTTTAAGTACAAAAAGAGGAACATATCCTTACATTGCCTAAAGCCAACTATTACACAAAATGCATAGGTGTTATGGGAAAGTTAATGTTTTTGTGTTTTGTTTTTTTTTGTTTGTTTCTTTCTTTTTTCATTTCATATTTGCCTTGTTATGTTAGGCACTAATACATAAGTAAAATACCTAGACTTTATACACAGAAACAATGCTGGTAAAGCATCAAGGGATGTGTAGTCGAAGGTTGATTAGCCCTGGCCGATGTATTATTCTTGTGCTCCATTTTAAATTGTTGCCTTCTATGTACTACAAAACATATTGACATGGAAAATGGAATTCCTCTCTAAAGATGTTTTTATTTTCTTTGTGTTTTCTATTTGGAGTAATTGTTTGGATTGCTAATTATATATATTTTCTTCTCAAACAGTTTGCAATAGGTTCTCTCATGGATGACTACCTTGGTAAGTCTCACTGAATATATTCTACAGATAAGACACTCTCATATTGTCATCTCTGTATGTTCTTCCTGTGTATAGTATTTGAATTGCTCACCTCTCTGAAACTGGAATGAATGTGAGATAAAGCAGATATATAGTAAATTGAACACTGTAGGCCAGGGATAAGCCACCTTCGGCACTCCAGATGTTGCAGACTACATTTCCCATATTGCTCACAGTGCATTAGGGTAGATGTACATGACCTCTACAGTGCCAAAGGTTGCCTACCCCTGCTCTAAGCTTGTTATATTGTTTGTTTTTGTTAGTTGTTTAACCCCTTAAGACCGGAGGGCATACAATTACATCCTATTTTAAGCGGCTCTAAACGCCGCTGGGCGTAATTGTACGCCCTCTGGTTTTTGTTTACTTACTCGGTCGCCGGTGGTCCCACGCCGGCGATCGCGGTGGGGGGGACTCCCAGGGAGCCCCCCCGCGGCAGATCCTCCTCCTCTGGTGCCCCCTGGCCATGTGAGAGTGAGGTCCTTGCGTGTCCTTGTTAATTTTAATTCTTGAAAATCCGTGAGTGCTAATCACTATCTGAATTTATTTGAATTTTCCTGGATTACAAGCACCCGGTTATTAAATCATCCAAGCGTGAGTGCAAGGATATATATATGGATATATATATATCTATCTCTATATCTATCTCTATATCTATCTCTATATCTATCTCTATATCTATCTCTATATCTATCTCTATATCTATCTCTATATCTATCTCTATATCTATATATATCCTTGCACTCACGCTTGGATGATTTAATAACCGGGTGCTTGTAATCCAGGAAAATTCAAATAAATTCAGATAGTGATTAGCACTCACGGATTTTCAAGAATTAAAATTAACTATTTATTAAGTATCCATTAAAAGATCAACGTTTCAGTCCCAGCAGGGACTTTCATCAGCTCCGTTCTGCTCACAGTGTAAGTCTCGCGAGAGCCGCGGGTCTCGCGAGACTTACACTGTAAACAGAACGGAGCTGACAGGGGAGCTGCACGGAGGAGGAGGGAGCTGACAGGAGCTGCAGGAAGGTAAGTAACAGCTCACTGCCAGCCCCCCCACTGAACTGCCAATGCCACTGGACCACCAGGGATTCGATATTATTATTTTTATTTTAATAATAAAATAATAATTATTAAAATAATAACATTTTATTATTATTGTAATATTTGCATTATTTTTAAAAAAAAAGGAAAAAATGTTTTGTCCCCCTCCCTGCTTGTTGCCTGGCCAGGGAGGGGGGACAAAAATTTTTTTTTCAGAATAAATAAATAATGCAAATATTAAAATAATGATAATAATAAAATATTGTTATTAAAATATTACTATATCATTATTTTAATATTTGCATTATTTTATTTTAAATGTTTTTTTTGTACTATTATTTCTACAGTCAGGGAAAACTTTGCTGAACTTGAGTTTGCATGGAGTCAAGCGGGCTTATATCTGCACCCCTCCCCTACCCCCTTGAACCCTAAAAGTAATGATAGGAAATGTGCATAGTCAAATAACGATTCTTCGTATAAACTAATGTATGCAAACTTTTTTTAGTCCATTTTTAACTTTTATTTTTCTTTGTCTTTTTCAGGTCTTGTCAGTTAATATGGGCGTTTGTCTGCCAATCATGAATCCTGACTTTGTTTTGGAGAGCTGTTCCAGTCCTAGTAGCCGCCCCATGTCTGATTTGTACATTACTTGTATTTTTTTAAAAGTAAATTATGAAAACACTATTGTTTTTATTTTGCTGTACTTATGAAATAATGGGACAAGTGTTGCATCCACATTTGTTGCTCCCATGTTTGTTTATATTTTTTTTTTGTGTGTAATTCTTTATTTTTGCTGTGCAGTGACAGAGCATGGCTATTTTACAAATTCAAGAGCACAAATCCCGATAAAAGTTATCCATCAAACAGTAAGAAAAGCTGCACATTTTCTTTATATTAGGGATGAAAACGAGCATAGAAAGTTTCACGAGGAAAGCAGGTAGACCATAACAACATTTGCATTGGATGCTTAAACAGATAAGAGTAGTGCTAAGTATATAGAAAAATGAAAACAGATGGGATAAAGCTGTATGAATCCAAAAAAGGAACATAAACAGTATATAGTGAAATACAGTTAATATAAACAATTGTGCGCCACAAATGAATACACTTACAGGATGGAGATGTAAAAAGCGCTCAGAGGTGCCTCCCCTGATGTTATTGGGGGGGCTGTTGATCCAACTTACTCCTCCAGTGTGGTAGATGTAAAACAGGACTCCAATAAAGGTAAGTAAAAAAAAATCAGCAGCTTTATTATAAAAAGGTGATAAAATCACCATCAACTTGTTATAAAAAAATAATAATAGAGGATTACAGGTCCTACGCGTTTCGATCCGTTATGGATCTTCCTCAGGGACCAAACAACAATAAAATTGTAACAGTAACAAGTGTAACAAACAAGCCTAATACCCCCTACCTCAGCGTCCCTTTATATAGGGCTAGTCCCTATGTCCATTGGTGGATTCGTGAGTGTTTCCATGTGTCCATCGGTGCAGGTGCTATACTTGTCTAGGTGTCAATATTCATCCAGGTTTTTAATCCCGCTTTTAAGAATGGAGCGTCTGTGTATAACCGGACGTATGTAACATCTAGAAAATAACAATGTTTAAATCTACTGAAGAGAAAGGATATTAATATCGCACACCAGACACTGAAAGTGCATATAGTATATATAAAGCACCAAAAACAATATGATTTATAATTTGTATCTAAATGAACATTTCTTACTCTGTTTAATTTTTAAACTACATATTAAGGTGTAATGATACCCAACAGTCTTAAAGTGACACATGCACAAAACTGAAAAAAATATTTTTTTACGTCATATTATGTCCTTGTGATGAGAGAAAAAAAAAAAAAAAACTCCATATTCATGGAGTAGCACACATACCTATTGCTGAAACCTTTAATATATATATATATTTATGAAATGATAAAATACTTCCCAATTCAATATTTTGCCAGATAGGGAATGTTATATCCCATAGAAAACAGTCAAGTTTATCATTCACCAAAACGAAGAGTAAAGAAATATTGATATATATCCATTAAAAGAAAAAAACAAATATATTTTCCCACAGAAATCACAAATTTGCAGTGATTTTGTATACAGCAAACATACTCAAAGGAATCCATGTTTAAAATGTAATGAGGCAAAAATGTGATTCTTTGTTAAACTAATTTGCATATGCCCACCCAGAATCCTTTGCAGTAGTAAGCTCACTGCAAATTTGTGATTTCTATGGGAAAGCAATACTTATGGCTTGACTGGTGTGCAGATTTTTGTTTAACGTTGTATTTTATCATATATATATATATATATATCTGTGGGTTTATATACTGTATAATCACCCTGTAGAATGCACATTGTGTGATGCACACCTGTCACTTCCCAGGTATTGGGGAAGGCTGTTTTACAAGGATTTGATTATACCCGGGTAAAGTCACGAGAAGATATAAAGGGGGTTCAATAAATGAATAAATTATCCTGCAATTAGTGTAACTGGAAATGGTTGCCGACTCTCTTATATTTCATAGACATACTGACACACACTTCCCTCTCTCCAGTTTTCTACCTAATTCAGGAGGGTGGCTTTTCTGGGGTCCAGTGGCAGGCGGAGGTAGTTGGGAGTGAGAGGCTCAGCCTCCTCCTTACGACCTTCTCCTCCCTCCAGTGCGGCTTCACTCTATCTTTGCGGAAGTGACTAACGGAAATAACATCCTCCCAGCCTGCTGCCGTAAAGCAAGGGTGCCCGGTCGTGCCGTTAAAGGGCCACAGCGCCCGATTGGGCCCAGGGCAGCTGCCCCGCTTTAAAGATGGCCTTGAGCTATTGCCAGTGCCATAACCACATTGAGCACAATGAAAGATCCATATAACTTAACGCTTCTTAAAAAAACAGAATTATGCTGTCACACTTAGAAGCATAATTGACTATAAATAAACAGTTTTTGCAACATGAAATAAAGTTATGGATACATTAAAGACAGTTGCTATGTACATAATACAACTTATTTTGTTGCATAGGAAGGAAGAGCTTGTGTAGCAAAAAGGAAAAATAGTGACGTCCCTTGTAGATATGAAAATCATAAAAAAGGGGAGAGATTAGAAAATAGGTGTAAAAAAATAAATATATGTATGTTTAAAGGCCAAAGGGCCGTATTTGTGGGAGGAGTTAGCGTTCCTATAAAAACCCACACCCCCTGCTTAACTTTGCCGTGCCGTTCATCCCACCCACCTTACCCTTCTACTTTAAATTAATTCTACCTCGGGCCCTTTTTATTACAGGCCTACCCTTTTGTCGGTATCGTTACAGAACTACCGACTTGTTCCATTAAATTATGTTATTGCACGGCTTATATGTTACCGACCACCTATATATATAAAATGCTGTTATTCTTAAAGTTATAAAAATAGGGGAAAACCACGATTAAGTCCTTTAGGTTCCAGACAGTCCAACTTGTGGATCCAAAACACCTTACGGAAACCATCAGGACTAATTTTACTACAGCAGTTTCTATAGCCGCCAATATCTATTCAGACTCTGTATGCGAGGCAGCTTCCCGGACTTACTTCAAGACTTTCTCGAAGTACTATTGGCTTGGTGTGGCACCCAGTAGAGTTGCAGTTATCCTGTACCAACCTTCCTTTCTTGCCTGAATATAACCCATAAGTAATTGTGCCTGAAAAAAACAAATTCATAGTTACCATAATTTTCCTTTCTGTTTATATTCCTTGGCCGCATCAGACTCCCTCCCTTCTGCATTATGATTAGACAGGAATGTAGAGTGAAAGGAACATATGGATATTTGTAATTGTTTAATTTCTTGTCCTTGCAGCTGAGGGGAGAGCCTCCCACAAATGATGCTGCTGAATATAATAGCCAGGAAAAGAAAATTACAGTAGGAAAACATTTGCTTATTTATTTTCCTTTGTCTATTTTGCAGTTAGGTAAATGACTTGAAAGTCCTGCTGATGCCTGACAGTGCATAAGTGGTGTAATATAACGCTACAATCACTAAAATGGCTGTCACAAATGTTAGGGAATTACCTGCTACCAAATAATTTTCAGGTTTCTCTGCTAGATGGTAAAATGGCCTCCAGTTGCTAGCTAACTAAAAATAACTTCTGACTCACCTACGTGAAAGCAGTTTCCTCAGGTACACACAGAGGAAGTGCTACCTTTTAACTTTTCTAGTGTCATGGTAGCATAGAATGGCCCTGTTATTTCATTAATACTCTATTTTTGATAATATATTACTGGAAACTGTATTTAATACATTAGAGGACAGACTCCTGTGGGACATATCACAGCTCTAGTAAACCACTTTTTATTTTCAAATGGTCCTTCCAAGTGAAGAATGACAATTCAATCTATACTCTGTGCAAGTGTGCAAGTCTCACTTTATAAATTCAAATATTTACTTAAAGGAGCACTATAGTCTACATATAAAAGCAAGAAAGACAGGTCCCCTAGCCTTTTTTCTTGCTTTTATATTAACTTCCCATTATTAAAAGTTATTTTACAATCCTTATTATAGATCAAACTTACCTCCGTTACAGCGCTGAGATCCTTTTCAGGCCGCGCCTCCTTTTTCGTCAAAATAACAAAGTAGCAGGGCTCAATTAGACGCTTCTCTTAGAGAAGCGTCATAGTGATCTGGTGCACATGCGCGGCTTCGCGCTGCACCAATCGCGTTTTTCATAGAGTGGCCTTGAATGACGCCCTATGAATTAACTCAGTGCTCTACCGTGCATGTGCGCGGTATGCGCGTTTGCAAGCTGTGCTGACTGACAGCTCAGCTGGCTGTCTATGCCCGCCCCCCCTAATACCGCAACCCTCCTCAGGCCAAACTTTGTGTGTTTGCATAGAAACACTATATATAGAGATATCTCTATATATAGTGTTTGTATACAAACACACAAATAGTAAATATTGTAAACATACACACACTCTCTCTCCATCCATCCATCCCTCTCCATCCATCCATATCCATCTATCCCTATATAACCATCCATCCCTCCCTATCCATCCTTCCCTATCCATACATCCATCCCTATCTATCTATCCATCCATCCCTCCCTATACATCCCTATCCATATCCATTTATCCCTATCCATCCATCCAGAGGGATGGATGGTTACAGAGGGATGGATAGAGAAGGAGGGATGGATGGATAGGGAGAGATTGATTGATAGAAAGGGATGGATGGATCAGAGAAAGTGTGTGTGTGTGTGAGTGATCTCACTCACAATCACTCACTCAAACACTAACTCATTCACATTCACTCTCACACTAACTCACTCAATCTCTCACACACTAACTCACTCACACTCTCTCTCAATCTATCACTCACACTAACTCACTCTCACACTAACTTTCTCTCAATCACTCACTCACTCTCACACTAACTCACTCTCTCACACTCACACAAACTCTCACTCTCACACTAACTAACTCACTCTCTCACACTCTCTCACACACAAACTCTCACTCATTTTTACACTCGTTCACTTTCTCACACTAACTCACTCACTCACTCTTGCACTAATCCACTTTCTCACACTCACTCTCTCTCAATCTTTCACTCACACTAATTCACTCACACACTCACTCTCACACTAACTCAATCATTCTCTCACACTAACTCACACACTTAGTCTCTCAATCTCTCTCTCACACTTACTCATTCTCAATCTCTTACTCACTCTCACACTAACTCACTCTCTTACTCTCACTCACACTTACTTTTAAAATAAGTGTACTTACTGTTTGAAGTCAGTAGATTTCTGCTGCCTTCTGCCTTCTGCCTTCAGCCTGTCAACCCGAGCCCACGCTGTGTGCAGACGATCGTTATCTTCCACACTTTCGGCTCTGATTACTGACAGGCTCCAAGTTACTACAGGACACAAGAGGCGCGTTCACAGTGCCTCCTGCCTCCTCATATCATGTCTGATGTATTCACCCAAGCGTGAAGATGTCAAACGTGATGAATGCGAGGTAGGCAGCCCTGAACTCGGAAGTCCCTCTGGTGCCACTGGAGGTGTTCCTAGCTTCCAAGGTAAACACTGTATTTTCTCAGAAACACTGTATTTTTTCAGATAATACAGTGTTTACATGAGAAAGGCTGCATGGAGCTATTGTTCTCACCTGAACAACCTCGTTAAGCTGAGGTCCCTTTAAACAAGTTATAAGAGAACACTGAGACCTAATTTGGCACCCATCAAAGAGCAAGCTAATTTATAGGGTTTTATTTATTTATTAGTCCATACTCTTGCAATCCTAGGCATCTCTTGGATATCTTTAACTCTCTACTTTGCCTCCATGTGGCCATTCCACATACTAACCTTACAGTTAATAACTTTGCATGCTCACCTTTCCTACTCTTCAGGCCTTCTCCCCGGTTACTGTCCGTGATTCCTATTTCCTTTCACCCCACCACTTGTCCCCATCAACCCATTCCCTCCCACGTATCAGATCATTCTCCCCTTGCATTGTTCCATCCATAACGCATATATTCAACTGCTCTCTTTCTTTTGGCATTGTCACTACTTCCCTTAAATATGCTACTGTCATACTCATCCTAAAATAGCCACACCCTGACCAATCTTCCTTGTCCAACTAACGTCCCATAGCTCTACTCCTTTTCTCCTATAATGAATTGTGTGTAACCGCCTGACAATCTATCTCAATTCAAACTCCTTAGTCAACCCCTTTCAACTTGGTTTCCGCCATCAATGTTCTACTGACACTGCTTTGACTAAAGTAACTAATGATCTTATTACACTAAATACAAATGACACTACTCCAACCTAATTCTTCTAGACCTTTCTGCTGACTTTGACATTGTTGATCACGCTCTCCTTCTCCAAACTCTGCACACCCTTGGCCTTAATTACAATGTCTTTTCATGGTTCTCATCCTATCTCTCTTCAAAATACTTCATGGTCTCCTTTTCTGGTAACACCTCATACCCCATCCTGTCTCGGTTTGTGTAAACACAAGGCTCTGTTCTTGGTCCTCTTCTGGTTTCTCTTTATACTGCCTTTCTTGGCAAACGTATTAATTCTTTTGGATTCCACTACTATCTGTATGCTGACGACACCCATATATACCACTCCACCCAGGGCCGTCTTTAACGCGGGGCAAACGGGGCAGCTGCCCCGGGCCCAGTTACTCTTGAGGGGCCCAAGACAGCTTCCCCGTGGGCCCCGCTGCCCCCAACAATTGTTTCTCCCATGGGGCCGCCGGCCCCCACATTAAGCAGGCCACCGGGTGGGTATTTGTAAGCAGGGGCCCGGTCACATACGGTAGCTCTTTAACAGCGCGACCGGGCCCTTTGCTTTTCGGCAGCACTGGGAGGAAGTGAAGGCTGCGAGTCACTTCCTCCCACTAAGGAGAGGAGCCACGCGGGAGACGAAGGAGGGAGCCTTTGCCAGGAGAGGCAGATCCCAACAGCCTTCAGTCTGGACACTGGGGAACCACCTTCCAAGGTAGGAAACTTGTGGGTGGGTTTAAAAGTGTAAATTTATGTCAGTCTGTGTCTGTGTCAGTATGTCTTTCAGTGTATGTTTGTCAGTATGTCTGTCAGTGTATGTTTATGTCAGTATGTCTGTCTGTGTCTGTGTTTGTGTCAGTATGTCTGTCATTGTATGTTTGTCAGTATGTCTGTCAGTGTATGTGTTTGTGTCAGTATGTATGTCAGTGTATGTGTTTGTGTCAGTATGTATGTCAGTGTATGTTTATGTCAGTATGTCTGTCTGTGTTTGTGTCAGTATGTCTTTCAGTGTATGTTTGTCAGTATGTCTGTCAGTGTATGTTTATGTCAGTATGTCTGTTAGTGTATGTGTCTGTGCTTGTGTCAGTATGTCTGTCGGTGTATGTGTCAGTATGTCTGTCTGTGTATGTCAGTATGTCTGTTATTGTATGTGTCTGTGTATGTCAGTATGTCTGTTATTGTATGTGTCTGTATGTGTGTCAGTATGTCTGTCATTGTATGTCTTTGTGTATGTGTGTCAGTATATGTGTCTGCATATGTCAGTATGTCTGTAGTGTATGTTTCTGTGTGTGTGTCAGTATGTCTGTCAATATGTGTCTGTCAATGTGTGTGTCAGCGTGTGTGTCAGTATGTCTGTCAGTGTATGTCTCTGTGTGTGTGTGTTAGTATGTCTGGCAGGGGGCAGAGTCCAAGGGCCCCAAGCAAATGGTTGCCCAGTGTCCGGTCAATATTAAAGACGGCCCTGACTCCACCCCTTTTCTCTCCCCTGCTGTCCTAGAACATGTCACCAGTTTTCTGTCTGCCGTTGCTCTTACCAGCAGGGCTGGCGCTTCCTATAAGGCGAACTAGGCAGCCGCCTAGGGCGCCATATAGGAGGGGGCGCCCTGCGCCCCCATCGCCGGCCCTTTAAATTCTGCAGCCGCCTGAGCGCTCTATAGAGAGCGCTCAGGCGGCTGCCGCAGTGCCTCCCCCTCCCCTGCCCTGTCCGGGTCGCGGACCGGATAGGAGCTCGGCCACGCTACAGCAGGGCAGGGCAGGGGAGGTGAGGAGAAGCTGCTGGGAGGGGGAGATGATGATGAGGGGGGAGATGATTAATGGGAGGAGGGGGGAGATGATGATGATGGGGGAGATGGGAGGGGGGAGATGATGATGATGGGGGGAGATGGGAGGGGGGAGATGATGATGGGGGGAGATGGGAGGGGGGGAGATGATGATGATGGGGGGAGATGATGATGATGGAGGGGGGATGATGGGAGGGGGAGATGATGATGGGGGGAGATTGGAGGGGGGAGATGATGATGATGGGGGGGAGATGGGAGGGGGAGATGATGATGGGGAGATGATTGATTGGAGGGAGGGGGGGAGATGATGATGATGATGGGGAGATGGGAGGGGGAGATGATGATGATGGGGAGATGATTTGATGGGAGGGGAGATGACTAATGGGAGGTGGGGAGAAGAAGAGAAGATTACGGGGGAGAAGAAGCGATTACAGGGGGGGGAGGGGAGAAGATGGGGGGAGGGGAGAAGAAGACAAAATTACAGGGGGGAGAAGAAGCGGAGAACACAGGGAGGGGGGGAATAAGAGGAAAACACGGGGGGAGAAGAAGAGGAGAACACGAGGGGTGGGAGATGAGAAAGTAGGGGAGGGAGAGACCACTAAAGGAGGGAGGGGGCAGTGGAGAGACCTCTAAGGGAGGGGGGTGGAGGATAGGGGAGGGTGGGGGGAGAGGAGAGACCACTAATGGAAAGTCGGGGAGAAAAGGAGACCACTAAGGGAGGTGGAGGGGGAGAGGAGAGACCACTAAGGGGCAGGGGAGATCTCTAAGGAATGGAAGGGAGAGCTCTATAGGACAGGGGGACAGGGAGCTCTTTCACACCACGCGCACACACACACACACACACACACATGCATCCCTATACACACAGAAACACAACATGCTTCCCTTACACACACAAGAAACACACAATGCATATACACAGAACACACACAATGCATCCTTTACACACACATGCAAACACACACTGTTTTTCTTACACACACACACAGAAACACAATGCATCTCTTACACACACTCAACACACCCCTTACAGACACACACACTGCATCCCTTACATACACAGAAACACACTTTGCATCCCTTATGCATACAAACACAGATTCACACAATGCATCCCTAACACACAACAAGAAACACACAATACATCCCTTATACACAAACACTCACTGCTTTCTATCCCTTACACAAACAACACTGCATCACCTACACAAACTGGTATCCCTATACACTACATTCGTAAGCACACACATTAGATCCTCTACTAACACATAACACATTCCCTACACACTCTACTCCCTGTGAGTTCATGGGTGGAACATGTAGGTGGCCTTATGGGTGGGCTTTATGGGCATACTCACCGTCAGGCCCTGGGGCCCAGACCTTGAGCTATGTAAGAGGCCCCCAAAAATGGAGCTGCTTCCCGTTCTCCCAGAACATTGAATTTTGTGACCACAGTTGCAAACAGCCTCCAGAGATCCTGTTCTACACCAGACCAGTGGAGCCAGACTGCAGCCAGAGCCCATCACCATCCTAATCTGATTGTAAGTAGGCAATCTAGTATATTATTAGTGACACTAATCTCTAATTTACCTCACATTAAATGGACACTATAGTCCCCTAGAACCACTGCAGCTTAATAAAGTTGTTCTGGTGTCTATAGTTTGTACCTGCAGGCTTTTTAATGTAAACACACACTGTGTGCAGCACTGGCATTAGTTCATATGGGTGGGGCATTGCGAAGTTCCGGGGGGGGGTGGGGGCGGCAAATCTTTCTTTTGCCTAGGGCGGCAAAAATCCTTGCACCGGCCCTGCTTACCAGCAAAACTCTCAACAACTCTACAACCGCTAAATTTCATCACTAATTCATAGGTATGCCACTTCTCGGCCACTCTGCTTTGCTAGTGACATTCTCCTGTCTGCTGCTCATTGAGACAGTAAATAACTTCAAGTGAAGTGAAGTTTTTGAGTAAATGATATTCCAAGTAGTGCAAATCGAAAATTAGTTAAAAGCAAAAAAAAAAAAAAAAAAAATACATTAAAACAAAGTAAATCTCTGTATCCTACCAATTCATCCCATAGGACTTCTTCAGGAGAAATATCCCTGAAGAAGTCCTAATTTTCGATTTGCACTACTTGGAATATCAATTTTCCCAAACTCACGCGTATTCCCCTATTCATCAACTGAACGTAACATGTGTTGTTCCCGTTTTATTACCTCTGAGAACACCGACCACCCCTGGCTGTTAACTGCAATTAAGTGATTAACTTGAATGCTTTCCCCCGGCAGAGAGTGTACCGCTGCCCATCCAACTTCCTGACCAGCTAGACAAATGATGTTCGGCAGATAGGAACTACCAACTGGAGGTACCGTAGCATTTGCTCCCTAAGAGCTAGGGGGAGTGTTCGTCGGTGTTCGCATGGGATCCCCCAAAAGCCGTTCCCCTTGATTCTCTGGAACTATTTTAGGTCATCACCTCGTTGCCGGCCAGTCAAAACTTTACCAGAATGGCGATTCTGTTCTACCAACTGGATCTGAGCGCTATTTGGACAACTTGGGCGCTCAGATCCGGGCTATTCGGGGATATAAGATTTGTGGGGTTCCTATATATTTTTGGGGTATTCTGTGTAAAATTATATGGTTTCCTGTAACTGAGAGATAATTGAGCTAGCCTTCCATTGACTCAATTATCTCCCAGACACAGAGACGCCTGGGAGGAGTCTGTACTTTTTACTATGGAAACCCCATGCTGGGGGTCTGTGCATAAAAGGCTGAGTGTGGTATAATAAACCTGAATTGACTCCCAGAACTGTGTGTTGTCCAGTTACTGGGGGAATGGGCTATAATCACTAAACTGCACTTCTCTTCCAGCTCCAGTGGACTTCAGCTGAGATAGTCGTCTCAGGATTTCAGCTCCGCTACAACCACTTCCATCTATGTCTCTTCTTCCCCCCTTAATCCATATGTCCCTCCCCCTTCCATGTATGTCTCTTTCCCCATATCTCTCTCCCCTCTTCCATCCATGTCTCTGTTCCCCTCCCTACATGTCTCCCTCCTCCTTCCATCCATGTCCCCTCCCTATCCTCTTACACCTTCCTTTTATGTCAACCTTACCCTATGTCTCTCCCTCTTCCATCCAAGTTCCCCTCCATGTCGCCCTCCCCCTTTAATAAATGTCCCCCTCCCCTCTATGTCTCTCCCCCTTGTATCCATGCCCCCTTCCATGTCTCTCCTCCTCTCCTTCACCCCTACCCCTCCATGTCTCTTCTCCTTCCATTCATGTCCACCTCCCCTCTATGTCTCACCCCTCCCCCATCCATGTTCCAACAAGAGGACATAGTCTTAAATTAGAGGGACAAAGGTTTAAAAATAATATCAGGAAGTATTACTTTACTGAGAGGGTAGTGGATACATGGAATAGCCTTCCAGCTGAAGTGGTAGGGGTTAACACAGTAAAGGAGTTTAAGCATGCGTGGGATAGGCATAAGGCTATCCTAACTATAAGATAAGACTAGGGAGTAATGAAAGTATTAAGAAAATTTGGCAGACTAGATGGGCCGAATGGTTCTTATCTGCCGTCACATTCTATGTTTCTATGTTCCCCTCCCTGTCTCTGCCCCTTCCATCCATGCCTCCTCTCATTCCACGTCCTCCTCTCCTCATACTACTGGAGTAAATTATAGTGAAGGTTAAAATGTAGGCTAAATGAGGCGAGATGGAAAAACTAACCCCCTTTAATCCATTGAGTGTCCCTTTACACATAAATCACTTAAGTATGTTATTATTTGGCAGTTTTTAAACTTGCCAAATTCAATAGAAATCTCCACTTTTATTATTGTGGACAGTTGGGGACTTTATTTTGTTTCCATTAGCTCCTCAGAGCTAACTTTAGTGTCCCCCCACATATGTTCTACAGCTCATTAAGGAGCATTGATTAGATGCGTAGTAGAATTTAAAGTGAATCTCAAATTTAAGGTCAAAATAGCTGAACTGGCAAAATTCTCTAAATCAGCTATTCATTTATCTTGGCTACTCTGACTTTAAATTTAAAATTCACTTTGGATTCCAAATTTAGTAAATAATCCTGTAAAGGTCTATATCTGGGCTAAAGGGGAAGGCTTGCAAGAGACGCAGATAGTAGGTCTGCAGATTTTGCAAGCTTTTTAAAAAATATAACCCCAAAGAAAATGGCAGGCAAAACCACATGCATGTTTTCTTTGGGGTTCATCTGCTAAATAGTTAAGACAGTGAATGGAATATTCCTTTAAGTGTTGGGAATGTCATGTTGTAAGCCCAAATAGCTTAAGTAGAACAATTCTCCAAATCACCACTTTCTGTTTGGCTATTTTGGTTTATTTTTAAATTTCCCTTATCAATTCCCAGCATTTATTCAGCAAAGTGTAACATGTTAGGAAATCAAAGTGAATTTGATATTTTAAAGGAACACTATGGTGTCATTAACACAAACAGGTATTCATGATATTATAGCGGTAAAATGGTACCTGGCCCCCTCTCTTTATTTTAAAAACGTGTTTTCACTCACATTTTTTCCAGCACTGCGCCTGTCTCCACCTCTGTGGCTGACATAATCAAATTTGACGACCTCAGTCAATATGATTGACTGGTACTAGAGGTGTTACTAGGCAACAATGTAAACACTGCCTTTTTTTCTGAAAGGGCAGCGCTTACATTAAAATGCCTGGAGGGACTGTCTGTAGACACCATAACCACTACATTAAGCTGTAGTTGTTCTGGTGACTATATTGTCCCTTTAAGCCCAAATAACTGAACTGAATTTCACTTTTTTGTCCAAGATTTGAAATTTACTTTCAATTCCCTACAATTCCCACTTTAATAAATAACCCTGTCAGTGATTAACTCTAGGTTTTACTCACTTAACATACTACTGGAGTAAATTATAGTGAAGGTTAAAATGTAGGCTAAATGAGGCGAGATGGAAAAACTAACCGCCTCAGCCTGACTATATCTGCCTAAAGTCTGCAATCACAAACCATAGTAAATAGTTATTTTGGGAATATGGCACTACACGTGCTCCCAGGCTTTCATTAGCGTAAACCCTTGTTATCCCAGGTGGCTGAGCATCACGTGACAGGCAGCCTGAAACACCTAGAGGAGCTCTATTACCAAGCGTTCATCTAGAACCACCAATCAGCGCTCTCACACGCGCCATACCCGCGCCGCGCTCTGCTGATTGGTCCGTCTTTGTATGAAATCCTGGCGGGTTCTCTGCAGACATCAGACTCAGCTTTCCGCGACAGGTGCACCATGGACAGAAAGGTAAGCGCGTGCAGTCACTGTGTGAGTATACCGGGCTGTTAGAGTGTATGCTGGGTAATGACCAGTTACTGTGTGTGTATAGCGGTTCTATAGATAGAATGTAGAATCTATGTGACAATAGGACGGGCAGCTGTCAGTGTGCGCGCTAATTGTAATGTATCTTGGAATAGGGGGTTAGAGCAATAGTTTTTGAGCTACACTGTTTCTACGTAGGCTAATATAAGCTCTAGATATGGCTGCTAACCTGGTGAAGTTGTCTAATATTTCAGTGCAAGGTTTATGGGTCTGATCTAATTTGTCTAATAGTGCATCATAGGACTACTTAAAGATGTAGCCATGCTTTACATGATCAGTAGTTTAACCCTTTAAGGACACATGATGTGTAACATGTCATGATTCCCTCTTATTCTAGAAGTTTGGTCCTTAAAGGACCACTCTAGGCACTCAGACCACATCAACTTAATGTAGTGGTCTGGGTGCCAGGTCCCTCTAGGATTAAGTTAGGGTTAATTTAGCTGCTAGAAGTGTTTGTGTACTTCTCACTGTGAAAATCAGTGAGAAGATGCAAGCGTCCCTAGGAAAGCATTATTAATGCTTTTCCTCTGAGACTGGCTGAATGTGCATGCAGCTCCTGCTGTGCATTCAGCCGAAGAGGAGAGCTGCCTGGTGCTGGGGGGGGGGAAGAAAGGTAAGATTTAACCCTTTCCTCTCCATCCAGCCTGGCAGGAGGGGGACTTTGAGGGTGGGGGCACTATAGTGCCAGGAAAACAAGTGTTTTCCTGGCACAATAGTGGTCCTTTAAGGGGTTAAAGGGACACTGTAGGCACCCAGACTACTTCAGCTAATTGAAGTGGTCTTGGTGCTGTGACCATTTTGCATTTCCAGAGAAACTGCACCACAGGGCTTCCCGGATTGAAATGTATGTCTGGTGTCTGCCGCTCGTGTCAATGCTCTACTATGGGGTGGTCACAGGTGTGTGGCATTAGCACCAGCTTGTTGGATGGAGTGTTGAGTGACATGGGTGCTGAGTTAAGGTAAAGAGGTTTTTAACCCTATATATACACTGGGGGTGGTAGTGCCAGGAATACATCACTTTAACCCCTTAAGGACACATGTCATGATTCCCTTTTATTCCACAAGTTTGGTCCTTAAGAGGTTAAGTGCCCAACAACTGCCTTGAATGTTCTGTCAATGTAGCAATGTTTAGCCTTTTAGCATTTCAACTACTTTGCTTTAGGTTAGCTGTACAGTACTCCACAAAACTTAGAGGAGACTATACCTTCTCTTGAAACAGCAAAGTATGGCAAGTTACAGCTAATGCGTGAGCATGCCTTGTTTCTGTATCTCTAGATGGATACTCCACTACACAAGTAAAATTACCACTATTACTGGATATACCCAATGAATAATGTATGCACGTTTGGTTTGTAATAGACTTTCTATATCGTAAAATGGCTGGCAAAAATGATTTCACATGTGCATACTTTAGAAGCCCTCCCCTTCTTACCAAGCCCAGAACTTGTTGCTGTCCAATCCAGATTTCTTGTGGTCTTGCTTAATCTTTCTTTCATTCTAGTTTTCTGCATATGTATACTGATAATGGCTTCTGCCAGATTCCCCCTCAAACTGATCAGTGACTTTGGGGCATTAGCCATACACAGCACAAATTAAATGGACACTATAATCACCAGAACAGATACATTAAGCTGTGACTAATCATTTCCATGCAGACTCTGTATTTTCAAAGAAAATGCAGTGATTACATTGCTTTCTAGGGACACCTCCAGTGCCGTTCAGTCTCTATCCATAGCGTTTGGCCCTGTCCCGCCTTCTTTCTGGTTTCAGCCAAGCCAATTCTTTCCCTATAGGAAAGTACTGGATTGGCTGAAATCATAAATTTTGTAAGTATGGGGGGGGGGGGGGGTTGTGTTTTTTTTTTTTTCCAAGCAACCTACATTGTGGATGAACCACTACAGGGTCAGGAATATGTTTGTTCTTGACCCTACAGTGTTTCTTTAAAGGAACTATAACAATTCAATAGAAATTATGGTGCCCAGGAGTCCAAAGTGCTTCTTAAATTGAAGGGATTAAAGTGTTCTAATGACTTGACTCCAAAGGCTGCTCTCCAGCACTGGATCTTTCTGTTCCCTGGAAGTGCAGCCTGTCACTGGGGTACTGCTTAGTCAGCAGCACTCTGCACATTTGAATAAGTCATGGTGCCTATACACTTAAGCTAAAGTCTTGGTGTTTAGAGTATTTCTGTACTTTTAGCAGTTTTTTTTTTTTTTTGTTTAGATGTATTTACCGGTCAGAAGTAGCTTCTTGCATAGACTGCCTGCAAACCATATAAAGCCTTTCTCTTCCACTGATACAATATTTTCTTTCCCTTTTTTGTTTTAGGAGATGTTACTGGAGCTCACAGGCGGCCTGGACCTCTTCTCTGCTTTTCTTCCAACTCTGTCTTCTCCCTGTGAGACAGATGCCCCACTTCTCCCTTCTTTCTCTGTTACATCAAAGGTTCCAGGCCTCACATCCCTACGTTACAAGACAGAGCTCTGTACAAGATATGCAGAAAGCGGGTTCTGTGCATATAAAAGCCGCTGCCAATTTGCCCATGGTTTGAGTGAACTAAGACCTCTTCTCCAGCACCCTAAATACAAGACAGAGCTATGCCGATCCTTTCACGTCCTTGGGACCTGCAATTATGGCTTGCGTTGCCTTTTTATTCACAACCTTCAGGAACGGAGGGAACCACTTGTTTCCCCAACTGTCAGTCGTTTGCCACAACGTCGTCATGTAGCTCCATACAACAAGCAGCGTTGCCGCCTCTGGCGCTCACCTGCTGGCTGCCCTTATGGGGCTCGTTGTCACTTTCAGCACCCAAAGGGTGTCCAGGAGGCATGCCGTCACTATGCTGCTCTAGGTGACTGCCCCTATGGATCTCGCTGTTACTTCTCACACAACCAGCCTCCAGACCGTTGGGGCACCGGAGGCAAGAAAGGGAGTGACTGTCTATCACCTTCAGATCCAGATAGTGAACCTGGAACACCATTGTTCTCAGACTCCTCTGCTAACAATGCATTCACATTCTCCAGTCTCCTTCTGCCGCTTGCTCTACGTCTACAGATCCTAGGGGAGGAGGATTTTAGTGGCCTTGGTGACCCAGTCCTCACAGAGGATGAAAACTCACAAGGAACAGTGTCTGACTGAGCAGCTAACTTCTGCACATTTCTTATACATGTCTATGAATTTTAACTTTTACGATGTTGAACCCTGATTTTTGGAAGTCCTAAGGGTTTGATATAAAGCTCTTAACCTAAGCTCTTTAGCAGAAAGAAGCTAAATTATCTTAACTACTGCCGATAAGGCTCTTATGTAAATAATTTTTAACTTATTTCTTATCTAACTGCAGATGTGTTTAATATTAGTGATGTAGTTTGATGGGATTGTTTCATAGAACAAGATGTTTTTTTATGTCGCTAATTAAAAGTGTTTTTAATAATCTCTTGGCTTGTCTCTCTCATTCGAAGCAGTAAAGTTTTACTGAAGCTTCAAATAAAGGTGGAGAAAACTTGCACTATCATTTCAAGGGTGCAAAAAAGTGTCACTGATGCTGTGTAGGGAGCCTTTACACTCTTCATTGATATTTATAGAGCGCCGTCAAACTCCGCAGCGCTTTACAATGGGTGGACGAACAGGCATGTAGTTGTAACCAGACAATTTGGACACTCAGGAACAGAGATTGAGGGCCATGCTCAATGAGCTTACATGCTAGAGGGAGTGGGGTTAAATGACACAAAGGTAAGGATTGTGGTTTTCCCAATCTGACTAAACATATTTCTAGCTGCTGCTTCCCACACTTTCTTGTAATTTTGAGTGTATATTTATCTAAGTCAGATATGATGCTGTAACATTGACACTATAAATTGTTTTTGTACTACATTTTCCTTGAGTCTCAGCTAGCTCTTAGACTCTAAAAGCTAGCTGAGCATCAAAGGAAATGTAGTCCAGAAACAACTTAGGCTGTCAAGGTTAGCCATCACTGCTCTAGTGGCTGTCTACCAGTAAGACTAGTTGGTATTCTTAAGCAGGAGCATTTTTAGTTCTCTATAGAGCTATGGTTGGTCTACTTAAATATAGGCAGTGTTCTGAGGATTAGACTCAGATTTTACTACCGAGGGGAGATATTGCATTAGTGTAGTTAACCTCCCCACTGCACTAATGCTAAAAATAACTTTTACTCCCAGATTACTGTAATTGTTAAAATTGCTAGTCTTAGTTTGTAACATCCAGCAACTCTTGTCTATTAGAGTATTATTGTGTTGATGCTGGTATCAAGTACCTTGAGAAATTTCTGTAGCCACTTAAAAATCAGGGATCATTCCTTGCTTGGAATCTAGGAGCCAGGTAAATATCTTCCAAAACCGCGTCATCTTCAAAGACAAAAATATATTGGACATTAGTCACCAGAACTACAGCTTAATGTAGTTGCTCTGGTGTATATATCCTGGGCTGGGGGCCCAATGGGTGGCCCATGTAACTAGTATTAGTCTGTCACTTTATCCCAGCTTCAGAGCACTGTGTGGGAGGGAGGAAACAGCAGCCGGCAGTGAGCTGCTGCAGACCTGCAGCAGCCCAAAAAGTCACTGCTGCAGACAAAAGGTAGGAGCATGTCTGCAAACCTAAAGTTTGATATATTTGTAGTGTGTGGGTTTTTTTTTTTTTTTTTTTTTGGTATTCTATAAACCCCAACCCTGCACTTAAAAGCGCATTAGATACAAACACATCACAGCATGCAATTGCAAACGTCACACACTAGCATTCCAATGGCAACAGTAAATACAAAATACATCACTATATGCCCAAACATACTCTATAAAGAAACAATATTATGTTCAAATGCACAAACAACCCTGCATTGATGGGAAAGTGAGAGTCCAAGCTGGCATAGCTTTGTGGGGAACCTCATCTCTTCTTGCGCTGGAGAGACCAAAAGTATAGCACCAGTGCCCTCTATTTTAGTCTTGCCACTGAACCAGTCCCTGTAGATTTTTGTTTTGTTTTTTTCAATGTAAACACTGCATTTTTAGAGAACAATGTTTACATTGCATCCTAGTAACAGATCTAGTGAGTCACTCAGCCACTGGAGGTGCTGAATGTTCCCTGTGGTGATGAATTTCAATGAGGAGATACTAATTGGTTTGGTTCAGCATTTTGTGCAATGACCTCACTATAATTTCCTATGGGAAAATAGTGGCTTGGCTAAGATGATCAAGTATCTCTGCCATGGATGTGGGGCCAGCCACAGAGACAGTCATGGGAAATAAGGAGAGTTAAACACATTTGCCATGTGGTCGGCGTGGGATGTTCACCTAATCTTACACTCACTGACACACATTCATATTTTTGCAATGGCAGATCGCATGGCAAATTAACAGTGAGGTTTGTGCAAAAAATAGTACATCTATTGACTAGGTAGTACAGAGTTACTTTTGTTAAGGCATTTCTTCATGTTGTGGTGGTCTTTTAACCTTTTCTTCATAACTAAAATGCTCCATTCCTTTTATCAATTTTGTAGCTTGTCTCTGCACTTTTTCTAGTGCCATGATATCCTTTTTTTCGAACATGTGCCCAAAATTGCACAGCATATTCAAGGTGTGGTCTTACCAGCGATTTATAAAGAGGCAAAATTATATTTTCATCCTGAGAATTTATGCCCCTATTTATAAATGACAAAATCTTACTGGCCTTAGCAACTGCAGATTGACATTGCATATTGCAGCCTAATTTGTTGTCTATAAGAATTCTCAAATCTGGTTATTTCTAATTCACTACCATTTAGGGTGTAAGTTGCTTGTGCATTCTTAACCCCGAAGTGCATAACTTTGCATTTCTCTACATTCAATTTCATGTCATTTTAGTGTCTAGTCCTCCGATCTATCTAAATCCCTTTGCAGCAAAGCAATATCCTGCTCACATTTTATTACTTTACAAAGTTTTGTGTCATCTGCAAACACTAAAACATGGCTTTAAATGCCTATCTCAAGATTATTTATAATTATGTTAAATAGAAGCGGTCCCAAAACCATATCCTGATGGACACCACTTTTGACCAGCTTGAAAATTTTATGACAACTAGTTGTACTCTATCCTTAAGCCAATGTTCTAACCAAGAGCAAGAATATTCATCTATACCAATTTCTTTTAGTTTGAACACGAACCTATTGTGAGGAACCATATCAAATGCCTTGGCAAAATCCAAGTAGATCACATCCACTGCAACACCCTGATCTAGACTTCTACTTCTTTGTAGAATGCAATTAGGTTAGTTTGACATGACCCATGTTTCATAAAACCATACTAATTATTGCTAATAAAGTTCTTCCCAATAAATTCCTGAATATTATCCCTTAATAGCCGTTCACATTTTTCCCCAGTCACAGAAGTTAAACTCACAGGTCTATAATTTCCAGGCAAGGATTTTGAATCCTTTTTAAATATAGGAACGACATCTGCATTCCTCCAGTACAATACCTGATACAAAAAAATCTTGAAAAATTAAATAGAGGTTCACTTATTTCCCCACTTAGCTCCTTAAGTACTCATGGGTGAATACTGTTTTTTGCAGCAATCATTTGCATCTCTCTTGCCAAAGGATCCTCATTCATATATACTGAAGAAAAATTATCTAAAATTTCTGGTCTTCATTAGCTAACAGACCCATCTCTGTTTCCAAGGTACCTACCATTTCATTTTTTGTGTTTTTAGAATTGATGTACTTGAAAAATTTTGGGGGTTTGGTTTTGCATTCTTTGGTTAATAATTTCTCATTTTCTAGTTTAGCCACTTGAAATGCCTTTTTGGAAGTATTATTGGCTTCCTTATATCTTATATAGGATGCCTCTGATTTGTCTTTTTTAAATGCCCTTTTATTTTTAATCTCTTGTTTTACTTTTCTACTAAACAGTGGTTTCTTTTATATTTATCACCCAATGGTACATACTGAGAAATGTACCTTTGTGATCATATGTGCTCCCTTGCCGTCTGGCTCCACGGCCCCTGGCTGGCTGCCTCCATGTTCCCTCGGACTGACAAACACCCAGGCGCCAGGACAAAATACCTAGCTGCCATAGTGGGATTTGTTGAGCCTTAGGCTAAGACCTCTCAGGCTGTGACACAAATTCTGGGTGATAAGAGAGCTGAGATCTGGCAGATGCTGTGTTGGTTTGTATATGCAATAAAGCATTTTAAAGGCATAACTTTGCCATGGCTAACCCATGGCTTCTAAAAAGTAGACCTTTTCCAGGGGCTCTAAGCAGGTTACCAGTTTGCGCCCCCCTCCCATCACTCTTAATAAAGGGTTAACCCTGGCCTGTCACCAGCTTGGGCTGTTTTCTCCATTTTTCACATAGGGAATAACTCTAGGCAGGTTTCCACTTCGCCCACATTTCTTTCTCCACATGGGGATACTTAAAGTTTCCAAGCAAATCCATGGCCCTTGTCTCACCACTAAGTCTAAGGCCCAATCTTGCTAGGAAAAAAAAAAAAAAAACCCTCCAACATTCCCTTGCTAGATAAAATGCCTTCCAAGAGTTAGAGCTTTGATGATTACACTGAAAGGTAAGGTACCAGTGGTGTGTAGTACAGTTTTTTAAACACTAGAGGGCAGGCGATCAACAGCATTGCTACCCTGTAACATTCGGCCAGGTTTGTGTCACGTGACCAGAATAAGCCCGCCTGCTGATCACGTGGTAACGATTTGACGGACAAGCCTATTGGCCAATGAGGTTTTTCCCCCGCCCAATCAGCTCTGTTTCGGCTAATCGAGAAGCGGAGAGAGGGGATGCAAACGGCGTAACGGAGTCCGGGCGGGATTAACGTGGTCAGCTTCCGGCCCCGGTAAGGCGATTCTCCTTGCGGTGTGGTGAGCGCCCATCCGTTGTGTAGATGGATTCCATGCACTGCCAGCGCGCGGGGTATCGCGGAATGATTGCACTCCAAACAGTTAGCGGATGGGATGAGCGTAAAGGATGCCGGGAAGCTGGGACGTGACGTCAATCAGAGGCGACGGGGTGTCGCCGTAGCGCCCACCTTCGTTGCCATGGCAACCCATGGAGCGTCATTCTTTAATCCAATCACTGCTAACCTTCGGTTACTGTGTCTACAACACCCGGGCATGTCCTATATCCCCCCCCTCCCCAAATAGTTCCAGGCTCCTAACATTTTGCAGGACCCTTGCCAAAGTTCTTTTACTTTTAAAGGGATAGTTTAGTCACCTCAAGGTACCATAACAACTTCATCTAAATTAGATTATTATGGTGCCAGGAGGCCCCCAGGGGTTTAACCCCAAAGGTGCCCCCAGAGAGGCTCTCCACCCCTCCCCAGGTGGCATTCGGCTTCTGAAATTTCAGTTTCAGGAGGCGCGGAGTGCTGCTGTGCCGTCTCGCTGCTGATTGGGTAAGAGTGGGTTTTGTGAATGGGGAGTCAGTGATTGGCAGAGAGCATCTGCCGAGCCAGTCAGGGGCACTTCTGCCAGGCAGCACCGAGGCCTGCACTAACACCCAAAGTGAAAAAAAAATATGGGTTGCATTCTGTGTGTAAGGAGCTGTAGTTGTATTGAAGGACAAGCTTGCAGTGCTGGATACAGAGAGCTAGTCTCTGTATTCATTATTCAGAGGCTTGCAGTGTCGCTGCTCCCTGTGCCACTGTGTTGTGTGCTCTCCGACTATACTTATGGCATAATTTGCAAACTAAATTAATTTGCAATAAACATATCTAATTAGCAATTATGCTAATCATTTATACACCACTGCGGGGTATGATTACATAGCCTTTCAGTCGTGTATACATTACTGCCGGTGTGTGTATTTCTGAGTGTGTCTGGCATTGTCTACATGTGTATGTGCCTGAAAGTGTGTGTCTGACAGAGTTTTCTTGTGTGTGAATGTATGTCTTTATGAGTATGTGTGTGGGCTAGCTGCTTGCGGTGTTTATGGGGGCTGCCTGTGACCTTTGTGCATGTGTGTATGATGAATCCTTCCGTTTGTGACTTTGACCAGGTGAGTAAAGGGGTAACTGTGGCAGGGTTAATGTGATAGGGTGAGGGAGGTAAATGAGACCGGGTTGGGGGTGTGGGGGGAGAGGGTGAGTGTAAAAGAATGAGGGAGGATGAGAATGGTAGGGGGACGATTGTGACATGGTTGGAGGAGGGAGTGCATGGGGAAGTAAGTGTGACAGGATTAGAGGAAGTTAATGTGACAGGCTGCATGTGGCATGGTTGGGGGTGAATGTGCCATGTTTGGAGGAGGAAGTGTAACAGAATGAGGGAAGGTGAGTGTGGCAAGATTTTAGGGGGTTAATGTGGCAGGATTAGATTAATGTGGAAGGGAGAGTGTGACAGGGCTTCGGGTGAGTGTGGCACAGTTGGAGGACAGGATTGGAGGGGCTTATGTGAGTGTGGCAGGGTGAAGGGGGTGAGTGGGTCAGACTGATAGAGGATGAGTGTGACAGGATTGGGGGTTAATGTGATAGGGTAATTGTGGTAAAGCAAGGGCAGGTTAGTTTGGTATGGTTGGAGGGGTCATCCCACAGCCAGTAAGGTGGGTTGTGACAGGGTGGGGGGCTGGGACAATATGTGTTGGTGGCTGTGACATGGTATGGGGGCTTGAGGGGCTGTGCCAGGGTGGGGGTTGGAGTGGCTGTGACTTTGTAGGGGTATGGAGGGACAGTGACAGAGGGTAGGGGGGGGGGGGTTGTGACAGGGGGTAGGGGATGGAGGTTCTGTGACAGGGGTTAGGGGGTGAGGGGCTGTGACAGGGGGTAGGGGGGGGGGCTGACGGGGTAGTAAACGGTGGGGGATGGAGGGGCAGAAACACAGGGTAAGGGGTGGAGGGGCAGTGACAGGGGGTAGGGGATAGTAACATGGGGGTGGAGGGGCAGTGATGGGGTAAGGGATGGATGGGCAATAACAGGAGGTGGGGGGTGGAGGGGCAGCACCAGGGAGTAAGGGGTTGGAGGGGCAGTAACGGGTAAGGGGTAGTAACAGGGGATAGGTGGATGAAGGGCAGTGACAGGGAGTAGGGGGCTGGGTTAAGGGGGGTACTACAGTGGGTGGGGTGATGGAGGGGCAGTGATAGGGGTGGAGGGATAGTAACAGGGGGCCAGGGGGTGGAGGGGTAGTAACAGGGGTTAGGGGGGGTGGAGGGGCAGTGACGGGGTGGAGGGGTAGTAACAGGGGTTAGGGAGGTGGAGTGGCAGTGACAGGGGATGGGGGGTGGAGAGACAGTGACAGGGGGTTGGGGGGTGGAAGAGCTGTAACAAGTGGAGGGGGGTTTATAAATTCCTTCCCTGGTGGTCCTGTGGGCGCCCTCTCTCCCCGGTGGTCCGGCTCTCTGGTCTGCAGCTCTGCCGGGAGTGAGCTGCAGACCACTTGGTAAATCTTGCGATCTCCAGTTAGAGCGTTGCCGTGGTAACCCGCAGCAACGGTCTGACAGGCAGGAGATTGCGAGACACTTCAGTCTGCAGCTCACTCCCAGAGAATATCTCACAGAAAAAAACAAGTAAAAGTATGGCGCTAAAATAAATAATTCACCTCATAATAAAAAAGCTGCACCATACAATTACATTTTTTTAAAACACATATATTAACATAACAAACCAGGAAATATATACCACACCGAAAACAAGGTGACAGTATAAATTAAAGGGGTAGCAAACCAATGTAATAAAACATACAACCTGTATGTAATAGAACAAGTCTTGAGAAATCTACAAATATGAAAAATCATACAGTGGTGAAGTATGTACAAAGCACCAAGCTCAATCCCGAAGGTAGAGAACTTACAAACAGTATTGTCGATCTGTGCTTATCTCCCTCTTAAAGGGTATCTCAGAACAGCAAAGGAACTTCTTTTCAAGGAGGGCTTGTAGATGTAGATCAGAATATATACAAAGACTCCAATCCTCAAAGGAGAAAAATATATAGAGCAGTATTGTCAGCCAAAATACATTTATTAATACTGGTTACACTTACATAAAAACTGTGTTAAATCAGCATATCTCCACTCAAACGGTGGTACCATGAGGAGGGAGGTCCAGCTTCAATAAGTAAAACAATAAAAGAGATGATAATAACAACAAAAATAAAAAAGGAGAAAAACTATGAACTAAATGTCCCAAAAGATAAATCCAACGCGTTTCGTCCTGTTGACTTCCTCAGGGATATGAAAAAAACAAGAGACAAGTTCTTTTTATATGTCCCAATGAATTGTTTTCAAAATTTGCCGCCCCTAGTGTCTTATTTCCGGGTTCCGTCCATGTCGCCTCTGATTGGATATGCGTGCTGACGGCTACGTTCGCGGGTGTAGATGTCGATCATTTCCGCGTTTCACAGACGCACCTCACAGAAATCATAAGGGGTGTGTATTTTAGAAGGACTTCCGCGTTCCACACTGGAACGCACCTCAATCCCCTATAGTGGGAAAACAGAGCATCCAGAGTGGGAAGGGGGAGAGCTCGTTACCATGAAACCAAATACAAAATAAACTAAAAAATACAGTAATAAAACATATTAAATACAATAAACAATAGAAGCATATATATAAAAATTAATATATGAAACATATATATACAAAATATATAAAAACATATATATAAAAAAGGCATGTATGCTTTGTAAAAGTGCAAAATACTGACAATATTATACAAATATCAGAAGATGAATATAACCGGCACAGGTATAATCTAAATATGCTGTAAAATACAACCCAAAAATATTCCAAAGAATACATATTCCCAAAAAGAATTCCAAAAAGTTAAATAATCTAATTAAAGGAGTCCTGTTAAATCGATGTCTTGGTTTAAAACTGTCCCTAGAGTTTTTCGAGTATAAATCCAAAAAGCTTCTTTTTTAGCTAGGTCATTGATTTTATTTCCCCCTCTCCAATTTGTGGTAACCTGGTCTTTACCAATAGCAATGAAAGTAGACCAATTGAACATACTACAAGTATTGCAATGATTGGGGACACTATGTTCCACTTTACGTGTCCTGATATTGTTAAAATGTTCTCGAAGTCTAATATGCAGTTTTCTGGTAGTTCTTCCTATATACTGCGCACCACATCCGCATTGCAGCAAATAAATTACATATGTCGATGTGCAGTGTATGAATTTCTTTATATTATATGTCTGGTTAGTATTAGACCCTGTAAACGACATTGTTTTTCTTTTTTGGTAGATACAAGTGGAGCAGGTCCCACATTTATGAAAACCTGTGTTTTTTTGTAATTGTAAAAAGTTCATTTGTGGACTCTTTATCTGTTTGGGTAAAAGGCTAGGTGCTAATTGATTTTTTTTTTAGATGATCTGCTTTTCTATATATAACTACTGTTTTTTCAGGTAACTTTTTTCCTAGAATTTCATCTTTTTTCAAAATCGCCCAATGTTTTTTGAGAATATTTTAAATTTTTTTTAGCCTGAAAGCTATATTTAGTAACAAAGGCAAATTCTGTGTGTCTACTGCTGTCCTTATTTTTACATCTAATGTCTTTATTTTTAAAAAATTCTGAACGATCCTTCTCTTTAATTTTTAAAAAATCTCTTTTTATTTGGTCTATATTATAACCCTTTTCTGCGTATCTGTTTTGTATAATTTTTGATTGTTCTTCAAACGTCTGAATATTGGAACAATTTCTTCTCATTCGGGTTATTTGTCCTTTCGGGACATTGTTCAACCATGTAGGGTGATGTAAGCTGGTCTTTTTTATGGCTGTATTACAATCTGTCTTTTTGAAAAAGGTCTTAGTGTTAAGAATCTCGTTTTCTATATATAAGGTTAAATCCAAAAAATCTATGGTAGTCCTATGAATATTAGAAATAAAATGCAAATTGTATTGATTTAAGTTTATAGTCTCGATAAATTTTTCTAGCCCTTGGATATCTCCTTCCCAAATTATAAGAACATCACCTATGTAACGCCGCCAGAGGACGAGATTCCCCCCCGGGTATGGTCCCAAATGGATACAAGAAGCCTCCCAATGGGACACATACAGATTAGCAAAACTGCGGGCGAATCTCGTCCCCATGGCGACGCCACATTGCTGTAAATAAAAGTTAGAATCAAACCAAAAAAAATTCTTGGTCAAAACAAAATGAATACAGGACACTAAAAAATCAATCTGTTGTGAATTCAAAGTATGTTGTTGGATTAATACATCTCTGATAACCTCCAAACCCTTTTTGTGTGGGATATTGGAGTACAGAGAGGTAACATCCACCGTAGCTAATATGTAAGATGGTTTCCAGATAAAAAAATGTAAAGTTTGAAGAATATGTGTCGTGTCTTTAATGAAGGATGGGCACAGGGGTACATAAGGTTTAAGAAAAAAATCTACATATTCGGAAAGGTTGTAGGACAATGAGTTAATTCCACTAATAATTGGCCGACCCGGAGGGGTCATCAAACACTTATGGATCTTCGGAAGAAAATAGAAAATTGCTGTTTTACATGTCGGATTAAAAATATATTGAAACTCTGAAGGAGAAATAATAGTATTGTCAATTCCTATCTGGAGTAAAGATCTAAGATCTTCCAGAAAGGACTTGGTAGGATCTTGTTCGAGTTTTTTATAGGTGGAATCATCTCCTAGAATTCGATACGCTTCCTGCATGTAGTATTCCATACTCATAATAACCGTACCTCCTCCCTTATCTGCCTCTTTTATAACCAAACTAAAGTTCTTTTTAAGTCTATTAAGAGCCTGTCTTTCTGGATTAGTGAGATTATGTTTGGAGCTGTTATATTTCCATTGTATTTTATCGAGATCAGTTTGAACTAGATCATTGAATACTTCTAAATATTTTCCTTTTTCATAGGATGGGTAAAAATTAGATTTTCTTTATAAAGATGGAGAAATGTTAGGTAAAACCTCTAAAGGTTGTTCTAAAGTATCTATAATGTCATTTTTATTAGATGAAGCTATATTATTTGTCTCTTTCGAGTTCCGTTTTTCAAAAAAAGTTTCGCTTCGAGAACATTTTAACAATATCAGGACACATAAAGTGGAACATAGTGTCCCCAATCATTGCAATACTTGTATTATGTTCAATTGGTCTACTTTCATTGCTATTGGTATAGACCAGGTTACCACAAATTTGAGAGGGGGAAATAAAATCAATGACCTAGCTAAAAAAGAAGCTTTTTGGATTTATACTCTAAAAACTCTAGGGACAGGTTTAAACCAAGACATCGATTTAACATGACTCCTTTAATTAGATTATTTAACTTTTTGGAATTCTTTTTGGGAATATGTATTCTTTGGAATATTTTTGGGTTTGTATTTTACAGCATATTTAGATTATACCTGTGCCGGTTATATTCATCTTCTGATATTTGTATAATATTGTCAGTATTTGGCACTTATTCATCTTCTGATATTTGTATAATATTATCAGTATTTGGCACTTATTCATCTTCTGATATTTGTATAATATTGTCAGTATTTGGCACTTTTACAAAGCATACATGCCTTTTTTATATATGTTTTTTTAATATATATATGTTTTTATATATTTTGTGTATATATATATATATATATATATGTGTTTCATATATTATTAATTTATATATATATATGTTTCTATTGTTTATAGTATTTAATATGTTTTATTACTGTATTTTTTAGTTTATTTTGTATTTGTTTTCATGGTAAGGAGCTTCCCACTCTGGATGCTCGGTTTTCCCACTATAGGGGATTGCGGTGCGTTCCACTGTGGAACGCGGAAGTCCTCCTAAAATATACACCCCTTATGATTTCTGTGAGGTGCGTCTCACTGTGAAACGCGGAAATGATCGACATCTACACCCGCGATGCACCCGTCAGCACGCATATCCAATCAGAGGCGACATGGACGGAACCCGGAAATAAGACACTACGGGCGGCAAATTTTGAAAACAATTCATTGGGACATATAAAAAGAACTTGTCTCTTGTTTTTTTCATATCCCTGAGGAAGTCAACAGGACGAAACGCGTTGGATTTATCTTTTGGTACATTTAGTTCCTAGTTTTTCTCCTTTTTTATTTTTGTTTTATTGTTTTACTTATTGAAGCTGGACCTCCCTCCTCATGGTACCACCGTTTGAGTGGAGATATGCTGATTTAACACAGTTTTTATGTAAGTGTAACCAGTATTAATAAATGTATTTTGGCTGACAATACTGCTCTATATATTTTTCTCCTTTGAGGATTGGAGTCTTTGTATATATTCTGATCTACATCTACAAGCCCTCCTTGAAAAGAAGTTCCTTTGCTGTTCTGAGATACCCTTTAAGAGGGAGATAAGCACAGATCGACAATACTGTTTGTAAGTTCTCTACCTTCGGGATTGAGCTTGGTGCTTTGTACATACTTCACCATTGTATGATTTTTCATATTTTTAGATTTCTCAAGACTTGTTCTATTACATACAGGTTGTATGTTTTATTACATTGGTTTGCTACCCCTTTAATTTATACTGTCACATTGTTTTCGGTGTGGTATATATTTCCTGGTTTCTTATATATTATATTTGGTGTATGTGAGGTACACTTTTTGGGTGTTTGGCATTACCATTTGGTCTTTTGGGATATTATACAGTATCTTTTTTATACATATATTAACATAGCACTAACAAAATGTGCTGTGTATTTAAGACAAATTATTAAATACGCTATAAAGTGCTATAAAATTATTTTCAAGTGTATATATCCTAACATTGTGCAAAACAATGTGCTTTATGCAGTTTAAAACTAGACCCTCTTCTCCTGCAGAAAACATTCTTAAATCAGAGTAGAATTAATTAAAGTAACCGAGGAACTGCTAGAAAACTATAATGGTAAAATATGCTGTTGTTTATGATTTATCTGTCTAATTAGTTCATCTAACATTATGTGCCTCTCTCAAGTTTAGGGATGTCTCATACCGAGGACAGACGCTATGTGGAGTTGTGCCAAGATTCAGTGCGCCTGTCTGCAGAAAGTGTGGGTGTTGATATATCTGATGAGGTTGCTGCACTGCTGGCTGAGGATGTATGTTACCGACTCCGGGAGCTCACCCAGGTATACACAACAGAGAATGGAGATTTTATTTCTTGCTATTTATTTTCCAGTAAATTTCATTTTTGAAGTCCCATGCCTTCTTTTTCTCTATTTTAATTTAAAGAATTAGATGACGATTTGTACCCTGTGCTGTGGAACAGTAATTGCATGTAAGGTTATAAGTAGAGATTTCATCTTTATGAAAAACAACTTTTTGGGTGAGGTGGCAAAGCTACTTTAACTTTATTTTAAGTTGAAGGGCCATAATTTAAACATGCACAGGAAGAGTCTGTTATATTATTATTATTATTATTATTGCCATTTATATAGCGCCAACAGATTCCGTAGCACTATATAATTATTTATAACATTAGACTGTTCCCTTAAAGCAGGGGTGGGGAACCTTTTATCTGCTAAGGGCCATTTGGATATTTAAAACATCATTCGCTGGCCATACAAAATTATCAACTTAAAAATTAGCTTACTGTATTTGGTCAAACATTTAATTAACTCACTCCTAATGTGATGGCTGAAACTGCTTCTCTTTGGTGTGATGTTAGCTGGTATTGATGATTTTGCTACTCGCATTGTGTGTGAGGGGTGCAGTGTGTGTGTGTGTGTTTGTGTGAGGTGTCCAGAGTGTATGTGAGGGGTTCTGTGTGTGTGTGTGTGTGGGGGTGCAGTGTGTTTGTGTGAGGGGTTCTGTGTGTTTGAGTGAGTGAGGGGTGCAGTATGTGTCTGAGGTGGTGTAGTGTGTCTCGGGTCTATATTGTGGTGGGGGGGATAAGGGAGAAAATATATAGTATTTTACTTAAAAAGAAAACTTTATGCACAACATAAGGAAGGGCATGCAAAGGCTGCAGAAAAGATATCTGCAGCCTGTACAATCTATTTTCAGATATTCCCCCAATGCAAATTTACACAATTAACCCCTTAAGGACCAAACTTCTGGAATAAAAGGGAACCATGACATGTCACACATGTCATGTGTCCTTAAGGGGTTAAATACATGCATGGTTTCATTGGTGTACACCTATTAAATTGTAATTTTTTTTTATATATTCTATTTTTATTTGGGCAGTGGATTATCCCTTTAAATGCTGAAATTTATCAGGTACTGAGACTGAGAAACCCTACTCTGAGTAATTTGCTTTATTTTTATTTTTTCCTGAGATGAGTATGTAGTCTCACAGATGCAGTTTTATCTTCAGATCATTGAACATCCTTTAGCACATAGTTGGCAGACTATATTATTAACCATTCTCACATATTTGTTCTCTTAGATAATGGCTTCTCTGTGAGAAATGTTAGAGTCCTCAATGCTTTTTATTATTCTCCCTGTCTTTGTTAAGTGAGAAGTCTCAGTGGCAGTTTATATTCTATTTATATTTTGTTGCTGTCATATTTTCTCTGTTCTGCCCAGGTAATGTTCAGAATTCCGTTTGTCACACTTCCAGAGTTATTCTCCCCTGAAATCCCTACAATTTCCCATTTTTGCTCTGTCTGGGTTCTGCACAGTGTGTCAGGCACCTTTTCGATTTCTGTATTGTACAAAGTGTGTAGGTACTACATGTTTCTCAGTTACATATGCATACTGTCATACTTTTTATTATCTTGTAATTAATGTGTGCCATCTCAAGTTGTATTACAATATGATGCTATATTAACTTTCCATTTTCATAATATATTATTACACTCATCCTTTATTTCTCAGTTCAGTGCACAGTCTCTAAGGCACTCTCGTAGAAGGAGGCTGACTGTGGAGGATTTTAACCGTGCTCTTCGCTGGAGCAATGTTGAGGTAGGTGGTGACATCACATATAATGCTTGTAATATTCTAAAAAGAGCAAATAAATGTAGAGGGTTTATTGGCTGTATTATAGAGAGAGAGGACTCTAATTATATAAATCGTGGCTGCTGACAACCAGATTTGAATAGCAAAGTCAAATAGTGATGTCTATTTATTTGTGTTTCCCACAAGCGGTTAAAGGCTCAGAAGACTGGTTTAAAAAAAATTGTTGTTTGTATTCTCAACCTTCTATCTTGCTATTTACAGGGAGTGCAGAATTATTAGGCAAGTTGTATTTTTGAGGATTAATTTTATTATTGAACAACAACCATGTTCTCAATGAACCCAAAAAACTCATTAATATCAAAGCTGAATATTTTTGGAAGTAGTTTTTAGTTTGTTTTTAGTTTTAGCTATGTTAGGGGGATATCTGTGTGTGCAGGTGACTATTACATAGAACATAGAAATGTGTGTGACAGATAAAAGAACCATTCGGCCCATCTAGTCTGCCCAATTTTCTAAAAACTTTCATTAGTCCCTAGCCTTATCTTATAGTTAGGATAGCCCTATGCCTATCCCATGCATGTTTAAACTCCTTTACTGTGTTAACCTCTACCACTTTAGCTGGAAGGCTATTCCGTATCCACTACCCTCTCTCAGTAAAGTAATACTTCCTGATATTATTTTAAACCTTTGTCCCTCTAATTTAAGACTATGTCCTCTTGTTGTGGTAGTTTTTCTTCTTTTAAATATAGTCTCCTCCTTTACTGTGTTGATTCCCTTTATATATTTAAATGTTTCTATCATATCCCCCCTGTCTCGTCTTTCCTCCAAGCTATACATGTTAAGATCCTTTAACCTTTCCTGGTAAGTTTTATCCCAATCCATGAACCAGTTTAGTAGCCCTTCTCTAACCCTCTCTAAGGTATCAATATTTTGAAGATACGGTCTCTTAATTCTGTGTACAATACTCCAAGTGAGGTCTCACCAAGTGTTCTGTATAGTGGCATGAGCACTTCCCTCTTTTCTACTGCTAATACCTCTCCTATGCAACCAAGCATTCTGCTAGCATTTCCATACCGCTGCTCTATTACATTGTCTGCCTACCTTTAAGTCATCAGAAATAATCACCCCTAAATCCCTTTCCTCATATGTTGAGTTAGAGACTCTATCAAATGATACCATTGCACTCTGCCCTTGGGTTTTTCGTCCAAGATGCATTTATCTTGCACTTATCCACATTAAATGTCAGTTGCCACAACACTGACCATTTTTCTAGTTTACCCTAAATCATTTGCCATTTGGCTTATCCCTCCTGCAACATCAACCCTGTTACATATCTTAGTATCATCAGCAAAAAGACATACCTTACCATCAAGACCTTCTGCAATATCACTAATAAAAATATTAAAGAGAATGGGTCCAAGTACAGATCCCTGAGGTACCCCACTGGTGACAAGTCCAAGCTTCGAATATATTCCATTAGCTACAACCCTCTGTTGCCTGTCACTCAGCCACTGCCTTACCCATTCAACAATATTTGAATTCAAACTTAAAGATTGCAGTTTATTGATAAGCCTTCTATGTGCAACAGTGTCAAAAGCCTTACTGAAATCTAGGTAAGCAATGTCTACTGCACCACCCTGATCTATAATTTTAGTTACCCAATCAAAAATCAATAAGATTAGTTTGGCATGATCTCCCTGAAGTAAACCCATGTTGTCTCTGATCTTGAAATCCATGTGTTTTTAGATGTTCAACAATCCTATCCTTTAACATGGTTTCCATCACTTTCCCCACTACTGAAGTAAGGCTTACTGGCCTATAGTTGCTTGACTCCTCCCTATTACCTTTCTTGTAAATGGGCACAACATTCGCTAACTTCCAATCTTCTGGGACTACTCCTGTTAACAATGATTGGTTAAATAAATCTGTTAATGGTTTTGCTAGTATACCACTAAGCTCTTTTAATAGCTTTGGGTGTATTCCATCAGGTCCCATTGACTTATTTGTCTTTACTTTTGACAGTTGAAATAGAACCTCTTCCTCTGTAAACTCCCGTGTAATAAATGACTCATTTATCTTTTTTCTTAACTGAGGTCCCTTTCCTTCATTTTCATCTGTAAATACTGAACAAAAATATTTATTGAGGCAGTCAGCTACATACCTTCCTTCTTTGGTTTTTAATCTAACTAATCCTTGTTTTACTTTTTTTTTCTCATTTATGTATCTAAAAAAAGTTTTGTCCCCCTTTTTTACTGCCTGCGATATTTTCTCCTCTGTGTGTGATTTGGAAGCTCTTATAACTTGCTTAGCCTCTTCTGCCTAATCTTATAGATCATTTTGTCTCCTCACTCTGTGTTTTTTTATAATTCCTAAATGCTAACTTTTTCTTAACTATTTTGGCTTACATCTATGGAGTACCACAGTGGTTTCTTTTGAATTTTTTTGTTTCTACTGACAAGCCCAATGCAATTTTCTGTTGCCTTCAATAGAGCAACTTTTTAAATAATCCCATTTTTCCTTTGGACTCCATTTAAATTAAGTTCCAGTCTGATAATGACTCTTCTACCCATATTCTAATTTTAGAAAAGTCTTTTTTTCTAAAGTCTAAAACTTTTGTATTTGTGTGGTGTGACTCAGCACTGTTCTTATATTAAACCACACTGACTGATGATCACTGGATCCTAAACGTTCACCTACAGTAATATCTGATACCAAATCTCCATTTGTTAACACTAAATCTAGTATGGCCTCTTTACGAGTTGGCTCCTCAACAACTTGTTTTAGAGACAATCCCAGTAGGGAGTTTAGAATATGTGCTCCTGGCACAAGTAGCTAATTTTGTTTTCCAATTTACATCAGGAAGATTAAAGTCACCCATGATGATAACTTCCCCTTCATTGTCATTTTAGCTATTTCCTCAACTAGTAGATTATCTAACTCTTCAATTTGTCCTGGGGGCCTATAAATCACACCTACACGAGTTACTGTGTGATTACCAAATTTTAACGTAGCCCAAACGGACTCTATGTTTGCCTCACTAACTTTTATTAGGCTAGATTTTATGCTATCCTTCACATACAAGGCCACCCCTCCCCCTTTCTTGCCTTCCCTATCTTTCCTATATAAAGAGTACCCTGGTATTGCTATGTCCCAGTCATTTTTCTCATTATACCATGTCTCAGTAACAGCGACTAAATCTACAATATCAGATGCCATTATTGCCACAAGTTCATGGACCTTATTCCCTAAACTGAGAGCATTTGTAGACATGACTCTAAGCTTATCATTTTTAACACACTTGCTACAGGCACCTTCTGTCCTTGTTTTGGGGGACAATTGGATTGATGTTTTATCACCCTTTTGCCCCCCTTCCTAGTTTAAATACATCCTAGCAAAACCTCTGAACTGCTCACTGAGAACATTTGTTCCCTTTTGAGAAAGATGCAAACCATATTTTTTGTACAGCTTATCTCCATTCCAAACAGAGCTACCATGAGAAATAAAGCCAAATCCTTGCTCCCGACACCATTCACCAAGCCACAAATTAAAGTCCCTAATACGCATCCGCCTGTCGTTCTGAGTGTTATGCACAGGCAGAACTTCAGAGAATGACAGTGTGGAAGCAACCTGCCGTATATCATTGGCAAAAACACTAAAAACTTCCTTAACCTCTGAAACCTCATTGCAAGCCAAGTCATTTGTCCCTAGATGGACAAGTACATCCAATTCCCCTTCCTGCTTTGCTTGCTTAACAATATTACAGATACGTCTCCTGTCTCTGTGAGCAGTAGCTCCGGGAAGACACCTCACAAGACCACCATTGTCCATCTCCACACCTCTTATAATGGAATCACCCAACAACAACTGCTTTCTATTAGGCCTCACCATAGTCTCTCCACAACACCACTAGCTCAGTGTCTCCACAACACCACTAGCCTCAGTGCCTCTCTCCACAACACCACTAGCCTCAGTGCCTCTCTCCACAACACCACTAGTCTTAGTGCCTCTCCTCACAACACCACTAGCCTCAGTGCCTCTCTCCACAACACCACTAGCCTCATTGCCTCTCTCTACAACACCACTAGTCTTAGTGCCTCTCTCCACAACACCACTAGCCTCAGTGCCTCTCCTCACAACACCACTAGCCTCAGTGCACTCAGTGCCTCTCTCCACAACACCACTAGCCTCAGTGCCTCTCTCCACAACACCACTAGCCTCAGTGCCTCTCTCCACAACACCACTAGCATCAGTGCCTCTCTCCACAACACCATTACACTCTGAAAGTGCAGAAAATGAATTATGAAGAGCAACAGACTGTGCAAAATGCCTTTTATCCACAACTCTAAGTCTACCAGATCCTACAGTAATCCATCTGCCTTTCCTAGCATGTCTCTGCGGCAGTGGCTTTGCAGCAGTTCCAGTCTGAGTTTCTACACCAGATAATTTACAAATCTCAGACTTCAAAAATACAAAATTACTGTGCATAATTATTAGGCAACTTAACAAAAAACAAATATATACCCATTTCAATTATTTATTATTACCAGTGAAACCAATATAACATCTCAACATTCACAAATATACATTTCTGACATTCAAAAACAAAACAAAAACAAATCAGTGACCAATATAGCCACCTTTCTTTGCAAGGACACTCAAAAGCCTGCCATCCATGGATTCTGTCAGTGTTTTGATCTGTTCACCATCAACATTGCGTGCAGCAGCAACCACAGCCTCCCAGACACTGTTCAGAGGTGTACTGTTTTCCCTCCTTGTAAATCTCACATTTGATGATGGACCACAGGTTCTCAATGGGGTTCAGATCAGGTGAACAAGGAGGCCATGTCATTAGATTTTCTTCTTTTATACCCTTTCTTGCCAGCCACGCTGTGGAGTACTTGGACGCGTGTGATGGAGCATTGTCCTGCATGAAAATCATGTTTTTCTTGAAGGATGCAGACTTCTTCCTGTACCACTGCTTGAAGAAGGTGTCTTCCAGGAACTGGCAGTAGGACTGGGAGTTGAGCTTGACTCCATCCTCAACCCGAAAAGGCCCCACAAGCTCATCTTTGATGATACCAGCCCAAACCAGTACTCCACCTCCACCTTGCTGGCGTCTGAGTCGGACTGGAGCTCTCTGCCCTTTACCAATCCAGCCACGGGCCCATCCATCTGGCCCATCAAGACTCACTCTCATTTCATCAGTCCATAAAACCTTAGAAAAATCAGTCTTGAGATATTTCTTGGCCCAGTCTTGACGTTTCAGCTTGTGTGTCTTGTTCAGTGGTGGTCGTCTTTCAGCCTTTCTTACCTTGGCCATGTCTCTGAGTATTGCACACCTTGTGCTTTTGGGCACTCCAGTGATGTTGCAGCTCTGAAATATGGCCAAACTGGTGGCAAGTGGCATCGTGGCAGCTGCACGCTTGACTTTTCTCAGTTCATGAGCAGTTATTTTGCGCCTTGGTTTTTCCACACGCTTCTTGCGACCCTGTTGACTATTTTGAATGAAACGCTTGATTGTTCGATGATCACGCTTCAGAAGCTTTGCAATTTTAAGAGTGCTGCATCCCTCTGCAAGATATCTCACTATTTTTGACTTTTCTGAGCCTGTCAAGTCCTTCTTTTGACCCATTTTGCCAAAGGAAAGGAAGTTGCCTAATAATTATGCACACCTGATATAGGGTGTTGATGTCATTAGACCACACCCCTTCTCATTACAGAGATGCACATCACCTAATATGCTTAATTGGTAGTAGGCTTTCGAGCCTATACAGCTTGGAGTAAGACAACATGCATAAAGAGGATGATTTGGTCAAAATACTCATTTGCCTAATAATTCTGCACTCCCTGTACTAACTGATGTTGGGAGTTTTTTGTCTGATGATAGATGCGTTACAGGTTTCGTGGCCTCTGCAATATCAACAGTCTTAGTAAGAGTAAGGTCATCTTCTGTTAGCAACCACTTGTGTATTGTGGCATTATATAGGTACATCACAAACATGTCATGGAAGACAACAGGCATAGAGTTACCTAAGTAATGGCATAAGCTCTCACAACCTAAACAAGTGATTTGTGTCTGCAGTAAAACTTGAATCTCTCAGCAATTTCCAGAGGCTTAGGCTACTAATGATTTGAGAGTGTTTTAATTAACTAATTTTAATTGTTTAAAAGCAGGCTTTTGGGGGGCGGGGCCTGACTATCATGGCGGTGAGACTAGTTTTGAACAAGCTAATCCACTACTTTGTAATAATTGTCTCTCTGCAACTTAATTTGGCTCCACTGGCACACACATAGTGAAGGGTTTTGCTTCCTGACATAATGTGCCACAGTCAGCGACTTCTCTGGCATTTACTCACCTTCGTGTGGCACATGCAGACTAGTAAACTAAGGACGGGAGAGGTGGACGGTCTCCTGGTCCGGCAGTGTCCCAAAGCAACTATACCCACGCAAGAGCCCCTTTGTCCTCCCACCTCCCTTGGACGGGCAGGGTAATCCCAGTCCACACCTAAGAGGCCACCAGGACCTGGCAGGTCAGAGTGGAAGCCAACGGAGCTAGTGGAACTTCTGGTGACTCACCTAACATGGCGGTGAACACGTGGCTCCCGGACCCCAGAGATGCACCGTTTGGCCTCCAGCTCATGAGGTGTAACCTTCACTACTTTCTGGAGATGGCTGGAGCGCAAGATCCGTCAGTGCCAGCAAGCTGCTGACCTGCAGTAGCAACAAGCCCAACCACTCCAGGCTTTCCCGCAGTGCTCGGAAACTCTAAAGCGAAAGCTCCCCTTACCGAGACTGGGGCGAACCCAACGACAGCGGAGGCGCTTGAACTGCTGCAACATCAAGGGTGCTAGGAGTAACCTGATAACAGCACGGGAGGAGGAGGCCCTACTCTGCTACATCCAGAGCAGTTCAGGTATCGGAGCTGAGCTCACATTTTTACACCACTCTGAGGCTCCCGCAGCCTTCACCTGGGCCCTCCTGCTGGATGACTGCTCCACAGAAACGCGATCATGATCTACCTTGGAAGGGTATGGGATGACCTGGAACTGTGAGCCTGGCTGGCATGCCTCACTATCCCCCTGACGCTTCCACAAAGTCTACTCCTGTTTTATGTCTTTAAAATATACCTGAAGCTTGAAAGTATTTTTACTTGTGATTACAAGTATCTGTTAATACAGATCTCTTGACTAAGGCAGACATATCATACTTCTAATGCCTGTTAATTGGTCATTGTCCTGGGGGGCCTCTTGGGCAATTTGTTTACTATGTTAACTACACTCTTTGTGTCTAGGTTACATTTTTGGATTACTAGTTTAGCTATATTGCTCAGACACATGTGTTTAACCTGACTATTATTCTACAAAAATTAGCAGATTCTTCAAAATGCCTTCATTTGTTGATTCATGTTTCCTCTGTATTCTATATCACTTGCGCTGCCTGTTGGGGCATTGCAAGCAAGTTTTGTATTATTGTGCACAGCAAAAATAAAGAATTGAAAAATATAAAATCAGACTTTTTAGGGAACAGCAGGCCATGCAGTGTGCAAAAAGCAGAACAACCTACGGAAAACATCAACCTTTTTTTCAGTGGTAACTCTATTAGCTTCTAAAAACTGTTCTAAACGCTCCATCCAACCAGACTAAAAGCCTGAATCAGTGCAGAAGAATTGCATCTTACCGATTTGGGGCATAATGCTGAATTGTCTGACTACCAGAAGGGGTGCAGAAAAAAATCTGAATATCCTTGTTGCTTCTGTTATGTCTGATGATAGCTGAGATAGGCAAGTAGTTATCGTTCACAACTCACTTATCAAGCATGCCCAGTCACTCTGCTAATAAATACATCTCTCCTGTTACGTTCCATCTAACATGGCTGAATCTTGTACACCTACTGGGAAGAGAGGGAACCTGGAGATGTGTTCATCCCAGCATGTCGTGCCCAGTTACTACAGGAGCTGGTTTAAGAAAAACTACATTGCACTACTACATTGTACAGTTACCCTATAGGTGATTTTCAACATACACCACACAAGTGGTCTGAAATATTTCTTTTTTTTTTTAAATCACAATTTAAGTCAAAGTTTATATATTATCACCAAAAATAGAGGTAGAGGAGGACATATCGCCAACTCTGCCACATTCCTAACTTGGCTATTTTCCCCAGTTTGCCAATGTCTTTTTTTCTTTTTGTCTGTATACATTGTTCATGCCCAATATAACTCTTTCACTTAGGCTGTCTGTGGACACGGATCTCCAGATGCAGTCTCTTTCCGCAGCATTAGAGATGGGGAGTGTTACTGTGCAGAGGACAAAGACATTAACCTAGTAGAGTTAGCCCTTGCAACAAACATCCCCAAAGGGACTGCTGAAACTGCGGTGAGAGGTGAGGATCCTTTACAGATAATTATTGAATTTAGTGTTTCACTGCAAATGCTGAGCCATCTCTTTTCTTTTCAGTGCATGTCTCCTATCTGGATGGAAAAGGAAACTTGGAACCTCAGGGATCAGGTGAGAGTTTTAAAGTTGTCATTTTTGTTTTGGACCTGGCAACATAACCTTGTGTCATTAGACTCCCATTAACATATGGGTCTTCTTCTCTCCTTAGTCCCTGCTGCAGTGTCTGTCTTGACAGATGATCTATTGAAGTATTACCAACGTGTCACAAGAGCCGTTTTAGGAGATGATCTGCAGCTTATGAAAGTGAGAATAAACACCTTTAAATTGTCTTCCGTTCCCTTGTTCTCTCTTACTACTTTTCTACACCTCCTCCCTACTTCTCTGACTGTCACCTCTCACTTCAAAATTTTATTTTAATTTGCCAACTCCTGCTATTGTATGTGTTTGTAATCTGTTTTTCCTTGTTCTCTCTCACCCTCTGATCTTTGCAGGTTGCCCTTCAAGATTTAGAGACAAATCCCAAAATTGCTGCCCTTTTACCTTATTTTGTATATGTAGTGAGTGGGGTAAGTATTTGTGTTAAAAAAATATATATATATATATACTTTGCCATTTTTAGAGCCGTAAAAAAAAAAAAAATGATTTGTGTTTAAAATGGATCTGTCACTTTCAGGGGTCAGCTCCAGGTGCTTCATCTGCCAGGAGCCGTGTGAGAACTGTGCTCTCACGCATGTAGCAGAGTATAACAGTGAGATGTATGAAAGATCCTACAACTCTGCAGAGACTTGATTGTGATGAACGAGACATGCTTGAATCCCACAGTTGTAACTTTAATGGCTGTTAGGGTTGGACAAAAGTTTATGGCAGAGCATCAACTTTTGTAAAGTCTCTTAAACTTTGTCTCAAAAAAAATAAAAATAAAAAAGGCTGTTTTAAAACCGTGTTCGTTGCTAGGGGAATCTGTAGAAATGCAGTATCAAGTCTGAAACACAATGCCTGTCTGGGCTTATATGCATGTCAAGCTGTGAGGATATTTATGGGGTGATAAATATTAAAAAATATTTTTATAAAAATTATCAAAAATTTATTTTATTAAATCAAAAATGTATATATTGGCACCATTTCGCAGATTAATGATTTAAAGCTGAGAATTACCCACTAATTTTATTATCTTAGATTGTAGAGTAAGTTTCATTAGTAGATTTTATTTCACTCCTTAATCACGAATTCATTATAAAAAATATAATTTCTTGTGACAATAATAATAAAATACGTAACATGCGTGACAATAATCAGTAAATATTTAGGTATAACAAAAGTATACAATATGGCAGTGGTTTAACACAATATAGACTGCTAAAAGCAAGCTATATGCAACAGTTATGTATACGGTTTCCAACAAGATTTACGATTGGACACTTTGCGTAGAAATCAACAGCAGCACAGGTAAAGCAATAAAAACTTTGTCTGACAGTCAAATCACACTGAATTAACTCTTTCACTGCTAGCTGCAATCCTCATAGGCAAGACATCCTATTATATTGCAATTTTTACAACTACAATAATTCTCATACCAGATCATTCACCATTCCTATGTCCATCCAATAAGAATAATTCTAACCAGAATTTACATTTGCAGAATTTTAACTTTCCTAATTAGGATTCACTATTTCTAAATTACGTAAACTAATGTATCTGGATAATTGCCTGGTATTCTATTTTTAAAGTTAAACGTAATATAGAGTTCATTGGTCCACCTGCAGGAATGGAATTACGAATTCTATATATTATTAACGAATCATGACTCCTTATATGTTGGAATCACCAGCTTTTATCCAAGTATATTCTGCCTTTTAGTAAAATCAATTCATTTAATGAAATTAAACCAGCATAATTACCAGTTAGGTTGTAGATTTTCTATCAGATGTGTAGATATATCCCAGGAATTTTGAATGCAAGTATGATGTATAGAGAATTGTATGGAAATAGAAAAGTTTTCAGAGTTCTGAAGTTGTGTTAGTTCGAAAAGATACTAAGAATTCGGTGTCCAGCTTTGGCTCCAGATGTCAAACCTTAGATGTGAGGGTGACAGTTTAAGAGTCTTTAAGAGTGTGAGTATGAGTCCCTGAGTGACTCTCTTCCCTTTGTCCTTACTTTTTAAAGGAGAAAATTCTCTGCACGTCACTAGCTGATAGGACTAATAGGGAACTGTGGGCGTGTCTTCCCTACAGACTATATCATCTAGATTTTGGTCAGTAGATGGCGCAATTACATCACCAAAAAATCTTGTCAGGGGTCCAGTTACCTTTTTGTATAATGGGTTAACTGAATTTCGTGATGCGTTTAACATCACCTGGTTATCTTTTTATGGCTACTATCTGTCACAGAAGCTGTCATCTTCAAAGGGTTTTTCCAGTCTTCGTGTCTGGCGTATACCTTTTTAAATATAGATTTCTGACACATTTTAAACTCTTCTTCACCTCTCCTTCCAATGCAACTTTGTAAGATTCATTTTTTTTGTTTTGTTTATTTTTAAAGAAAGTAAAATTAATTACCTAGTGTTATCTATCATTTGGTGTCTGGTTCTCTTGTGTGAAACTGTGTAGTTAGTATTATTTATATATACATACATACATACATACACACACGCACATTTGTCTCTGGGTTGTAGCATTCAACCCTCCTCCCCCCGCAGCAAACATCATGCCTTATCTCTGTCTTCAGACTTGAATGAATAGAGTTACACAGAGTAAAATTTTGTCTGTCTTTACATTCTGTTACAAAATGGAGTCACCTCTGTTCTGATGGTGACTTACAGTATACACTTTCAATTTCTATCTTAACACAAAATGTCTGCCAGTATAAATATACTGACAAAGCTAAGAAATGTGGGATAGTTGTGGAAACATGATCTCTCGAGTTTCTATGTCCAAGAAAGACACATTGAAGTCTAACTTGAGATATGTGGGTGATGCATGACAGTAATTTTGTGTTAAGTCATGGAACATGCCTATTGGTTTTCACAGAAGGTGGTGCAGTGCAACAGACCGGGTGTTGTCATTACTTTATACTCATCTGTGTATACTCTAGTCACTGAATGATTTCAAAGCCAACTCTTATTTGATTGGCTCCTTGGTGTTTGTTTTTAAGTTAGTTGAAATGTAGTTTGTTTACTTGTCAAAGACCAGAGTACTAAATACTCATCAGAATTGAAGTGTGTCAGACCATTATTATTTTTATCAGTTTTTTTTTTTTTCCTTTCTTTTTTTCCCTTTTCTCTCTCTCTCATCAGCTTACCTCTAAAATATTGGGCTTTGTGAAGCAATAAAATGCATAAGAAAATATATATATATATATATATTTTTTTTTTTTTTTTTATAAGCGACTGGTTATTTTTAATGGGAAAACTCCAACCCTATAACAATGCCCGCTAAATTAAGTTCTTATGTGGAGCAAGATATCTAGGTACCTTCAGGGGTTAAACTGTTTTCCAACGGATTTATACCAATGTTGGTCCTTCCTGAGCTCAACACCTCTCTTTCTTCCTGCCACAGTGAACAGAAAGGCTTGTGATGGGCTGAGAGTGGCAGCTGACGCTTTCAGCCTATCTCTTGCCCATTAAACAAAGTTTCCTGTTCACGATGGCAGTGTGGAGGTAGGGAGAGAGGTTGGGCATGGTTTACCAACTTTGGGGTTAAGCTGTTTAACACCATAAAGAAAGACTAAGCTGAAGTTATTTTGGGGATGACAGTGTTCCTTGAAATGAGACGTAATTACTGCTTTTCTCGTTGCTTAGTCTATCCTCTCACCCATTTTTCCCTTTTTCCTCTCTTGCAGGTAAAATCAGTCAGTCATGATCTTGAGCAGTTAAGCCGTCTCTTACAGTTAGTACGGTCCCTGCTATGGAACCCATACTTGTATCTTGGTTATTATGGCTGCAGTCTCATGCAAAGTGTCTTATACTGTGTAACAGAGCCTCTTGCTGCTTCTATAAACCCGCTCAATGACCACTGGACCTTGCGGGATTACGGAGCTGGCCTCCTTAGCTTCATAAGGTAAGTATATTTTTCTGTGTGTAAATCATCAAATATTTAACAGCTGCAATCATCCTTAAATATGATGTGTGTGTGTGTTGCATTTTAAAGAAATACCTAATGGTTTTTGTTTTTTATTATATCATACTTATTATTATTCAATGGTAAAATTGCTATTAAAAACCCCTAATGGTGACATTTTTACTTGGGATGCAGCATAAGAAATATAATTATTACCCTCAAGATTTCCCTTGGTATGTCATGCACCAGAAACCATGGCAGTACTGTACTCTTGTGTATGTGCAAGAGTACAACCCTGATGTCTATGGAACATCCAGCATAAATACAGGTGCCTCTATTAGATCATGTCTTGCGATGAGCGAAATTATGTCCCTCAGGGTGTCCCTCAGGGGTCTGTTCTGGGACCCCTTCTATTTAACATGTTTATAAATGATCTTGAAGACCGTATTGAAAGTCATGTTTCAGTGTTTGCAGATGACACCAAACTTTATAAAACAATACAATGTGAGCAAGATATTACTTTGCTGCAGAGGGATTTAGATAGACTGGGGGACTGGGCACTCAAATGGCAGATGAAATTTAATGTTGAAAATGCAAAGTTATGCACTTCGGCGTAAAGAATACACAAGCAACGTATACCCTTAATGGAAGCGAATTAGGGATAACAACACATGAAAAGGACTTGGGAATTGTTATAGACAACAAACTATGCAACAATGTGCAATGTCAATCAGCAGTGGCCAAGGCCAGTAAGGTATTGTCATGCATGAAAAAGGGCATTCATTTCTCGGGACAAGAATATAATTTTGCCTCTTTATAAATCACTGCTAAGACCCCATATTGAATATGCTGTGCAATTTTGGGCACCTGTTCTAAAGAAGGATATTATGGCACTAGAAAAAGTGCAGAGGCGGGCTACAAAATTAATAAAAGGAATGGAACATATCGGCTATGAAGAAAGGTTAACAAATTTAAACCTATTTAGTTTAGAAAAACGTCGCCTGAGAGGGGATATGATAACATTATACAAATATATTCGGGGCCAATACAAACAATTGTGTGGAAATCTATTCACAAACCGGACTTTACATAGGACACGAGGCCATGCGTTTAGACTGGAAGAAAGAAGATTTCGTCTAAGGCAAAGGAAAGGTTTTTTTACTGTAAGAACAATCAGGATGTGGAATTCTCTGCCTGAAGAAGTGGTTTTATCAGAGTCCATACAGATGTTCAAACGGCTACTAGATGCATACTTGCAGGAACAGAATATTCAAGGATATAATCTTTCAATGTAGGGTAATAACTGCTTGATCCAAGGATAAATCTGACTGCCATTCTGGGGTCAAGAAGGAATTTTTTTTCCTAGCTTGTTGCAAAATTGTGCTTCAAACTGGGTTTTTTTGCCTTCTTTTGGATCAACAGCAAAAAACAAATGTGAGGTAGGCTGAACTTGCTTTTCAGCTATGTAACTATGTAACTATGTCTGATTCCCACAGCCATCACTAGAGACAGCTGTAGGAATTGACAAAACTTGACAGCTGAAATCCTGTACCTTTTTTTTATTTTATTTTTTTATTATAATATCGTTTTACTGCATTAGAATTTCAATGAATTTCCAACACCGTAAAAATTGAACTTATATTTCTGAAATTCGTTTAAATACATTTTTGGTGACAGATCTGCTTTAAACTAATTTGTAATTCTGCACCAGGACAATCTCCTCTCTGCAGCCACTACTTTGGTGAAGGCATCAGTTCTCTGATGACTTTTGTTCAATCCAGTGCTTTTTCTAGAGAAACTTTGGGGCCATAGGACAAATGCACGCAATTACCATGGATCAGTAATCCAGTACTTCTCACCGAGAAATACTGAATCCAATGGTTCTCTATGAGAAACAAGGGATGCGTATGTTTCATCAGGCTGTGATTGCATTATGATACAAAATGCTAAGACATTTGAAAATTGAAAGTCTTAAGGAAAAAGAGCCTCTAAAGGCTGACACTCTGCCAGTGCTTAGTTTTTGTTTTAAATTAATTGTGCTTGATGTGGCATATCTATTTTAATTGTCTTGTAAATGTGTTTGACTTTGTCAAAGAAGAACAGTAATTTCCCAAGATTTTTAATATTATGTTTACTAATTCCTATGTTAAACAGATATGTATTTGTGAGTTGTGAAAAAAATAAAATTAAATGTAAAAGTCTACAACTCTTTAACCTGCAACTGGGTGCCTTCATCTTGGTTCCCTGTCATTTATGGTTATAAGCGCTGTCCTTTGCACCTGGAGTTAGCATGGAGAAACCTACAGAAAAGCAAAGTTACATTTTATTCTTATTTGCCATGTTTGCCCTGGCTTTGCCTTGTCTGAAAAAGATTGTGGTGGCATTTGCTAAATCTTTAATATAAATTTAAGAAAATGGAACATCTCCTAAAAAAAGGTTAACACAAGTTACATGATTTTCCTTTTTATTAAATGGTGTATATTCCACAGAAGTAACCGTCCCACTTTAAACAAAAGCTATAGTGTATAGCTATACATGTATTCCTGACACTAGTTTTTAAATAGTTAGGTTGTTTAAACTCACCTTTTTTTTTTTTTTTTTTCATGCCGTGACAGTTTTCCTGCGACTCGTCAATTGTTAAGATCTCCGCCAATCCAGTGCTTTCCCATTGGAAAGCTTTGGGAGGCTATTGCTCATGTGTAGCAAAGCGCCATGCTGCAGCAATCAGCATCTCCTCATAGAGTTGCATTGAATCAATGCATATCTATGCGAAAACATTCTGCTTCTCCAAACAGAGTGTGGAGATTCATAACATAGACTAGTGCCTGTCTGAGTGATTGCTACTGGAGGTGTTACTAGACCGCAATGTAAACAGGGTTTACATTGAAAAGCCTGCATTGTCATGCTAGACACGAGAACAACTCCATTAAAGGGAATCTGTAGTGCCAGGAAAAATTCTAGTTTTCCTGGCACTATAGCTTCCCCTCCGTCAAAGGCCTCCTTGTGGTGCCAACGGGGAGACCTAATATTGCATTAGGATTTCTCCATAGGAAAGCATTATTTAAAGCTTTCCTATGGGGATTCCGGTGACGCTGGAAGTCATCCTGCATAACGTTAGGATGTCCAGCGTCATTTAGGCGATCAAAAGTCGCCTAAGCACCCTGAAGTCCCTCTAGTGGCTGTCTGACAGCCACTACAGGAGAAAACCCTAGCAGGTAATTATTGCAGTTTATTAAAAACTGCAATAATTATCTGCTCAGGGTTAAGGGTGCTGGTACACTGTACCCAGACCAATTCAATAAGTTGGAGGGGTCTGGGTGCCTGTAGTGTCCTTTTTAAGCTGTAGTGGTTCTGGTGACTATGATGTCCCTTTAGATCTTCAGATCATCTCTACACAAGAGCGCTACTTGAGCTGTATGACTAAGAATACGTTTGTAAGTTCTGTTTCAATGTTTTTCAAAATCATTTTTGTTCCACCTATATTCATGTAGAACCCACAAGGATTTGGCTGGAGCTCTGTACCCACAAATCTTACAATCATTGCAAAAAGTACTTGGAGATCCTGTTCGACCCCTGTGCTCTCATTATGGAGCTGTGGTGGGATTGAATGCTTTAGGTTGGATGGTAAGTTTTAATGATTATCTGTGATGCTATGTAGTGATCTGACCTGGGAGATAAAATGCTTAGTCTTATTCTGTTGCCTGTATAAAGGGGCACTCTAAGCAATAAAACTACTGCTTGCTGTGGTTATGTGACCTAGAGACTTCCGAAGCTTTCCACTGCTTAGTCAAACCATTTAGTAATGATTTCACAAAAACTTTTCTTTATAATTATGACCTAGGGATCTTTGGGCACTACTAGTAAGTAAGTTTGTGTCATAAGACACACTAAACGACATAACCATAAGCTAGCTGCAGTGTTTATGCTCCTTAGTGTGTTTCCTTTAAATGTGTCGGCATACTTTAATATAAACTATTTCTTATCTAATATGACATATATTCAAAAATACATGGTGAATAGAGAGGGGTCTTATTATTGCCTATAGGATTAATTCTCGTACAAACCCATATTTAGATTTTTGTTTGTTGAATACATTGTGCCCAATCTAGTGGTAATGATACATGAGATACACAGACACTGTCCCCAGTAAGGGAGCAAGCCATTTAGTAACATTGCCTCTTTACTTGGTACCATTGAGTGCCAAGCCTCCTCTTATGGCGTCTGAATGACTTCCAGCTTCTGTAGAGCTGTAGGAGCAAGATGCAGATCCTAATGGCCATTCATTGGAGAGTTTATCTAGAACTATGAAGGAGAAATCTGCACATTCCAGGCTGGCTAATGATACTGCTACAGTTGGTGTTACTCCAAAAATCTTAAATAACTATGTACAGCATTTCATACTGAAACGCACATACAGGTTTCTTGCACCATGACTGTTAAAAAAAATGAAGTGGTCATGCTGCTTGGAGTATCCCTTAAAAGAAGAAGAAAAAAAGGAAAGTAATTTAAATTCATTCTTGGATTCAATAATTTCAACAAACCCCTTAATTGTTCTCAAGTGCCCAGTAACTGCCCATTCTTTTTTAAGTTAATGGACTGAAAGCCTTGATTACTACTGGTTATTAAACAATTTGTGAGTAGTGGTGAACTGGAATCTAAATTTAGACTAAAATAGCTAAGCATAGACTAAAGCTGAGCTGGAGATTTTTTTTCCTTATCAGCTGTTTTGGCACAGATATCAATGAATAGCCATGGTAGGACCTTTATTTGTGATAAATGATGTTGCATCATAGAGTTGGAAAACACTTACCGTATATACTAGAGTATAAGTTGACCCGAATATAAGTCGAGACCCCTAATTTTACCCCAAAAAACTGGGAAAACTTATTGACTCGAGTATGACTAGGGTGGGAAATGCAGCAGCTACTGGTAAATTTCTAAATAAAATTAGATCCCCAAAAAATTATATTAATTGAATATTTATTTATTTTGTGTGTGTGTGTGTGTCAGTCTCAGAGCCTTGGTGGGTGGGCATTTTTATTATTATTTTATTTTTTTTATTACTATTATTTATTTTTTTATATACCGTATATACTCGAGTATAAGCCGACCCGAATATAAGCCGAGGCCCCTAATTTTACCCCAAAAAGCTGGGAAAACTTATTGACTCAAGTATAAGACTAGGGTGGGAAATGCAGCTACTGGTAAATTTCTAAATAAAATTAGATCCTAAAAAAATTATATTAATTGAATATTTATTTACAGAGTGTGTATATAATGAATGCAGTGTGTATGAGTGCAGTGTGTGTGTGTGTGTGTGTGTATGAATGCAGTGTGTGTATGAGTGCAGTGTGTGTGTGTGTATGAATGCAGTGTGTGTGTGTGTGTATGAATGCAGTGTGTGTGTGTGTTGCAGAGCCTTGGTGGGGGGTGGGCATTTTTATTATTTTTTTTTAATTATTTTAATAATGTTTTTGTTTTATTAATATTTTGTTATTATTTTTTATTTTATTATTATTTTTAATAATATTTATTATTTTATTTTTTCGTCCCCCCTCCCTGCTTGTTAGATGGCTGGGGAGGGGGGCTCTTCTTCCCTGGTGATCCAGTGGCATTGGCAGTTCAGTGGGGGCAAGAGGGGGGCTGGCAGAGCTGTTACTTACCTCTCCTGCAGCTCATGTCAGCTCTCTCCTCCTCCGCGCCGGTCATTGCAGCTCCTCTGTCAGCTCACACTGTAAGTCTCGCGAGAGCCGCACTATGACCCCGCGGCTCTCGCAAGACTTACACTGGGAGCTGACCGAGGTGCTGACCGGACCGGCGCGGAGGAGGAGGGAGCTGACAGGAGAGGTAAGTAACAGCTCTGCCAGCCCCCAGTCTGTATTATGGCAATGTAAATTGCCATAATACAGACTGACTCGAGTATAAGCCGAGTTGGGGTTTTCCAGCACAAAAAATGTGCTGAAAAACTCGGCTTATACTCGAGTATATACGGTATATTATTTTTATTTTAATATTATTTAAATTTTTTTGTTCCCCCCTCCCTGCTTGATACATAGCCAGGGAGGGGGCTCTCATTCCCTGGTGGTCCAGTGATGTGTACTGTGCAGGAGGGGGGCTGGCAGCGAGCTGTAACTTACCTTTCCTGTAGCTCTTGTCAGCTCCCTTCTCCTCCACTGTAAGTCTTGCGGTCTGAGTGCCACGCGTCTTCACGGTAACCCATGGCAACGCTCTGACCCGCTGCTCTCACGAGACTTACAGTGGAGGTGAAGGGAGCTACAGGAAAGGTAAGTAACCGCTTGCTGCCAGCCCCCAACAGGACCGCCGGGCTGGTAATGAGCACGGCGGTCCTGGTCTTTATACAGACATTAACTCGAGTATAAGCCGAGTGGGGGGTTTTCAGCACAAAAAATGTGCCGAAAAACTCGACTTATACTCGAGTATATACGGTAAATGGAAACTGTCAGGACTTACCTGGCCCTCTGCAATTTAATTAAAGAGGTGAGTGAAGCCTCATTGCCAGCGTCTGAACAGTGACATCACATCACTCTCTTCCAATACTCCCGCCGGCTAGGGAGTTACCATAGCAACCAATGTGCCTGTCCTGTGTGTCCTCTGCTCTTCATGATTCCTGCTTTTTGAGTGTCTGCCGAGGAATTGAGCGTAAGATGGAAGAAACACTTATTTTTAAATGGGGTTTTTCTCCGTATCCATTAATTTGCTAGAACAATGTATTGATGGAATTTCATTCTCTTTTTAAAAAAAAAAGCTAAAGTTAAGTTTATGATAACATAGTGCCTTTAATATAGTATCATCTCACACTTCTTTATCTTAGGCTGTGGAACAAGTGTTGTATCCTTTACTACCCACATATTGGTCAGGCCTGCAGACAGTTTTGGATGACCATTCCATGTCGAATGCACAAGTTAAGGCCGATGGACATAAAGTGTATGGAGCCATTTTGGTGAGTTTGTGTGGGGGTGAGGGGGAAGGTGACCATAAAGGAAAATGGAAAGGCTGCAGATCACTAAAAGGCAGTGATAAAAATAGTTTATATATGATATATAGCCAAGAGATAATATATCGCATGTACTTTTAATACCCTCAGGTTGCTGTTGAACGTTTACTCAAGATGAAAGCCCGCTGTTGTGACGAAGTCCTCAACACCCCATCTCAACTTGCACCTGACCCTTCCATTTCTTCTTCCCCATCGGTTCCTTTACTAGAGATGTACCGTGAGCTGTACTGCTTCTTTGGCGACAGTTTGGCTGTACGCTTTGGCACTGGGGGAACACAATCTCATCAGGTGGGAGACACGCGAGGGCCTCAAGAGCCAAAAAAAGAAGGAAATGTTGAAGGAGCACGTAAGATGCCCCAGCTGACAGCTCATGGGGAGGAAGATATAGTAAGTTTGGGTAGACAGACACAGCGTCCCCCTCAAATTCCTCTAGCTTCTTGCCGCCCTCGAGGGTCTTCACGTCAACGCCCCCAAGGAGTGAGAGAGGCATTTCAGAGGTGCAGGCTTACTCCCCGTGGATCTCCTCGTTTTAATTTTTTAATTGGAGGAAGACAAGCTGGACGAGGAGGTGGAGGACGAAAGTTTCAAAGTGTCTTCCAACTGCACACTGGACCTGGAGCTTCTGCGTCACGCTATGCACAAAAATTACCTATGATAGGTAGGGTGGCAAAGGCTGGACGCAGGGGTGTGCAAGCAGAGTTGTCACTTTATTTGCCACTATGACACTGTTTGAAATGTAACATGTGAGAGAAACTTGCTTGGAGTTTTTTTTTTTTTTTTACTTTTTCTACCAAGTTTAATTTTTGGAAACGAGGCACTGAATTTGGGACACCTACCTTTATTGTCACACTATGTGTGATTATTTTTTTTTTTACTTAAATGGTGCTTGTGCATCAGTCTTTGGATAGAACTGTAGAAGAAGCTGCAGTACTTCTGTGTTGTGTGTACTAGTGTGTTTATGCTTGACTTTTTCTATAAGAGAGACTGTTGCAAATAAGCATAAAGTGTTAGACTGGATTTTTTTTCTGTACAGACTGGAGACAGATATCTGAATTACAAATACATTCATTTATATAAATTCTTTATCTTCTCCTTTGTACCTTTCTTTTGCCATGACATAATGAAAAGGAAATACATATATGAAGAAATTAATCTTTACTGTAAACTGATACATAAATATGTATACATTAAGTTTGTGCAAAAAGTCACAATTTCCGGTAGGCCCCTACTGTCAAATCAAACAGCTTGGCATTGGACACTTGTCCTTGTTTGTCCAGCAAGAAGTACAGTGGCCTTCCCTTGACCTTGAGCGGTATCATAGCTGGGACCTCAGATCGATGAGCCATTGAAGAGATGTGACGCAAAGGCACAGTAAAAGATGAACCAAGACCAAACACACCAGCAGTGACAAGGGTTACCTTCTCTCCTCCACGATGAAGGGTGACAGCACTGACAGAACGCCGAGAAAACAACAAGCCGGCTGCCATTATAAGTCCACCTATTGAATGAAAAAGAATTGTTGATTAGTGGGAAAAACAGTCTACATCAGGCATCTCAAACTTTGGTTTCCTAGCTGTTACTGATTTACAACTCCCATGACCCTTTTGGCCATCTACTGCATTCAAATAATTCTGGAAGGCCATTGACAACTGGGGGAGTTTAGATCCCTCGTCTAACTCAATGTGACCCTGCACTTTAATGGAAATAATAGTACAGATAATAAGGTTCTTTCAGTGCAACAACCTCTATAAAATGCATGCTGCAATATTTGTAGTGTGTTGCATTACGAGAATACACAAATTATAAAGAAATAAAAAAGGATTTGTAATGTCAAAATGAACCCAATTTATTATTTTTTTTACATTTTTTGGGGGTCAATATGATTTCTATGAAATCAAAGACAACTGAAATTTTTCCAATTCCAAGAAATACTTTTACTCACAGCTTCGCGATGAGTTTAACTGAAGCTAAAATAGCTAAACTGCAACTAGAGCAGGCATTGAGAAATCTTCCAATTTGTCTTAAACGTTTAATTTTTTTCCTCTTACTATAACTCACGCTAAAGTAATAATGCACTGCGGATTAGCAAAATGTTGGCAATATCCCTTATTTTCCCAGAATTTACATCAGACATAACAGTAACTCAGAGGCAAATTGTGCCAATCTAACTTGGAAAAAAATCAGTTTTGGGAAGGGGGGTGGGGATTAAAATCCCACACCAAGTACAGGATTTGGATATTTATTGAAAAACTGCAATATGTAGCCACTGTGCAACCACTGGCACCAAGAAAATCTGCTGTTTCTCTCTTTTTTCAATTCTATGTAATTTGGATGAAAAAGAATACAAGGTTTTGTAGTTTTTAACATCATCATCTGGCCTCTTCCCCATACACACTGGTAATGGTTGGCTGTGCCAGTACAGCACTTCACTGCTGGCTCTCCCCAGTTAAGACAACAGCAAAGCTAATTAAAGTGGACCTGTAACCACTTACCTTGACTTCCATGGCCCTGCCCGCACTTGTTAGAGATCCTCCTCTGCTGCTCTCTGGTCTTCCTGTGCTCTTTAGAGTTACACCAACATGGTGACTTCATTGCCAGCATTTGACAATAGAGATATCAAGTCACTCAGTACCTATGGCTAGGGAGTTTCCATAGCAACCACAGTACACGTGCTGCGGTTGCTGGCTGGAAAATAGGACCTTCTATAGAGTAGTATGCCACAGAATTGACAGGTGGGAGAAAACCCCATTTTTAAACAGGTTCTACTAACAATCTGAAATTTAATCCTATTTTTAAAGAACAAAAATTGTATTGGGCACTTTAGCTGCCCTTTAAGTATAATATTATTACAATCTGCATTTCTTTGTAATGCGACTAAACTAAAAGTATTATTAGTATTCCAAGTGAATGCTTTCAATCATTTATACTCCTGCCATTAAGAACAAAAATTTATTTAATGAGATGAGTGGAGTAGTCACCATGGAAACAAATGGAATGTTCACTTTGGAATGCTCCAGTCATGGAACACTGACCCAGAATTACTATATATATATATATATATATATATATATATATATATATATATATAAACACATATTGCTTGGCACTAAAATACAAATTTTATCTACATTTTTAATTTCTGACAATGTACAGATAATTTTGTAGAAGAAGCCACATCTCAATAGATATAGTAATAATTTTGACATCTGGTAGTACAGTAAGAATATACAATTCAGAAGTCTCTCCCCAATTATTAATGATACAGATATCCCAAATATATATATATATATGTGTAGGGGAAATGTAGTATAGTATCTGCTGTGTCAATCTATCATTCTTGTGATTATTTCCTCTTGCACTCACCCACTGTCAGGCAGCTAAAGGTAAACCCTGCCCTCCATAGCGGAGACCCTAAATTCCTCTTCTGCCCGTCCTGCTGTTGCCCCGAACTCTTCTCTCGGGTGTCTCTCAGCTCGGTGAACCCGAAATGTGCCAGGTAGGCCCAGAACCCGACCTGAGCCCCGCAGAACAGCCCGAGAAGGCGGAAAAAGCGGGGACGGTGGTACCGGAACAAAACCACATCCTGAGACACCGACTCCGCACGGAGAGACCGCGACAGGGCAGGGATTAGCGGGGTCTCAGGCCGAAACCGTAGCCAGGCCCGAGCGTCGCCTAGCAACCTTAACAGGCGCATGGCGATTGAGGAATGACCTTGGCGCGGCGAGATGACGTCAGAAACATAGAACGAGGTCTAACGTGCTGCTCGCAGCGCAATAGAACCCAATATAGCTTCCACTTAGAATGCCAGGCTCTGCTCAGATATAGCCGAATAGCAGCATGGGATAATGGCGGAGATATTAGGGTAATGGTTAGCTGTAAGAAGGACACAGCGAGCATTTAGTGTGGGTAACGAGAAGCAGCTTTCTAGATATACATTATTAATTAAAGGGACACTATAGTCGCTTGAACAACTTCAGCTTAATGAGGTTGTTCTGGTTAGAGCTATAGCTCCCTGCAGCCTCTCTCGTAGAGAAAATGCAGTGTTTACATTGAAAGCTAGGAACACCTCCAGTTGCAGTCACCATAATATGCCTTCATCCACTCAGATCTGCTGTCAGCAGAGCACAGGGCAGCACTGTGCAGGAGCATCCTGTCTGTAGGCTGTAAAGTGGGATTGAGAGCTGACAGGCTGAAGACGGGAGCCGAGCAGGAGGGAAGGATTTAAACTAAGTAAACTTATTTGGTGAGAGAGAGAGATATAGAAAATTATGAACACAGAACAAGTGAAGTTCAGGCGCTGGTAATTAATGTCTTAATGTAATCAGTTCTAGTTCCAAGGAATTATACAGAAAAAGAAGCTGCACCAAAATCCATGGATAGAGATAGAGATAGTTAGCGATAGATAAATAGATAAAAATAGAGAGATAGATACAAATAGATAGAAAGAGAGAGATAGAAATGGATATAGATCGATAAAAAGATAGATCGATGGATAGATAGATATAGAAAGAAAGATAGATAGAAATCGATAGATATAGATAGAAAGAAATATAGAGATAGATATAGATAGAAATAGCAAAACAAAGAGTAGTGCTAATCGGAAAGGCAACAGTCCCAAACAAGGACTCCCTCAAATGTCCTTAGGAATAGATAAGCAAAAACAAATAGATAGGGGATGGGTCCGCGCCAATGTACAAAATAAATAACAATAACGAGTCCAGTAGAGTAAAATATTGAATCTTATATGTGGTCTCCGAAGTTGTAGGGTTCTACTCGTTACGGTATCCCAAAAATGTGGAGGAAGGTGGTGAGTGATGAGAAAGATGATCCAAAATAGTAAAAATAGGAGAGGTCTTACTTACAGTTGACAGAGCTTAATCCAGCTCTGGTGTGAATGGCTTGCAGCGGTATTATCCCCGCTTACAGGATATATGGCGAGTATCCTCTTCTATGTAGTGACAGACGGCCAAGTGGAAGATAAAAATGGAAACAATAATGGTGCAGTATGTTCCACACGTGAAATAAAAGATGTTAAAATATAATAGATACACTCACATTCGGTAGAGCTGCTAGCTCTAGTTTTGTAGGCATACAGCGGTATAATCCCTGCTTGTAGGATATAAGATGTGTTCTTGATGGTAGTATCAGGAGCTCGGAGAGAAGATAAAACGGCGATCGTGCTCTCAATAAAATATTGTTGATGTATAAAATAATAAAATATACTCACAGTGTATAGGGCTGGCTAACTGCTCTATGATAAAGGCGTAGGTGGTATAATCCCCACCTGGGATTCTTTGGAGTATAATACCAGGACGTAAAATAAATAAAAGGAAAAAGTATTTAAAAATGTATATAATATAAAATATATATAAAAGGCCAGGTAGTAGTCAAAAGATAATGGTATAAACGTAAAAAGTGACCAAAATCTATTTATTGACAGTATATAAAAACAGTACAATATCCAAACGCATTTCACCATATAAGGCTTTATCAATGGATAACATTTTTTTAGAAATAGATAGATAAAGATAGGGATGGATGGATGGTTAGGGATGGATGGAGAGAGAGAGTGTGTGTATGTCTTTAATTTTTTACTACTTGTGTGTTTGAATAGAAACACAAAGTTTGGCTGAGGAGGGGGCGGGTATAGAAAGCGAGCTGAGCTGTCAGACAGCTCAGCTCGTGAACGCGCACATGCGCAGTTGAGCACTGACTTTATTCATAGCGTTGCATTCTATGCCACTCTATGAAGAAAGCAATTGGTGCAGCAAGAAGCCGCACCACATCGCGATGATGCTTCTCAAAGAGAAGTGTACTATTGGGGCCTGCAATTTCGTCATTTTGACGAAAAAGGGGGCGTGGCATGGCGGGGAGCTCGGCACTGGAACGGAGGTAAGTTTTATTATTAAAAAGTGCTTGGATCTATTTTTTTTTTTTTAACGGCAAGTTCATATAAAAGCAAGAAAGAAGGCTAGAGGACATGTCTTTCTTGCTTTTAGATGTTGACTATAGTGATCCTTTAACAAATGGAGATTTGGTATCAGATATTACTGTAGGTGAAAGATAAGGATTCAGTGATCATCAGTCAGTGTGGTTTAATATAAGAACAGTGACTGAGTCACACCACACAAAAACAAAAGTTTACGACTTTAGAAAAACAGACTTTTCTAAAATTAGAATATGTGTAAAGGAGTCATTATCACACTGGAGCAATTTAAATGGAGTCCAAGAGAAATGTTATTATTTAAAAGTTGCACTACTGAAAGCAACATAAAATTGCATTAGGCTTGTCAGTAAAAGCAAAAATTTCAAGAAACCACTGTGGTACTCCGCAGATGTAGCCAAAATAGTAAAAAACAAAAAGTTAGCATTTAGTAATTATAAAAAACCCCAGAGTGAGGAAGACAGAATGATCTATAAGAATATGCAGAAAGAGCTTCCAAATCACACACAGAAGAGAAAATAGCACAGTCGGTAAAAAAGGGGGACAAAACTTTTTTAGATACATAAATGAGAAAAGAAAAGTAAAACAAGGATTAGTTAGATTATAAACAAAAGGACAAAGGTATGTAGAAGAGGATAAAGGTCTAGCTGACTGCCTCAATGAATATTTTTGTTCAGTATTTACATATGCACATGAAGGAAAGGGGCATTTGTTACATGTGAGTTTACAGAGGAAGAGGTTCTATTTCAACTGTCAAAAGCAAAGACAAATAAGTCAATAGGACCTGATGGAATACACCCAAAGTTATTAAAAGAGCTTAGTGGTGTACTAGCAAAACCATTAACAGATTTATTTAACCAATCATTGTTAACAGGAGTATTCCCAGAAGATTGGGAAGTTAGCGAATGTTGTCCCCATTCACAAAAAAGGAAGGGAGGAATCGGGCAACTACAGGCCAGTTAGCCTTACTTCAGTAGTGGGGAAAGAAATGGAAACCATGTTAAAGGATAGGCTTGTTGAACATCTAAAATCACATGGATTCCAAGATCAGAGACAACATGGGTTTACTTCAGGGAGATCATGCCAAACTAATCTTATTGATTTTTTTGATTGGGTAACTAAAATAATAGTTAAGGGTGGTGCAGTAGACATTACTTACGTAGATTTCAGTGGCTGAGTGACAGGCAACAGAGGGTTGTAGTCAATGGAGTATATTCGAAGCATAGGCTTGTCACCAGTGGGGTAACTCAGGGATCTGTTCTTGGACCCATTCTCTTTAATATTTTTATTAGTGATATTGCAGAAGGTCTTGATGGTAAGGTATGTCTTTTTGCTGACGATACCAAGATATTTAACAGGGTTGATGTTCCAGGAGGGATAAGCCAAATGACAAATGATTTAGGTAAACTAGAAAAATGGTCAGAGTTGCAGCAACTGACATTTAATGTGGATGAGTGCAAGATAATCCATCTTGGACGTAAAACCCCAAGGGCAGAGTACAGAATATTTGATAGCCTAACCTCAACATCTGAGGAAAGGGATTTAGGGGTAATTATTTCTGATGACTTTAAGGTAGGCAGGCAATATAATAGAGCAGGAATGCTAGTAGAATGTTTGGTTGTATAGGGAGAGGTATTGGCAACAGAAAGAGGGAAGTGCTCATGCCATTATACAGAACACTGGTGAGACCTCACTTGGAATATTGTACGCAGTACTGGAGACCATATCTCCAGAAGGATATTGATACTTTAGAGCGAGTTCAGAGAAGGGCTACTAAACTGGTTCATGGATTGCAGGATAAAACTCACCAGGAAAGGTTAAAGGATCTTAACATGTATAGCTTGGAGGAAAGACGAGACAGCGGGGATATGATAGAAACATTTAAATACATAAAGGGAATCAACACAGTAAAGGAGGAGACTCTATTTAAAAGAAGAAAAACTACCACAAAAAGAGGACATAGTCTTAAATTAGAGGTGCAAAGGTTTAAAAATAATATCAGGAAGTATTACTTTACTGAGAGGGTAGTGAATGCATGGAATAGCTTTCAAGCTGAAGTGGTAGAGGTTAACACAGTGAGGGAATTTAAGCATGCGTGGGATAGGCATAAGGCTATCCTAACTATAAGATAAGGCCAGGGACTAATGAACGTATTTAAAAAATTTGGCAGACTAGATGGGCCAAATGGTTCTTCTCTGCCGTCACATTCTATGTTTAATGCTTGTGGCATCTATTCTGTATCTATTTCTGAAAAGAGTTGTAGTCTCCCATATACATAGCACCTGGCTGAATCTGACACCTTTGGAAGTTCCTCTTCTTTTCTCTGTTTTAGATTATGAGGCAGGCTGATCATTTATCCAGTTTGTAAACACTCTGCCGTGACTACTGCACATGCACTCTTTGCCGAGAGCAGAACGACGCAGATGTTCCTGGTGTTGCTGCATAGGAAAGCACAGAATGCAGCAAAGAGAAAACTGGAGGCCAGAGAGAGAGGGAATGCAGAAAGACATTTTCCTCTTAAAGGGACACTTTAGGCACCCAGACCACTGCAGCTCATTGAAGTGATCTGGGTGCATTGTCCCATGTCCCTTAACCTTAGAGAGGTAATTTTTTCAGTTTCTCAGAAACTGCAAAAAATAATTACCTATGAGGGTTAACTCCTCCTCTAGTGGCTGTCTACCAGACAGCCACTAGAGGGACGTCTGGAATCCAAACGAACCTTTGGTTCGTTATCCGATGCTGGACTTCCTAACGCTATGCATGAGGAACTCCAGCGTCAAATTTTCCCCATAGGAAAGCATTGAATAATGCTTTCCTATGGGGAAGTCCTAATGCCGCGCATGCTTATTAGGTCTCCCCCTTCGACGTCAGCTGGGGCCTATCCCTGTGCTGATGGACATGGGCACTGGAATCAGTGAGGGGGGGGAACCACAGGATTCTACAATGCCAGGAAACCGGTTTTGTTTTCCTGGCACTATAGAATCCCTTAAACCCAAATCGTAACGGAGGACTTCTAGACCCAGACGGAGAAAAACAAACAAACAAGAGGGACAGAAACAAACATATCCCTCCTAAACCAGGTACAAGGATTCTCTGAAATGATTTGCCTGCATAAGGACCACTACCCTAAGAAGACTATGTAAAAGAACTTAAATGGCGTAACCAGCTCTTAATTATTATATTATTTATATAGCGCCATCAGACTCCGTAGCGCTGTACAATGGATGGACTAACAGACATGTAATTGTAACCAGACAACTGGACGTACAGGAACAGAGGGGTAGAGGGCCCTGCTCCGTGAGCTTACATTCTAGAGGGAGTGGGGTATATTGACACAAAGTGTAAAAGTAGGGGTACGAAGTAGGTTGTTAGAAAAGTATTAATTGAGGGCTTAGTAGGTAATTTTTGACAGTTGGAGGGTGGGGGATGAAAACCTGCTAACAGTTTGATATTCTTTCTTGAAGAAGTGAGTTTTCAATGATTTTTTGAATGAGTGGAGACTGGGTAAAATTCTTACGGAGAAGGGAAGGGAGTTCCAAAGAAGAGGTGCAACCCTGGAAAAGTCTTGGAGGCGAGCGTTAGAGGTGGGAATACGGACAGAGGATATACGTAGGTCTTTGGCAGAGCGTAGGGGCCTTGATGGGACATACTTGTGTATTAGGGAGGATAGGTAGGTTGGAGCAGCATTATGTAGGGACTTGTAAGCAACCACCAGAATTTTAAATTGAGTCCTATATCTAACTGGAAGCCAATGCAGGGACTGACAGAGCGGGGAGCCGTGAGAGGTGCTGGTGGACAGGAAAATGAGCCTTGCCGCCGCATTCATTATAGATTGCAGCGGTGCAATCTGGGAACACGTAAGACCACTGAGAAGAGTATTGCAGTAGTCCAGGTGAGAGAGAACAAGAGCATGGGCCAGCACCTTAGCCGCATCCGGGGTTCAATAGGGGCGGACGCGTGTTATGTTTTTGAGATGGAAGCGACAGGATTTGACGATTGATTGGACATGAGTGGTGAAGGAGAGGTTGGAGTCGAAAATAACACCCAGGCAGCGAGCCTGCGAGTTAGAGGTGATGGTAGCGCCGTTGACTTGGAAGGAGACATACACAGGGGTAGTAACACTTGAGGGAGGAAAGACCAAAAGTTCTGTTTTAGACAGGTTGTGTTTAAGGAAGTGAGCAGCTATCCATTTGGAAATCGGAGAGGCAGTCAGAGAAACGAGCCAAGACGGGTGGAGAGAGATCAGGAGAGGACAGGTAGATTTGCGTGTCATCTGCATAGAAATGATAACGGAAGCCAAAGAAGCTTAATCAAAATTTCTAGACAATTTACAGGGTTAATCACTAAAATGAAACTTCAACATGAATTTAAAGGGATGCTATAGGCATGAAAACTACTTTAGCGTAATGAAGCTGTTCTTGTGTTTAGATCATGCCTTGTCTGACTGCTCAATTCTCTCATTTAGGAGTTAAATCAATTTTGTTTCGGTTTACGCAGCCCTAGCCACATCTCAACTGGCTGTGACTTACACAGTCTGCATTAAAATAAAATGGTTTCATTTTCAATCACATGTTAATCAGCTTAAGAAGTTTTTATTTACTGCTCTGTAAATTGAACTTTATTAACACACGGGCAGCTCCTGTAGGCTCTAGAAGGCTATAAACAGAGCAGATTAAGCAGACTTTGAAATAAAGGAAACTAGAATATCTAGGTTCCTTTTCAGTAAGTGTTTAGGAAGCCAGTGCAAGTCAAATGAAGGGAGGTGTGACTAGAGCTGTATAAACACAGTGATTTAACTCCTAAATGGCAGAAGGCTGAGCATTGAGACTGCAGGCGCATGATCTATACATGAAAACTGCCTCATTAAGGTATAGTTGTTTTGATGCCTATAGTATCCCTCTAAGACAGGCTTTCCCAAACGCCGGCCCTCCAGATGTTGCTGAACTACGACTCCCATGATTCTCAGCCTATTTATTTCATTCATAGAATCATGTTGTAGTTCAGCAACATCTGGAGGGCCGGAGTTTGGGGAAGCCTGCTCTAATAGTACACATGGGAAAATGACCTATATATTTTATATAATATAATAATATAATATATATAACCTGCTACAGAGAATCCTTGTGTGGCTGACTGAGGCGGCAGTATGAAAGGAGGTGGACCTTTTGGTATGCAGACTCTTTAATTAGATGTTTATTTCCTATTCTGATCCAGCTGGCGGTGGAATTATCTATAATAAGGGACGCTACAATGTTTAGCTCTCTGCTTCCCTCTCAATTTCAGGTTCTAAAATTCCTTTAACCGGGATTAGAAAAAGGATTGACTGAGTACATTGAAATATTTAAGAATGTGTGAAAAGTATCTTCCTTGGTTGAAAGAAAAGTGGTGTAATAAAAACGTGCATAGACGTATTAAAAGATTACTCCGAGCACCATGACCACTTCTTTTGATTTGAAGTGGTATTGGTGTCTTTACATGCAGCATTTCACTTTGAAATGTTGCACATTAGGAGATTAACTCCTTAGGCAACAGATGCATTACCACCTCAGGCTGCGTTGTTAAACTTACGGCACAACTGAGACCTCCATTGTGAGGCACGGGATTCATAGCCATCAAGTATGTGAAAACACTAAATAGTGGTGGTGACTGAGACAATCATTTGAAACAAAGAACTCTACTGGATCTACTAGAAGGGTCTGAATGTTAGATTTTTCTCATTGGCGACAATGACATTTATATTTCTCCTCATGTTATTCTTGGCACTTGTACCATTGAATAGTCTCTACACGATTGGACACAAGATATTTGTCTAGATTGATATATCCAACTCAATTGTGTGATCTCCATTGTTGCTTTTATGCTTCCTGATTTTAACTATTTTTATTATTTTCTTCATAACTTGAGCAGGGCTTTACCATATGAATGATCAGAATATATGGAATGCTTGAGATGGACTTTGATGCATTTGTGATTGGGGCTACAGCATCATCTTGTTTGCCTACCTGCTAAATGTACTAAATCGCCATTTCCACTGTTAGTTAGCTGTCACCCTACTTTAATTTATTTTATTACCCTTCTTTATTATCCTCATTTATTGGCATTTAAAGTTACATTCATGCCCCTTCCTACACTGTATACTAGTTTTGTTTAACTCAGTGGAACATGCAAACATTATAGGGTTCTGATGGACCAATTAATTCAACATACAAAATTCAGCAAACTCGCTCATTCACTAAGCAATTTCAAGTCTCACAGAATGTAATAGTTTTATTTATAAACACCTCACCTAGGCAAAAAAAAATAAAAATAAATTCTACTTAAATAATGTTGGTCTGTAATACAGAAATACTTTGTTTCTATTTGCTTGTTATTATATTATTTATATAGCGCCAACAAATTCCACAGCGCTTTACAATGGGTGCATGAACAGACATGTAGTTGTAACCAGACAAGTTGGACACACAGGAACAGATGGGTTGAGGGCCCTGCTCAATGAGCTTACATGCTAGAGGGAGTGGGGTAAAATAACACAAAATGGTAAGGATAGTATTAGACTAGTGACAGTGGCAAGAGAGGAATCAGTTGGGAGCTATTAACAGTTTAATTGATACGCTTTTATGAAGAAGTGGGTTTTTAATGATTTTTTGAAGGAGTGGAGACTGGGTGAGCATCTAACGGAGGAGGGAAGCGAGTTCCACAGGAACGGTGCAGCCCTCGAGAAATCTTGAAGGCGAGCATCAGAGGTGGGAATACGGACAGAAGATAGACGTAAGTCTTCAGCAGAGCATGAGGGCCTAGACTGGACATAGTTGTGTATTAGGGAGGATAGATCGGTGGGAGCAGCTTATTGTATGCTTTTGTTTATGTTGTGATTTTGGTATTATTTATGTACGTTTGGTTTGTTCTTTGATTATATACACTATAATATTGACACTATATTGGTAAGACATAATACTCAGCCATGATGATTGCTTATTTTGATTAATAAAGTTTATTTACTTTAGTGCCATCAGAAAAAAAAAAAAAATAAAATAAAAAAATTATATATATATATATATATATATATATATATATATATATATATATATATATATATATATATATATATATATATATATATATATATATTTTCATATTCTAATTTTTTTTTTTTTTGTGCATCATTTGCAATCCAGAACAAAATTACAGGATGGCTATTCAATTGTCAATTCTGTGTACAATTGGCATTTGCACAGGGTACACTGCCCTTCCACCATCTCCAATAAGGGGAGTGATATGTGTATTTCACATATAAACATTATTGGGCTAATGAGATCACCAGTCTCCTAGGGCAATAATGTTCTATACTCCCACACAAGGTAACCCATACTTGTTTTTGTAAATTTAATGTGCCTTTCAGAGCTGCTGCCCATTACACTACTGAAATGGTTTAATGATTAGTTTGTTTTGTTTGAATTCTTTAGCAAATAACCTTATAAAATTTCAAATTTAAGGAAAAATTAAAAAATAGCTGAACTGGAAAAACACATCTGGTCAGCTATGCTTCCAGTTGAGCCACTATTCGTTGTCCCACCCCCACATAAAACCTGTAAAAAGCTCCCAACACTGTCTTACACACACACACACACACACACACTATACTGACATCAACCCAGAACCCGTGCACAGTCCAATCAGAGTTCTCATAAAGAATCCTGTGATAGGACTGTTTTGCTGACTCGCGCATGAAAAGGAGAGGATTTCTAGGTCTGCTGATTTTACAGACGGGACGTAGTTGCACACAACATGTGCACAGATTTGACAATAGGCTGTCCAGAACAGAGTTCTGAGCAGTCATTTGTGCTGGGGGTGCAACTAGACCCTGGCACACAATTAAAAAGAACTCTAGATGTGCAGTGTTTCAGGCATAAACCCAGCACATCCAGATGACTACCACCATGACCACTTCAAATCCCCGAAGTGGTCATAGTGGTTGGAGTAATCCTGCTAATATTAAATGCACCTTTCTTCAATTTATACAACAGTAAACGCTATGTGGTGATTGCTAGTAACACTGATCACAAATAATACCAAACAGACATTAAATTAAGGGGTACTACCAGCAGTTTATTGACATTTTTATTTTTGGTTTTACAATTACAAGGTAACTCACATCAGAGATGCAAGCTAACACATATAGAGCAATTGTACATTTTTTATGTGGGGCAGCAAAGGCTATTCGATTAGAAAAACTAGGTTAACCTGTTACAGAATATCTAGCTCAAAGTATGATTTGGATGGTCCCAGATAACTATAGATCATTTTGACTGGAACAACAAATACCAGAGCTGCTATATAGGCTGCTGAAGGACTAGGCCTCTGCCTAAAATAATGATTTATAATGCAGTCCAGTTTACCCAAATAAGTTTATCTGTGCCGAATGGGATATGCCAATGTGCACATCTGAAATATTTATAAATAAATAAAAATCACAGTGTTATGCTGGGAACTGGCAGAGAATAAAAAATAAAAGTTTTGAATATTTGGCCAAAGTATTCAAATCAGACAGACATTCTCCATACCAGCCTTTTCCCTGTGGATACTCTGGCCTAATTCAAAATATTTGTGAGCCCTGTAAGAAATTAGTTTAAAATGTTAATGAATTTTGAAGCGCTTACATTTTTTTTATATATTTATATTTTTTTTATTTAAAGACCTGCCTAACTTTGCCAGCATGCAAATACTTCAATTGGGTAATTAATTGTGTTTTTTGGAAATTAAAAATGCAGATCTACCATTTCCTTTTGGAGAACTCATTTCAGAACTTTCTATAACAAAGAAAAGGGAAAAAAAAAAAAATAATAAAAAGTGCAAAGGATTTTTTTTCTCATAACTAATCAACAAATAAGTATTTTTATATAAATTACAGGAAAAAAAATAGTGAAAACAAGTATTTCAAGACAAAAGGAACAAATCTGGAGAAATAAAATATAGGAGACAATGTAACAGCTAAACAGACAACGCTTATTTAAAGGAACATTCCAAGCACCATAACCACTACAGTCAGTGGTAGTGGTTATAGTGATAGAAATGTGCTGGCGCCCTCACAGTGTAACATACGTAGATTTCCTGTGCTGCATCCAGAGAAGGCAACGGTCTTCACTAAACAGAGTCTGGCCGACCCAGGAGCACGCTTATTTAACAGAAGCTCACACCCAATGAGAGCAGCCTTTACTGGACTAACTTGGCTCAGAGGAGCTAATTTTATTCTCCTTAAAAGGAAGAAGGGGCAGTAAGTGCAGGTGCCTAGCAGATACCACATAAGTTCTTGAACAATTTGGCAAATCGCTATGGCACTTTTGCACTACAGCAGGCTGTAGTGGTTATGGTGCTTAGAATGTCACTTTAAGTCGAGCAAATAATGCTCAAACATTTGGAATTCTATGTTTAACACTAAAACCTGTGTAACAGCCTCTTAATGCTCAGTACACAACAGTTGGTGTTTAGTTATATTACTGGTATAAGTCAGAAGTTTTTATTTATTTATTTTTAAAATAAAATTACCTAAATCTCATTTGGTCATTAAACATCACAAATTTTTTTTTTTCCTTCAATGAGTTGTACGTTGCCGAAGACCTGAGTTCTGTGTATCATCAAGAAGGCCTGTGTCAGCATCCAAAAATTCTTCTACATCTGTGTGTATACTTAAGGGATTCCTCACACCCCGGTGCTCTGTTTGTCTAGAGAGATCACCACCACTGCCTGTTGAGTATGGATCAATGTCTAAAAATCAAACAAGTTGTCAGTATAGATAACGTGACCAAAAAATAAATTATAAATCATTCAACTTTTAGAATGGAGCAAACATACACAATGAAAGATCAGTTGTGCATGTGTCAACTCATTAAGGGGTATGTTCTAACTGAAGCCCCAGTAGGTTTTCTTTTTTAAACTGTGTTTAACAAAATTACTGTATACACCAAAAACAATTCGGCAAACAGTATTAAGACACGTGGGGGAGAGGGGAATAGTACAACCAGGGGATAAAACATGCAGATCACCTGTCAGAAGCAAGTGGGGAGAAGCTATGAGTTGAAAAAAACTAGCAAACAAAGGCCTTGAACGTAAATGGAAAAAGACAAGTAACAGAGCTGGACACAAAAAGTTAAAAGGACAGGCTAGACAGAAAGACTAAGGTAGGGGGGTCCACAGATGAGGTCAATAGGCACTCAAATCACAAAATTGACCAAACTCAGGCTAAAGAGTGCTGCTGAAAATTACCTCTTTGGAATGTTCTTACTTGTAAACCTCACATCTTACAAGAAAGTTGACATGAAGAGAACGAGAGTTATAACAAAATATACTCATTGAATAGAATTGTATTACATCTTACCAAAAGTTGTTGTGGGGTCTTCTGTATCACTTTGTCCAATGGTCTCAGTTGCTGGTGTGTCATCGTCATCTATTAAAGAAGAGTTCAGTTAGTGCCAAAGCATACCCTTCATCCAAACAGTGTGAAACCCATTGATTAATGCACCCTCTCCTTATGCCTCTTCTAACTACAGTAACAATCTTTGAAAAATGGGAAAGCATTGATTCATATGGGAAATTTGAGTGCGTGTGGCACTCTCCACACATTAGGATTCCGTTGAGGAGCATTGGATTGGACATTGCACTGCTTACCCATCTGCCTTTTATTTATTTATTTTTATTTATATTGCACTGTGGTGACCTGAAAACTAGTATAGAGATGACTTTGTGACCAATTTGGTTTTGAGTTGGGCTGCCAGGATATTCCCCAATCACTTTATGTGGACTGTATGGATCCTAAGACTCCGAATGTTTAAATAGCGAGTTTATCATGCATAGAGGGTTTGTGTCTATAAATTACAACATTTGCAAGATAATGGCTTAAAACCCTCAAACTAGCTATACAAAACACAGAATATGAGGAATTGGAGCCAAATAAGGATGCACTTTGGACATTTGTCTTTTGGTATAAAACCCATCACATTCTATAATAAACCAATTTGATGGAAATTATGTTTTATCCTGCTGTAGGATATTAACAAAAACTACTCAGATACCATACAACACGTTTGAGCCCTATATCTGAAAGATCTGTCTAGAATATATCTGGAGAGTAAGGAAGACTACGCAGTGGCCTTTTGAGAGTGCACAAAGATACATAAACCATTGGCCTTCTTGACCAATATGTAAACAGCTATTACTTGCCAGTCTCTACTCTGATCTTGAGCAAGACTGAGAATCAGAACCACTGGTGGAATGCTGTAGCTAATCTGAAGTTTTAGTGGTTTGAAAATGACATCAAGAAGGTCTGGTTCCTTCTGATGGCAAATTACGCCAAAATGTTTGGCTTTCTTGTTGGAAATGAAGTCCATAAGGGCTATATCTGGGAGACAAAATTCCCCCAACAAAAATGTCCTGTTTACTTGGCTAAAGCATAAAAAAAGTTTGTTACCAAGTAAACATGATATTTAATGCTATATTAGGGACTTCAAGTTCATCATCCAGTAGGCATCAAATAAAAATTAAACAAATTCTCACTTTGTCACAGTCCATAAAAGCAATAAAATCGTTAGGAATCCTCTTCCCCATTTCATAAAACATGGGGCACCTGTTCTAGCTAAACTGGAGTTTAGCTTGGTGGGCTTGAGCTGGCATGCAAGTTCTTGTGTTTGAACTTTGTTAGTGGGATAGAATTTACACAAAAAGTTAAAATTGCAGGAGCAAAAGTAAGGGGTGAGATGGGACATTAAGCTCTTCTGCATTGCTTTTGGTGATTTTGAAGGGGATGTAAAAAAGTCTCAGGCATGTGTGCAACATTTTTTGAATATATGTGCTTGCATTTTTATGACCACATGGCCAATAGAGAGAGTTATCTAGCCGTTACAACACTTCTACAAAGCATGCTGCAAGATGGCTCTGAGCTTAATGAGTTACTCTTACCCTTTTCTTTTTACACTGTATGTTTTACTATAGTTGTTTCTGCACTCCCCTGTTTAACGTCCATCAGTCATCATGAAGTCCAAACTAAGGTTTCTCATAGAGAAGCCTTTGATTGGACATTTTAATGGCTCAGACTAGCGAGGGGTGGGAGGTAAAGTAAATAAATAGTGGGTATAGAGGGGGTGGGACAGCAGACAAAAACTTCCCCTTGCCTGCAAGGACAATGCCAATTCCGTTTGTATGCGTTTTTCTTTAAACAGTATAAACATTTGGCAATGCGGAACAGAATTCTGGGCTACCAAAGTCACATGTACCAGTGGTGCAACAAGCCCCCAAAACAAAAAGTTAATATATCTCTGGATGTGCAGAGTTACAACCAGAAACACTGCACATACAGACTCCTACAACCACTTCTAAAACGAAAAGTGGTCATGGTGGATGGCATAACCCTTTAAAAACGAAAAAGATTACGAATGGAAAAGGTTGAGGAGTTTGAAACAGATAATCATATAGGAGATACGGGGGACACTCTGGCCCCTAAAAACTTCATCTCAGTGAAGTAATGGGGCTGGCGTTCTGGAGGGCCAACTTACCATACCACTTTATACCATTTTCAAACGGTTTAACCCCAAAGTCCTGTCCCTGTCATGCCACCTCCTGGCTGCTTTGCTAATGAGGAAGCATTGGCTCCGACAGCCAGTGACAGGCTAAAAACCATCTGACATTATCAGCCTATCATTACCAACCTATTGGGAGTAATAGTGTGTACCATTACTGCGTGTCCCTTCCAATAAGTTCTGCAGTCATTTCCCATACGTTTCCTCCCCATTTATTTCGGGCACCCACAAATTGTCCACTGCGCAACTGCATTGATGACGCTGATTTGTCCAACTTTGATGGCAGTTGTAGGCCATACTACCTTCAGAATTGCTGTGGACCCTTAAAAACTCACTGGCTGGCATTTCTAAACCCCACTGACTACCAGAAGGGATACAAATTCACATATACCTCAAACACATGTTTACCGAGAGAGACACACACATGCAGCCCGGTGCATGCAGGCTCAGTGCTTGACCAAGTCCCTTGACAGCTTACTGTCGTCAACTAGGTTAGCCAAGCTCTCAGGCAAACCCATAACCAGATGATTGCATCCATGGACTATTGCCAACATAACCACTATACTGACTCATAGGACACTATTGCTCGCAGTCCCTCCATCTCACCTTTTTCGTGAAACTTGCCCTGATCTATCTTTTTATTACTCTTGCTTTGAGTCCCCTCCTGTCGATGGTCATTAACAGACACTCGAGAAGTGGAAGCTAGGTAGAAAATGAGAAAAGATAAGCACACAGACAGGAGAATGAGATGACTGTATAAAAATACAGTGATTCTGAACCTTTGTCTGCACCCCAAATTGTACACAATATTCACTTGGGGGTCCCCTTTATCAATTTTAAAGACAACTAATTTGGCAAAACCCATTAGATTCTGTCCAACATTAAGAGAGATCTACACAGTCTATTGTAGTCACACTGATTTTTTAGTGCAATTTGCAGGCAATTGCTTTAGACCTCATGAATAAAAATGCTCCTTTTGAATCAATAGGAACCCACTAAAAAGAAGGGGTTAAGAATCACTGTATGTTGAAAGCGGCAAAATTTAATAGAGTGAAAGAGAAACCTTAAACAGAAATCTGCTAGAGAAAACATCAGGCATATAAAACGACAACTTTATGATGCTTTTAAAAGGAACACTCAATGCACCATAACCACTAGAGCGCAGGAGTCAAACAGGTTACAAATGGTTTGAAAACTTGCCTGGGATATGCTGGGAAACCACTTCCTGCCTCCTCTTCTTCTGACAGATCAGCTGACACACTCAGCCAGTGAGCTAACCCTGTACTCCAAGGCTTTGCTCAAACAGAGAGCCAACAGAAGCTATTGCTTCGGAGCTTCAGACTTTCCATAGGAAGTAGTTGAGGCGGGGAGCAGAGCCCAGTGGACACCAGATAAAAAGGTTAAATTGTCCAGGCTAGTTAGAATGGGTGGTACGAGGGCCCTACTAGCACCATAACATATTTACAATTACTTATACAGTGCTAACATATTGCACAGTGCTGTACAGTAGGTAAACAAGACATTTAAAATTCTAACTGTGGCAGTACATACCTTGTATGCCTAAATGTTTCCCTAAAGACTAGATCACTCATCCTGGCTTTCCCAAGCTTCCCTTCTGGACCTGCTCAGAAAGTGATCTATCCTACTCTACCTCTTATTAGTTTCAGAAAGCCAGAATAAGCCATACTTTTTCCACCTGCACTGTGAATGTTTACATGGTGTGCAATAAAAACATGGCAACATTTCACTCTTTGTGTGTTATTAGTTTAAGCAGACTGTGATTGTCTATTGTTGTGACTTAGATGATGATCAGATCACATTTTATGACCAATTTGTGCAGATATCCAGATCATTCCAAAGGGTTCAAATACTTTTTCTTGCAACTGTATATTTTTTTTTACAAGGACTGCAGAGAGTTGGATGTCACGCAGGAGGGCATTCCATAAGGTTGGGACACCCCAGAGAAGCCATGCAGACAAGAGTATAGGGTACCTGTGTGAAAATGGGACAGTAACTGGTCGACGGCAGTGCATAGAGGCCAGGCTGGAGCAGATCTGCTAACGAGGGAGTAGATGTAAGCTGGGGCACAGTTATGGAGAGCGTTGTAAGCAAGCGCGATAACCTCGAACCAAATCCTAAATGAGTTGGAGACTGACAGAGTGGTGAGGTATGAGAGTCCTGGACGTAATGTAGAATCTTGCAGAGGCACTCCTCATGGACTGTAGAGGGACAATCTGGATTTGGTATGCCAGGGTTGACGTTTAGTTTGATGGACAACATGGGCAGTGATTGGATATAGTTTATCTAGAAGTGTGCTGTAGTGGTTATGATGCCAGAACTGCCCTGGCACCCTCACAGAATAAGTAGTTAAACCATTTACAAATTTGCTTGGAGTCCTGCACAGGCCGGCTCAGAAGGTGACAGCATTAGCTTTGCAGGTACCCAGGTAAGTTGCCAAACGGTTCTTAAATGGTCTGACTACTTACTCTGGGAGGGCACCATGATACCTAGCTACATTATCACCAGGGTGCTCTTTTAATACAGATACATATAAAAACGCTCCAGGATGGTTTTACATTACACGCTTATATAAAATTTAAAAAAGTGCCAGCTGAGGAATACGGCTAGATTGTCATGCTTATAATGACATTAGGGGTTAGAATCTGAAATAAATAAAATGTTACAAAGGGAAATTGCCCCCTGCCCCCTTTCTTTTTATAGTGTTTACATATATTTTTTTTCTGCTGATGCATAGGTCACAATGCCAATGACAACATCAAAGTTTGACACTGCTCAGCATGTCTAGGTAAAATTCATGGGTAATTCCTAAATACAAATATCCCTCTATAGCAATTTTCTACATTCACTGAAAACAAATGTTTCTATGCTAGGATTATAGCTTTAGTTGCAGGCATGTAACTTTGATACAGTAATATATTCCTAGTAGTATTTTCCCAATATTTTTCTAGACATACAAGACGATCCGGTCTAATTAATTAATCTGTTTTGATGTAATTTTCTTTTGCTAACCTAATACACAATTAATTGCAAGCCTCTCCAATTCGTGTCGGCAACATAAGCCAAGAAAATGCAAGATTAAAGACAGAAGGCATTTGTACGGCCATCCAAACAATACCCCTTGTCTAGCAGTCTTACCGGCCTTCACTAAATACAAACCACCGTGACTTATAGCCCGTGAACGTACAATGGAGCAATATCGGTTGGAGGTTTTTTTTTTACATAAAAAACCAAGTGTAATACTTTTGCACACCAGGTTTGCTCCAAACTAGGTAATTTCCAGGCAGTGGCTACAAACAACCATAGCATGCATATATTCACCCCATCATCTGATGCTAGTTCTTCTACAATGTATTACATAGGGCCATATACACTAGCAAACATCCATCCATCCATCCATCCAGAATTAGCAAAGGTAAACATAATGTAAATATATCTTTAAAATGTTAAGTAATGGGTTGAAACACAAATTAAATGCATGCAATATAAATTCATATCCTCACCAGGTTGGACAGATTCCCTTCTCTGAGACTCAGCTCTTCTCCGTTCAGTGCTCGCTCTACTTCGTTCCTCAACCTAGCAGAGAAAGACAAAATTAAATTAAAATGAAAGATCCATTTGCGAAGAGTCACGTGATGCTTCTTGCAGCAAAGTTCACTCTTTTATAGACGCCACAGATAAATGATAACCCATGTTCCTTTGTTATTTTTAAATAAGGATTTACTGCCATACAAGCAATAGCTGATCCACTTCACTAACAAGTTAAAAGGGTCTCTCCACCCCATAACATTAATACAGTAAAGTTGCTATGGGGCTCAAGTCTCTTGATGACTTCTTACCATTTCTCTCCCCCTCCCCCACTTACCAGATTTGCTCATGCCAAATCTTCCTAATCATTGTGGCAGAAATGAAGAGGACTGATATGGCAGTGCACAATTTTCATAAGGCATTCAGAAACTCCAGTCCTCATAACTACTTTGTTGAGATGAAGGACCACAAACACAATCAGTGAATTACTTTAAGTGTATCATACTCTGTTGCCTTAAGAGACAATTTTTTCAGGAGCTCTGCATTTACTCTAATAGGAACCATGGAAGTTTAAATGGTTTTATTATATTTACAAAAGGATACTAGTTTTGTATGCTCTCCTAATGTTAAAGAAATGTGTTATATATATTGTATATCTGAGCGAGGACATTTAGTACACTTGTCAAATTCTGAACAATTTTGTAGACTGAGTATTTCTAATCCCAGGTTTACATTTGTATACTCAGTCACCTATGCTGTGATCAGTCTGTCTTGCATATACATGCTCTTTAGATCAGACACCACTCACCTGCCCACGTGTTCTACCCAGCCCCCACTGCACGTAGCTGAGCACGACCAAAACACTCAAGAAAACAAAGTTGCTAGAAACACCAATAACAGCAGACGATATAGGATAATGATACAGCAGATACCTGTAAAGAAGAACATAATTAAATTGATACAGGGAAGAAAGAGAAACAAAAATAGCAGAAAGAATAAATTTAAAAATGATTAAAAATCAAGAACTGTGGTTAGCCCACATTCAAGGAAATTATATATACATACATATATACAAGGAATATATACATACACACACACACACAACAAAAAGATACTTCAAGAGATAAATAGCAGAAGTTAAAGGAACACTGTAGGGTCAGGAACACAAACATTTATTCCTGACCCTATAGTGTTAAAAACACTAGCCTTCACTGGAAACCACTTGCCCTTCTAAATATAGTAATATCTTACCTTTAGTCCAGTCTGCTGTTGCTGGCTCTTTCCCCCGATCTGGCTCCTTAGCTGTCATCACAAGTAATGATCTCACCCAATCACAATTATTTCCCATAGGAAAGCATTGGATTGGCTGAGATTGTCAATACAGATGATCTCAGCCAAGAAGGCAGACCGGGGGGCGGAACAATGCCACCCTGGGCAATCAGCATCTCCTCATAGAGATGCACTGAATCAATGCATGTCTAAGAGGAAAAATTAGTGTCTCAATGCAGAGGGTGGCGATGCTGAATGTCAGTGGCACCTCTAGTAGCCATCCCAGGACTGGCCACTGGAGGTGTCCCTAGGCTGTAATGTAAACACTGTTTTTTCTCTGAAAAGAGTGTTAACAACAAAAAGTCTGCAGGGACCGACTATACTCACCAGAACAACTACAGTAAACTGTAGTATTCTGGCGACTATAATGTCTTTTTAAAGACGTTTGTACAATGCAAAAGCTAGTCAGTCATAAAGGTGAGTTTGTGGTTTTGAATAAATCATGAAATTCAAGAATACAGATAGAGAGACCACGAATGGCTGCATAGACAGTTACTCCAATCAAGAGACACACCTTAACTCCTAGCACAGACATGCATGCTAGCAGGAAGTATAGAACACCATACCAACCGCTATGCCCATGCCATGACACCACTTTTCTGGAAGAGAAGGTGAGATATAAAGTTTGGATTTCACCATCCACTAGACAGGTTCACTTTAAAGAGAGAGGCCTTGTACATGGCAGTTAAAGGGATCGTATAGTGCCAGGAAAACAAAGCAGTTTTCCCTGGCACTGTAGGGTTAATAGGTCCCCCCCACCCCAGGGCTTAAGAGGTTAAAACCCCTATAGCCACTTACCTGAATCCAGCGCCGATGTCCCTCGGCGCTGGGTCAGGCACCACCCACGCTCCTCCCCCACTGATGTCAGCCGGTGGGGGAGGCCTAATGCGCAGTATTATTCAATGACTTCCTATGGGGAAAATCTGATGCTGGAGGTCCTCGAGGAAGTCCAGCATCAGATAACGGACCAAAAGTCAGTTTGGATTCCGGAAGCCCTCTAGTGGCTGTCTGGTAGACAGCCACAGAGGGCAGACTTAGAGCGGCAATGTAAACATTGCAGTTCTCTGGAACTTCAATGTTTTACATTGCAGCACTAGGTGCAAAAGGGACACAGCACCCACACCACTTCAATTAGCTGAAGTGGTCCGGGTACCTACAGGGTCCCTTTAAAAGGATACTATAGGCATCAAAACAACTTTGGTTTAATGAAGTAGTTTTGGTGTGTAGATCATGCTCCTGCCGTCTTGCTGCTCAATTCCCTGCCATTTTGGAGTTAAATCACTTTTGTTTTGGTCTATGTAGCCCTAGACACACCTCCCTTGGCTATGACAGACAGCCTGCATGAAAAATAAAATGGTTTCATTGTTAAGAAGATAGTTTATAAGTTTTTATCTCCTCCTCTATAACAAACTTTATTCACACTCCGGAGGCTCATGCAGGGTCCAAAAGGCTATTAACAGTGCAGAAGATACATTCTAAATTAAAGGGACACTATAGTCACCAGAACAACTACAGCTTAATGTAGTTGTTCTGGTGAGTATAATAGTTCCCTTCAGGCTTTTTGCATGCAAACACTGCCTTTACATTGCCTCTAGGGACACCTCCAAGATTCCTAGGAATTTTCTCTTCTAGCAACATATATTAGTGTTAATTTGCCATAAATGTACTTTTAGGACAAAAGCTCATTGCTTTATTATTTGTTCTATTATATTCTATGATTTCTTGCCATTCTGATAGATTCCATTTGAACAGGACAGTTGTGCTCAACTCATTCCTCAAGACACACCAACAGTCCAGGATTTAAGCATGTCCGTTCCTGTAATTCCATGGGGATACTGTAAAAATATGGACTGTTTATTTATCATGGAGATTTGGCTCTTCAGCTTAATATCAAAGAGTGGACTGATCATCAGTTACTCCTAAAATGAGAGGACTTTCAATTTTTTTCCCCTTAAGGTTGAAGAATGCAGACCATTTTGAATTATTTTTTTTAATTTTTTTTATTTTTTATTATTTTTAGTTGTGCAGGTGGTTACAGGGCATCAAACAAATGCCACAACAGTGTGATTCAAGAGTGACAAAAGGTTAGACAGTGGCATGAGAGTACGCACATTTTTGTAAATTTATGTATAGAACAAGCTTAATTAAATTGATACTAACATACAACTCGCGAGCTTCTTTACACATACATCCATACCTATGCGGTCTAGTGATTTTACATTTCAGAACGTTTCATTACAAATTTGCTTACTTGTTTTGCCTAAGGTTAATTAAGCAAGTGAATATAATATAAGAGTATAGACATATGTTCATATGAAGAAAACAGCTTATCTACAGATGATTACTCAGGCAATCAAATGTTGTGCCACCATGCAGGTTGTGGCAGATTAGGTTGTTATCTGCACTAATCAGGGCATTAAGACCATCGTATACTGTTGCCTCAATTGTGGAGTCAGTAGCAGAAGTGTCCGTTTGGTGGTACCCACAGCCAGGGTTTTTGTTATTAAGGCTGTCCGTAACGGGTCCAGCGATTCCTGCTTTAATTGCGGTCTGTCGTAAGGAGCTGAGGTACCTGTCGCTTTGGCATCAGGAGTGATGTCGAGCCGTGTCCTCTTCTCCGGCACATAGATAATCCCCATAGGGTACCTCTGATTGCATTGCGTCCCTGGGACCCACCGCAGGTCGGAGTGGCTGCGGACCTCCGTGATCTTTTACCCAGACGGTTTGTGAGCGCGGGTATGCTGCTTTGCAGGTCACAGTAACCAGGTGTGGGCAACGCTGGAGTGGGATAGTCGTTTAGGGGCGCCCTTTCCGGGCACTGCCACAGTGTTGGTCAGCGGTATGGATTATGAGGAGCTCCGGTGAGGTGTGCTCAGTTAAGGTAGGCGCTTGGTCCTCTGCTGGTGAGTAGGTCAGCTTGCGGTGTAAGTAGCCAGCAGAACCGCAGGTCTGTGTCGTTACATTTAAATGCCTTGGGTGGTCATTACTCTGGCCTTGTGTTGTGGGAGCTCTCGCTCAGCACGCCTTCTTCAGCGGTTTAGAGGTTAGGTGCATCGCTGTCGGCCATTTTGTAAGGGCCGCATGGTAGCTGATGGCGGTGAGTCGCTTAGGAGCACTGCCAAGGTGTTGCCTACCCGGTGGAGGCCGGGATGACTCCCGCTGGCCCAAAGGGGGGGGGGGGGTGTAAGCGAGGCCGGTACCCCGGATTCGTCGTTGATCTCGGCAGTTGCCCGGGGCGGAAAGCGAGGCAGCGGCCGTCCGCCCCACTCTCCTCCCGGGTAGGCCTCAGTCTCTCCAGCCCCGGAGCATCTCTCCAGGACCCGGTCCACCCGATATCAGGTGCTCCAGGTGCATCGGGACACTCCAGGGCCAGGTATCACGCACTTCCAGGGGGTTCCAAGCTAATTAGGATGGGTTTTTAACCCTTATTAGTAGAGTTCCCCAGGAGCCATAGTGACTTGTAGCCTGCTGGCATGGCCGCCCGGCCCCGCCCCCAGACCATTTTTAATTTTTGAAGCAAAAACAGACAAATTTTTTAACTCTGATAACAGGCAAAAGCTCAAAAAACTAAGTACTTTGTTTGCCATTACTGCGTACATCTATAACATTTGCATAACAGACACAAAATTATGGCCCAAGTTCCCAAAGCATGAGAGATACATATTCTCTATTTTTGCTTCAGTGCATATACTTAGGGTCTCCCAAAGTCAAAATGGTAATCCATATGTGGACATCGTGCTCACTGTGCCTAGAGGGATATCAGCAACACTTTACTGATGAGGTCCAAAGAAGGCTGAAATTGTTGTGCAGAAAGAACAGAAAGGGCAGATCAGTCTGCTATGCAAAGGGTATAGGTTCTCTCTGTAATAGCACAATCCTTTTTTGACACCAGAGCAGGGAATGACTATGGTAAATTTAGAGGTCTCATATGTTAAGGTCTGATTTTATGGTGTCAATTAACAGAAGTAGTATTTCTGATGGCCTGTTGTAGATTGGCATCCATTATTTACAGCAACTGTTTTTCAGGATATAACTTTTTTTTTTTTTAAACACCAATATATATTAATATTTATTTTTACCTCAGTCCAGTGAAATGTGCATGCACCCGAAGCTCAGCGTTGTAGATCTGTATCCTGACACTCTGGATCTCTATCACTGCCCCAATGGTTGGTACATACTGAGAAAACAAAAAATGTTACAAATCAACCAATTTACTGTGCAGCAGCAAACAATTTTATAACATGACAGGAGGCTGCATATTTGCTTAAGTCTCTCCTTATTAGAACTCCACAGCAGCACAGAAAAAACAACCAACCAATCAGAGAAAAATTAGGTAGTATAAAACTCCCCTCCCCATGCATCATTTCCTCTTTCTTTGCTGCTCTGCATCAGTACAGGTCAGAGTACCACTGCCTCCTGCTTATAGTGGGTGGCTTTGGGATTTTATGAGGATTTATTTAAATTATATTTATCATATTATATTTATTTTATATACATTATATATTTATATGCAGTTTCTTATTGATTATTTAGTTTTGGGATTACTGTCTTTTGACTCTTCTTGGGCTCCCCTAATTCTCTGGGGATGTTTTCTTTCAGTCTGGGGTTTTTTATAAGGCTTCCTGGGCATATTTTTGGGGATACTTTTCTGTTTGCTCCCCCCTATTGTATTATTTCCCCCCCTCCCCCTTCTACCCCACTTTCTTGCACCCTTCGCGGGCTACAGGTGCTTTACTTGGGGTGTCAGGAGACTAGCAGTTTGGCTGCCTCCTCTGACTCCCTGAGCTCCAGTGTGAGCTTGCCGGCGCCCGGGTTTACTCGCGGTCAGACGCGAGTACTCGGCGCCCGGGTCTGCTTGTACACGTGGCCACATCAACGCGATCAGCTCTCTCAAAGAGCCACATGCATCCAACCGGCTGTAGGAGGGTGCGCCTGCTCGCGGCCCCTCCTCCACCCGCGGTGGTCGGACAGAGTTTCTCTCCCACTGGGACTCTGGCGCTGTTACAAGCATCCAGAGCCAGTTTACCAGTTAGTGCAGGGGTAGTCACTCCATTGGTTACTTCTATACCAGGTTAGCTCCTACAGAATCTGTCATGTAGCTGCTACGGTTTATGTATTGATCACTCAACATGGCAAATTATCTGAATTTTATACAGTAAATTTCTGGTGTATATATTCAATATTTGAATCCATTTGTAAGTGTTTTCAGGAGAAGAACTTGTGTAGTAACTTTTTTTAGAATATATATATAAAATATATTTAAAAAAAAAAAAAAAAAAAAACACACACGACATGAATAACTATTGAAACCTTGTCAACTCATGTAGAGTTGGATTTTATATGAACCTAGGAATGTGGTAGTTGTGTGTAACACTATTCATCTTAGGTCCCTATCCTTGTACTTCAGTGTATATACTCCTGATCCCTCTCTGGAGTCAGATGAGACTGCTCTAGTTTGAGATTCACTGTCCATGGCAAATGTAATAAGCTAAGCAGACCTGGCTCACAGGGTATGGGAGACCAGTCCATGCTGACACTGATTCAGTTTTTTCAGGTTCTATGTCTAGTAGAGTGGGAAGGTGGTCCCTTCCAAACTCAATAAGGGGGTACATAGAGTTGGCTATTGTTATACCCTACTCCTGATATATACCATGGGTACAATACCCTTCAGGTGATCTGCGGATGATGAAATCTCATGCAGGTCTGCATGCTCATGTGCATAACCTACTCACAGTTATAATGAAATCGCTTATTTCCACTATAGCCCAAATACCACTATTTTGCCTGCTGGGCATTTAGGGACGGCTTGTCCCAGTTAAGGTTTATTCACACAGTATTACGTTGTCAAAAGGGGTCGGCGTCTAGGGATTTTATGCCACAGAGTACCCCGAAGATTTACAGATATTTAGGGGACTCTGCCCTAACACAGGGGTCCCTTATTACCCATTTAGACGCAACCCAGCATTGGCCAGCTATGTCTGCGCCCCGTGGATTGGCCAGCTATGTCTGCGCCCATTTGATTGGCCAGCTACGTCCGTGCCCTTCTGACTTCCCTGCTCTGTGCCCATCGTTGGCCTGACCCATCCGTGCCCAGAACCCCCTTTTTGGCCGCAGGCTTGGGGGGAATATAACTGAGGGAAGCCCAGTACCCACTATTAACATGAAGATAGGTGGGTGTCCAGGAAAGCACTGCTGACATACTATGCAAGAGGACAACAGTATACGGGCACCGAAGTAGGATTGGAAGGCCTTAAACCTTTTGCCCTGAGGGGCAAAGCTTTATGAAGATCCCCGGGCACGCACCCACGGTTTACACCAACCCAGGTGGCACTTCTCCAAGGGGAATTTCACACAGCAGTGATCGGTGTTCAGATACCAAGAGAGGAGCACTGCTTCCTTATCTTTAGCGTCCTTTCTAGTATCCATCTTAGGTATTGGTAGTTATCCCTGCATCAGGTTTAACTCCTGGCCCTTTCGGTTGGGTTTACTAGACTTGCTTTCCCGGTCTGGTATTTATCTTCTCTACGAGATACCTATTTACATTTATCTACATTATTTGTTTTCATGACTTTCTAATTTTCAAATCGCTCGGGTCATCGAGAGGCCTGATTTGACCTCCTCCGACCTCCTGGGCTCTCGTGGATCGCGGAGAACGTCTCCAGCCTTCCTCAGGCTACCGGCTGTCATCCTGGATCCCGCGCACGGGATGTCTGTTGGTAGATTCTATCATTGCGCCCCGAGAGGGCATTCTCTCATTAAAGATGGACAAGACCCAAGGTTATCTACTATCTCATGTACCATCGGTCTGGTTTATTACCAGTTGATTCCACCTCTCAGGTGAGTGATTCGGAGAGAGGTCCTCCTCAGAATCTTAATCCTAGGCTGATATGTTGATATGAGGAACCCCAGCAGGGTCACCCTGAGCCTGATATGGACTTTAGTTTGAATTACGAGAGGGTGCGGCCCTCATCACCTCGGCCGAGACTGATAATTTTTAATATCACGAACAGAGAGCGAACCCTCTCATATACTGAGCAGGGCACGGATTCATTATTAGAGGACGTGGCCCTCCTGCAACCTCAGCCCGATACTGAGCTGGATACAGAGGACATGTTTTGAGTGACACATTCCCCTACGGTGCCATCCATTTGTTCATCTCACAGGCTGGTACCTGCAACGATGGCTGCATAGAGGGGTGTCCCTCCTGCATTCAATTGGATCTAACGACCGTGCTACCGATTTCATTATAGAGGGCTGTCTGCATAGATATTTAGACTGGATCCTTCTATTTCACCTCCTATAATGGATCTACTGGATCCAGACCACTGTATCCCACGCGCGAAATACGCACAGAGGTATTAAAGAGGGAGATTCCCGCTTATTTATGCTCCTGGAGATGGTACAGCTAACGGATGAACCACAGGTATTACAAGAGTACAGGGTCTGGTATATTTGAGCGATGCCAAAACAGACTATTGCACCCTGTAAGATATTCAGACCATTGCGAACATGCTACGCAGACAGTTTTTCCCATGTCAAGGTGACATGAGATCCTGAGGCCTTCATAGAGCAAACGGGCACTGCCTCACTCTGGTAACAAGACTAGAGAAGGCCCACTACCCGGTCTGCAGACAGACCGTGCGCACGAATCGCATGGTAAGACCGGAACCCCGGTTGACTTGGGTTCTCTGGTCATTACTATCTTGGGATAAGAGGACAGGACTACCCCATGTCCTCTGAGCACATATCTGGAATACGTGGTTCGGAAATAGAGGGCCCTCCTTCTATACGCTATATCCCGCATGGGACCCGTCTTGGTTTGGGTTCTCGTTAACCCACCTTTTCAAACTACCATCAAGGACACCTACGGTGGACTGTATGGAGGAACCCTGTGTGCCCAGACTCCTACACGGACGTCAAAGTCGGGACGCAACCTACCGCTGGAGCACTGCTCAGGATGTGTAGCGGACTCAGATAGGGCTGCCGACATGCTCAAACGGAACAACACCTGCTTCGGACGGTTGAAGCTAGACCCTTGTTTTTCGTTATATCTGCTTTCTGGAGTCACCTGTCGTGAGGGAAGGGACATTATGTCTTGCCTGCATATTAGAGAACGCTAGGTGTTCGTGGGACTCCAAGCTAAGAAGGGAGGTATCCCTCTATAGGGAGACCTTGACTTCAGTTCTCAAATTCACATCCCTGGGTCCCTTGACCTAGGGCCTACTCTGGGAGACACGTCCCCGGACAGTCAGGGTTACAGGGACTTAAAGGTCTCACTATATTATGCCCTATCTTGTAGGTTGCGTGTAGACCAGGAACCTCTACACAAGTTTTGACAGGTCGGGCATAGAATAGGATCGTAAAAACGGGTAATCTGATTATTTCACCCTCTTGCTACAGCATATGAGGGCTCTTTTTTTGTTATACAGGTCCCAATCACCATTGGATCCGGACAACTGATCACTCTGAGACGATGATATATCTGGATAGAAATCTCAACCCTGGTCTACGTTCCCATCCTTTTGAATATTTTTCCGGGACTCACAAATCCCAGAACAGTCGACCACCGTTCAGTTTGGGACCTTGATTGGATGCCCTTTAGGAGTCTTTTCCCTACTGCAGCAGTGGATTACACAGTCCATTTGGAATACTGGAATCACTTAGGATACGGCTAGTTTGACCTCACTCATGCCTACATAATAAATTTACTCTCGGATGAGACAACTCACGGGTAGGTCATGAGGAAACGAAAGACCCTACTCGGTTCGATTACGGAATTGGTGATTGACTTAGGCGCATGCCTTGAGGTTGGAGATTCGCCTGCAGGGCCAAATTGCCTGGTGACCCTGGCACGATCGGGGGAGCCACCTTCCACATCAAGAGTCGAGACATGGTGACACAGTTTCTTCTTGCGGCCCAGGTACCAGCGAAACATACAGCGTTGGATTTGTTGGCTGAGCGTTAAAACAGCAAATACGAAGCCTCCTGTCATGTTATAAAATTGTAGATTATGCTAGCTTTAGTTTACCTATAATCTTAATTTTATTAATGACAGGAGGCAAGTATTTCCCGCCCATTCTTATCCCTCCCTTGTTTAATTTTATAGTTTGAGTTCTTCAGGTATGTATACAACTCTGCTTGTTGTCTCGGCTACCTGTCACTTGTTCTTATGTCTGTTTTCATATGTAGGGATGGGATCTATGCAGGTTACGATAATTTTGGTTGCTACATTGGGTACCTACATGTTTGTTCAAAGTACACTTCATTGGCTAACCAACCTGTTCGATTCTGTTTTTTCTCGTTTCAGTTTACAGTCCATCTACACTATCTGGTTCGACCATTCTTATCGGATGGTGGACAATGTCTTTTTCATTATATTTAGGACTGCTTTTCTTCCCCATTATATTTTCTGCCTTGTCGCAGCTTGAAAGAGGAAATGATGCAATGGGAAGGGGGTTTTATAGTACCTAACTTTTTCTGATTGGTTGTTTTTCTGTGCTGCTGTGGAGTTCTAGTAAAGAGAGACTTAAGCAAATACTCACCTCCTGTCATTAATAAAATTAAGATTATAGGTACACTAAAGGTAGCATAATCTACAATTCGAGATCAATGGGAAAACTCTCGAAGGAGAGCATGAAAAAAAAAAAAATAAATAAATAAAGAGGGAAACCAGCAGAATTTTTTTTTTTACAAATGTATAACAAAAATTGTGAATCAGTTACAGGGTACCCAACAAGTGGTGGTCCATCTTTTGTTAAACGGCATCCCCAATGAACATCGATTATTTTCTCCACAAGCATAAGAGAAATGTGACATTGCTCCATGTGGTGGATCCTGTCCTTGTTCCCCTATCTTTTCCCCGAAATAAGTGTCTCCTGTTCCCCTGCTTCGGTACCTTCCCTCCTCCTGTTCATTTGTCTGCCAGAGAGGGCGCTTTCGGCAATATTCCCCTAATAGTCCCGTTCTTGAGCCGCTGTTTTGACCCACTTACAGACATGCCAGGAGAGTGCTTTTTGGAGGGAAGGTGCTACAGATTAATTGGAACAATTCCTCCCTAAGAACCAGGGGGATCCCTTCTCCATTTGACCACAGGAGCTCCCAGTATTTGAGGGGCCCAAGCCACAATTACACTGGAACTATTTGGGGCTTAGTCCTCGTGTGCAGACGGTCAAATTGTTACCACGGTGGCAATTGGACAATTCTTTATGGATCCAGGTGCTCTGTTGCCAACTAGAGTGTTTGGAAGAGAGCTATCCGGGATTGTATGATATGTATACTGTGTTTTGGGGGTATTTTATGTTAGGCACTATATATATCTGGGAGATAATTAGTTTAGCGGTCAGCAAATTATCTCCCAGGCACAGAGGCGCCTGGGCAGACACTGTATGTATTCAATATATATCCCATGCTGGGGGTATGTGCATAAAAGGCTGCATTCAGCTCAATAAAATCAGTTCTCCCAGAACTATGTGCTGTCTAGTGAATAGTTCTATTCCAGCTTTAGAAGATATTTGGCGGAGATAACCAGTCGTGGTATTGGAGCTCCAGTCCACATTTTCTAAATAAATAAAGCTTGCAGTTTGGACGTGCAATATTTTCCAGCAAAAGGGAATGGCCTCAGCAGAGAAGGATCGGGCTGAGGGAGGTCAGAGGAGAGCTTTAACAATTTTCTTTTGATGATCTCAGTCATGGAATTGAGGGCCAGCCACCTTGTCCTTTTTGCTCCAATCTGCAGGCGCCAGGAACATAAACTGGTACTTTTAGCTCTATAATGTTAAGAATACTTGTTTGTATTCATACCACTATATAGTGTTTCTATAACTAGAACCAAAAAAAATAAATACAAAAAAAAAAAGTGTAAAAATGAAGGAAAAATAAATTAAAATGGCCAACGAGTTACTAACATACAGGGTAAAGGTCAAAAAGCTGTTTGCAAGAAGGTATGAATGAAAATTTGGAAAAACAGACTCACCGAGTCTTCACGATATGCTGAATAAAGTTCCACTTCGAGAGATTGCTTCTGTTCAGACAACCCCACGAGCAGCAACGGCAAAAGCGTAATAGTTTCTAGTGTTCGCAGAAGAGGGGATTTGTAATGAAGGATTGCCTAGAGAAAAGAGGGGTAAAATATGAAAATTAAAAGAATGTGGAAAGGGGGGCGTGTCCAACTTCCGGCAAGATCGGTCGCATGGAGTAGGAGCTCCGCACACCCGGACCAGAATAAACACTTTTAACAAGGAAATCTCGCCAGATTGCCCTGAACCAGCGGGAGATAAGGCTACACGGCTCCTAATGTCTCCCTCAAAACAGACGAAACTTACGGACACGGTCCGCCAACATAAGAAAGACAGGCTGAAGCAGGCCCAAGATGGCGTCGCCAGCAGAGCTCAGTCTCCGGACCCCGACCCCTGCACCGAGTCGCCTACGCACTCGCTATCAGACGACTCACAATTCTCTAAGGAGTATCTGAGACAAGCGCTCGCGGACCTCAGGTCCACTATTAAAGAGGATTTTACCACCTCCTTGGCGGGCATCCACCAAGAATTAGAGGAGCTGGGTGACCGGACCGACCAGGTCGAACGCAAAACAGATGATCTCTCCTCTGCCCACAATCTGATGGCGGAGAGAATACAGAAACTAGAAGAAGACAATTTCAAATTATGGCATAAAATGGCGGATATGGAAGACCGCTCTCGCAGGAACAACGTGCGGTTCCGGGGAGTGGCAGAGTCCGTATCAACAGATCAGATCTCGGCCTACATTACCGCATTAAGCACCGCGCTGGTCCCTGACCTCTCAGAGGTAACCTGGGAACTGGACAGAGCCCATCGGGTTCCAAAACCGCCCAGATTAGGCGCGGAGGTTCCACGCGACATTATCGTGCGCTATCATCATTTTAAAGCCAAAGAGGCTCTTCTTAAGGCCGCTAGAGCCCAAGCCACATTGCCCGACCCTTATAACGCTGTCTCTATCTTTGCGGACCTATCGGCCCTCACTATGGCAAGACGCAGAGAATTCTCCTCCATTACCAAAACCCTACGCAACCACAACCAGGCTTACCGTTGGGGATTCCCTACAAAACTATTGATCTGGCGGCAGAATAAGCTCCACACTATAGATGACCCCCTGAAAGGTTTATCCATGCTGAAACTCTGGGGACTCTGGGGCCAACAAGAAGCCACCCACCAACAACCGAACGCCTCGACCACCCTGAAGAAATCCCAGCCAGAATGGCAGATGGTTGGCGCTCGACGATAACAGCCATCCCATACAGGACAGCATCTCCCTGCCTCCACTTGTTGATGCACCCTACAGCTGCATAAGAAGACACCGTGCTGACTGTCGATGCCCTCGCCCGTCACGAACTTCTACCTCTTACTCCTGAACTGTCTCCAGCTGGCTTATGCCTCAAGCAAGGGCTCTAAGCCTATACATCGCTAAGGGTCACAGACCCCAGTTGCTACGAGTGGTATCGTATGAACGTACACGGTGGCATATTGTTGGATGAGGGTGTGGGGTGGGGGGCATGGATAGTTCACATGATGAAGGAAAAAAAAAAAAAAAAAAGTTTATACAATTTCCATTAAGTATTGCTCATACAAATAAGGGAGGTCGTACATGTTTTACTGTTTTATCTGAGGAATGTTTGCAAGGGAGTAATCCCCCCTCTTGAAAACTGCTATGTCATAATGTTCGTTTAGGTCCCCATGTGTAACATCTCATCCCCCTGTACTCCAGTAGGCCCTAGGGCTAGGTCTCCCTAGGCCCCCCTCCTCCCCATGAACGTTAAACACACACATGGCCAAGTGGCCGCCTCCTGTGAACTATGATTACGTCTTTAGATACACTATCGACCATGCTCAGCCTAATAGAAGGAAATATGTATCATATATCACAAGAAAAAAAAAAAAAAAAAAACCCCTTCCGCCAAGCAGCCGCAGCAATCCCGGTTATGTCCCTATAATTACGTTACCCTTCTCCACTATAATGCATCAGGGATTTAGAGGGGGCGCAGGCGAGAATGCTGTCCAGGTTTCAGACCCTCTTGCGTATATTTTCCGTTCCATTCTTGCTTACTCTAAGATTCTGGTCCGGGTGCGGCCCTGTTCCGCACGACCCCCCAAAGGTATCCGAGGTATTTGGAGCTTTAGGCTCCCCTCCGGATCCCAGTATTTTCTCTCGTCCCAGAGAGAGTTAATGTATATACCTTTGTTTGTTGATTTTGTCTTTCCTGTTAATTCCCTTCCCATCCCCTTGGCAGCTCCGTTGTCCCATATCTGTGCAGGTCGTACTCAGCCATTCGATCTTCCCTTATTCTACACTACGCACCATCTATCCACAGGTCCCATGGGTGTCGCTGGCAGACAGTATGCTGTGACCAACAAGCTTTATTGTATATCTCTTTAAGATGACGTTCCAATTTAAATGTCTCTCTATGAATGTCAACGGCCTAAATAGCCCATTCAAAAGGAGCTCTGTGATTAAGACCATTCATACTTCCCAGGCTGCCATAGTCTGCCTCCAGGAAACACACATGTGCAAAAGAAACCCCCCTAAACTGAGCTCATCCAGATACCAGCAGGTATTTCATGCCCATGCACCAAACAAAACGAAAGGAGTGGCAATTCTGTTCCATATTGATTGGGTCTTTCATCTTGATAATTCCTATGTAGACGAGCTGGGCAGGCTCCTTGTAGTGGTAGGATCGCTGAATGGTATGCAACTTACAATTGCTTCCATTTATGCACCCAACAACTCCCAAATTTCCTTCATTAAAAGAGCACTGTATAAAATCGCTACTATCCGTGTAGGGCACACTATTATCTGTGGCGATTTCAATTGCACACTAGACCCCGATCTAGACATCAAGAGAATAGCAAACAAACAACCTCTCCAACTTGCTAACACAATGAGCGCAACCCTTAGCACACTACTCCACAGGCACGACCTTTACGATTCATGGCGTTCCCTTTACCCGAAAGATCGAGACTACACATATTTCTCACGAGTCCATCACACATACTCGCGTATAGATATGTGCTGGGTAGATAAAAATACAGTATCGAATATAATAGAAGTGCAAATAGGTGACCGGACCTGGTCCGACCACGCGCCGGTAACCACTACTTTCAGGGCCTTGTTTCCATCACGGGGGCGCAGTGCCTGGCGACTAAACGAATCCCTCCTCGACAACGAGACTACGGCGGCAAAAATTCGGGATAACATAATATCATTTTTCGAGAACCATCTTTCCGACAGCACACGCATAGACACTAAATGGCTGGCCCTAAAAGCAGTGCTAAGAGGCCTATTAATTCAAGCAGGCGCAATTAACAAAAAGAAAACCCTCACCGAGTCAGATAACCTTCATTCCCAACTTAAATCCTTAGAACAAAATAATAAACTCAAACCATCTAAAAAGCTATCCCGTACTATTGAAAAGTTAAGGGACAAAATACTCAATATTTCCCTGATAAATGTGGAACGACAGCTCCGCAAATTAAAGCTCGCCTACTACATGCAGGGGAACAAGGCTGGCAAATTACTCGCAAAGCGTCTAAAATCCCGATACATACAATCTAAACTACCATACATGACTTCGTCCAATGGATCAAAATTGTTTAACCCACAAGATATAGTAGACGAATTGGCCAATTTCTACAAAGGACTTTATAACCTCGCACAGGACAGTACTTTACACCAACCATTAGACACAGACATAGCTACCTTTTTGACGGGAGCAGAGCTGCCGCACTTATCGGCACGTCAATGCGCAACCTTATCAGCCAAATTCACAGAGGAAGAAATACAAAACGCAATTCGCAAACTGCCCAAACATAAAGCGCCGGGTCCAGACGGGTTCTCCAACCACTTTTACTCCACATTCAAGACACAGCTTACCCCGCACCTCACAAACCTCTTCAACTCCTTCAGGGACTCAGGGACAATACCGAAAGAAATGCTGCTAGCACATATCGTTACACTTCCTAAGCCCGGCAAACCACCTACCGAATGCGCCAACCTGCGACCAATCTCCTTGTTGAACGCAGATATAAAACTTTTTGCCAAATTATTAGCCAACCGCCTCCAACCCCTCCTGAGAGACCTGGTTTCCCCAGAACAGGCAGGCTTTGTCCCACATAGACAACCGGGGGATAACACGCGGCACTTCCTGAACCTCATCTCCTGGGCCCAAAAAACCAACCAACATGGCATTTTACTAGCTCTAGATGCGGAAAAAGCATTCGACCGCCTTAATTGGTCTTACATGAGGGCTGTCCTAACTGCAGTGGGCATACCACAAGACTTCCTGAAAGGCATTATGGCCCTATATTCCAATCCAGAAGCCAAAGTATTCAACTCAGGGTTCCTATCTCAGTCTTTCCAAATATCCAATGGCTCTAGACAGGGCTGTCCCCTCTCCCCATTAATCTTTATAATTTGCATGGAACCACTGGTTAGACATATCAAAAGTGACAATTCGATCGAAGGCCTATCTACCCCCATCGGGACTCAAAAAATAGCCCTATTCGCTGACGATGTCCTTCTCTTCTTATCACGTCCAGCAAAATCCTTACCAAACCTACTAACTTTGCTGGAAACTTACGGTAAGGTCTCGTTCTATAAAAACAACGCCAAAAAAACACAAGCATTGGCATTGGGATTGCCACCTTCCTCTTTAAACCCTCTAAAAACACTATACCCGTTTGAGTGGCGGAACTCCTCCATTTCATACTTGGGTATTAAATTGCCAACGAAGCTCTCAGCATTAACGCACGAAAACCACTTGCCACTCATTCACAATCTAGAGCAACTCCTCAAGTCCTGGGAGGAGAAGGAGATCTCCTGGTTAGGACGTATCCACACTGTAAAAATGATGATCCTCCCACACATTCTATACTTATTCCGCACTCTCCCCATTACAATCCCAAACTCGCTCCTAAAGAAATTCCAGGCCATGATCAATGCTCATATTTGGAAGAGGAAACCCCCCAGGATAGCGCAAAACTCACTATGGCGCCCGTTCACAAAAGGAGGTCTGGGTGTTCCCAATATATCCCTTTACTATAGGGCGTCCCTGCTGGCCCAGGGCCTCACGATCCTCGAACGCCCCTCTCCCCCAATATGGCTGGCATTGGAGAACGCCTGCACACCTAATGGCTCGATCCCACTTTCCCTGTGGGCCGGGTCCAAATTTCCCAAAGCCACATCCTTGCTGCCCACCACAGTCGCGCTCTTTCACAACTGGAAACAAACTACACCGCTCTTCCTACGGAATAACGACCTACTCCTAGCCGCTCCAATCCAAGCCCTGACTTCAAGAACCTCAAACATACACCTAGACATATGGCTTAAGAAAGGGATCACCCAGGTTCGTTCCCTACTATCCGCTGAAGGCATCAAGCCCTTCCCAGACCTGATTAGGGAATTCCACATCCCCCCAGGGGAACTATTCTCCTATCTCAGAATAAAAAACATAATTCAGAAAAGCGGGATTAGCCTGAGTGAACCCGACTCTACATCACCCTTCATTCACAAATGCATGGGCAAGCTTCCAAAAATCAAAGCATTATCTCTATGTTACAACACTCTACTGCTCCAAGACAAACTGTCCAAACCATCATATATGTCTAAGTGGGAATCAGATCTGGGAAAGCATTTTTCTAATGATTTATGGCATCGCGCCCAAAAATTAACTAAACAGGCGTCCCATAGCCTTAACCAATGGGAAACATACTGTAAATTAACAATGCGTTGGTATCTAGTCCCCACCAAACTGGCCCGCATCTACCCGGGCTCTGACGCAAGCTGTTGGAGATGCCAAAATAGCGCAGGGTCCCTCTTTCATTTATTTTGGTCATGTACGCCTATTACCACTCTATGGCGGGACATACACGCCCTTCTGTATAAAATCCTGGGGGTGCACATCCCCCAATCCCCAGAATGCTTTCTACTACATATTTTTCCGAATTCTCTTCCCAAGGAAGCAATCCCTTTCATGATCCACTGTCTCATGGCTACTAAAACTGCCATCGCACATAGATGGAAATCACCATTGACGCCAACAATGCCAGAAATCCTCAGCAGGCTGGACTCACTCCATGCTTATGAACGTATGGCTAGCCGGCTGACAAATAACCAAAGCAGGTATAAATTAAGTTGGCAGAGTTGGATATTCTTTAGAGAGGGGGAGGCGCCCCTGGTGCCATAATCCGACCACTAACCCCAACCGGGTTTCCCCCTCACCCCTTACTCCATGGGCCCATAAAGCAGCCCCCCTACGAGTAAGTCAGTATGCCCTAAGGTATTTTCACCTGCCAAATGCTTGTATACCTCCAATATGTTATGTGAAGATCTCATGCTATCTGTAATGCCTATAATGCCTATAATGTCCTCTTACCAAGGATTACCAGACATTCGAATTGTTAGCTGTTTCAAACTGTATTACATTGTACTGTACTGAAGGATATGTGTAAATTTGTACAAGCTGCTTTTCCCCTTTTTCCCTTCCCCCTTCCCTTTTCTCTTTTGTACCCCTTGATATACCTCGTATTCTGTTTTATACGATGTGTAAACAATAATATGCCTAAAATAAAACACATTGGAAAAAAAAAAAAAAAAAGAATGTGGAAAGGGTGCACTTTAAAAAAAATAAAATAATAATTTATAGGAAATGTGGAGTGGATTAGCTCACTGATCGAGCTGTGTGGGAGATCTCCTTGCCACCTCGTGTGTAACATGACATAGACACCATGAACATTCCCAGATCTTGATTAACTATAGACTCTGGAAGCTGAAGTTCCATTGATATGTGGTATGGTTGTCCATGCATCAGTACCTAAAAAACAAAGAAAGATTAAATTAGAATAAAAAAAAATTTTTCAAAAAAAATGTGCACACAGAAATAATTCCTCCTAATGGGAAAAGGTAAACTAGCACATTAAAGCGGCACTGTCATGCCGAACTTACTTTTCCTCAATCTCTTCCTCTTCTCCCCCTCTCTCAGGATCTGTTATTCTTTTCTTCCTATCTTCTTTAGTTTTCTTTAAAATCATAAGACAAAGTAGGGACTCTTTGCCTTAAGGAGGATTCCTCCGCTTGACCAGCTCTGACCAGTGGAGGAGCAAAGTGTGCTTAATTTCCGCTGGTCAGAGCAATTTTCCCATGATCCCTAGCTTTCCTCTGTGTTCCCACAATGCTTCCTGTCACTTTCCACAAAACTGCCGAATTGCGTTCTAACTGAATGAGAACAGTATGTTCGTTTCTTTTAGAACGCAATTCGGCACTTTATTCGGATCGGAATTTCATTCGAATGAATGAAACTCTGATCCTATTCATTGCCGCTGCTGCATCTTGCAGCCGCTTAGTAGATAGCTCCCTGATACCGTGGGAATTAGGGAGTTATCTACTAAAAGGCTGAAAGACCTAAATTGGTCTAACAGACAACTTTACTAATACTAAGTAAAAATGATTTAGTATTAGTAAGTAATATGCCCCTACTCGCTATACTGCGAGTAGGGGCATGTCTGGTAAACAGTGAGCAGCCTGTGGGTGCTCACTGTAAAAAAAAAACAAAAAAACTATTGGCCCCCACCTAAACGACGGGTGGGGGCCCTAAAGTAAAATAAGGGGGGAGACCAAATGACCTACTGCCCCCCCCCACCCCTACCCCTGGGCGGCGGGTGAGGGCCATAGTGAGAATGAGGGGAACCTGCCCCGAGACAGCGGGTGGGGCACAATGAGGGGTGGGATTTTACTGCCCCCACCCCTGGGCCAGCGGGTGGGGGCCATGAAGATAATGAGGGGGGAAGACCTACTGTCCTTCCCCCCCGGCCCCCACCGCTGGGCGGCGGGTGGGGGCCATAGTGAGAATGAGGGGGAGGGACCTACTGCCCCCCCCCGGCCCCCACCCCTGGGCGGCGGGGGGGGACCTACTGTCCTCCCCCCCGGCGGCGGGTGGGGGCCATAGTGATCATGAGGGGGAGGGACCTACTGGCCCCCCCCCGGCCCCCACCCCTGGGCGGCGGGTGGGGGCCATAATGAGAATGGGGGGGGACCTACTGCCCCCGCCTCACCTTCTGAAGGCGGTAGCCATGAAGATAATGAGGAGGGGGGACCTACTGTCCTCCCCCCCCCCCGGCCCCCACCCCACCCCCACCCGGCTTAAACCCACCAATCAGAGTGTTCTTAGCCTAATTGCAGGGCGGGGCAAGGCTTTATAAGCCTTCCCCAGCCCTGCGGAGTTCAGTCTGCGCGGAGCCCTCCATGGGTGAAGATGGATTATCTTTTTGCGCTCGGGTTTTTTTTCCGTCGGGTTTTTTTTTTTTTTTGCGCTTGGGATTTTTATTTTAATTTTCAATTCAACGGTTATGATGGTTTTTTTATTTGGCCTTTTTTGGGGCTGAAAAAAGAAGATTTGAGGAAAAAGAAGACGTCGAATGGTAAGTTTAATTTTATTTTACAGGTTAGTTATTTTATCCCCCCCCTCACTATTTTTTAGGGTGAGGGGGGTAGGTAGGGACTTTTTTTTTTGGGTGGGTGACTAGGGGACCCCTAGTCACCTTGGGTGGGGGTACTGACTTAGGCCCCACCCACGCTCAGGGGCAGCAGGTCCCTCCCATTTCATTATGGCCCCACCACTTCCAGGGTGTAGGGCGGGGGCAGGCCTCCTCATTCTTCACTCATGGCCCCCACCTCAGGGTAGGCCGGGGAGGACAGTAGGTCCCCTCCCCCATTCTCATTATGGCCCCCACCCGCCGCCCAGGGGTGGGGGCCGGGGGGGGCAGTAGGTCCCCCGCCCTCATTCTCACTATGGCCCCCACCCGCCGCCCAGGGGTGGGGGCGGGGGGAGGACAGTAGGTCCCCCCCCATTCTCATTATGGCCCCCACCCACCACCCAGGGGTGGGGACCGGGGGGGGAGTACTGCCCCCCCTCATTATCTTCATGGCCCCCACCCGCCCATGTAGGGGCCCGGGGGCAGGCCCCCATTCTATTATGGCCCCACCCCGCCTAGGGTGGGGGCCGGGGAGTACTGCCCCCCCTCATTCTCACTCATGGCCCCACCTGCCAGCCAGGGGTGGGGCGTGAGACTAAGGCAGGTCCCCCCTCATTATCTTCATGGCCCCCACCCGCCGCCCAGGGGTGGGGGAGTACTGCCCCCCCCTCATTCTCACTGTTTAGGGGTGGGGGCCAATAGTTGTTTTTTGTTTGTTTTTTTACAGTGAGCAGCCACAGGTAGGGGCATGGGGGAGATTTTAATCTCCCTTGTGCTATTATGGGGGTCATATTGACCCCCATAGAGTGAGAAGGGGACCTGGGGGGGCTTAGGAAGTGGTGGGGAGCACTACTCCCTGCCGCTTCTATCTTTACATATTACAAGGAGGGAGCTGCGTGCCAGTAATAAACTGAACGAACAAACATACACTGATACATTGTGTTTGTTTGTTCGGCTGATATTTTTATTCACTCATTCGTCTGTCTGATGAATGAATGAATAGATGAAATTCCCGTTCGCATGTCCAGGTGTTTCACTGGGCATGTGCGGGAATCTCAGTGCTATCTAATGTGGGCAGATGACGTGTCCCACAGGGACTTCACCTACCCACACAAAGATGGCGGCGCCCAGAATATAGATCGGGGCAGAAAATAAGGATTAAAAAAAATAGGTAATGTGGGGGGCTTAGGGGCGACTAGTGAGTCAAGTGGATGTAGTGGAGACGGGAGAGGGGTAAAAAAGCAAAAAAAAAAAAAAAGAATTCGGCATGACAGTGCCGCTTTAAGGAATTACCTAGTTTAGTTAATAAGTCAGTAGTAAGCTAAAGTGTGAGCGAAATGGATGTCATTCAAGGAATAAATTATTGGGGCTATTCTACTAGAGGACGTGGACAATCCCTATCCACATACTCTGTGCATCAAATGTTCACTGCATGCCAGCCAGACATGAACAGACTGATAAAAATAAAGTGCTTTATAGAGAGTTGTAGCAAGCCAGGAGTCTAAGATTCTTTAAATCTCAAAACATAAAAAACACATTTATGGGAGGAGGGGGGCCTGACTCAAGATGGCCGGACGCATTTGCTAGCAGCTCTGGCCACTGAAATCTTAAAACCGTCTTAAAATGGTCTAAACAGCCTAAGCAGCAACGGAACTCGATCCAGAACACAAAAACGCTACCGAGGGGACATTTATGACCCTCAAAAATCCTAATCTGGAGCAGCAATTCATCGTCTGGCACACGGCCTAAAGAGACTGCGGACCCATCGGTGAGGAGAGAAGGCCGCTCTCCCACTGGTGGCCGTGTAGCTTGCAGCGACTTTCTCCCCCCCCCGGACCGGTGGGGGATATCCCGGTCCCTGCTGGGGAACTCACCTCACAGCTGAGCCGAAAGAAGCGGATCCAGAGACAGCGTGGTGAGCTCAAGATGGCCGCCAACCTGCAACCCCCAACATAACAATCCATCCCAGAGCACCAGAACTGGGCAGCTATATTAGAAGCAAAGTTCGAACAGCTATGCCAGGAATTTTGGAATAAGCCAGCGCCCGCAAACACACACAGCGCCCAAGCCACTCTTACGAGATCCACCCGGTACTGCAGCGACCATGAGTACTGGGAAGCCCCCGCTACACTCACCCCTCCAGGGATGGCCGACCTCACACGGCAGAATGCCCCACACGAGGAAACGGCGACTGCGGGAGAGACCGAAGCGTGCCAAGCGCCATCGGAAGCCTGGCTGCACTACCACACGCCCAAAACGCAATCTGCTTGGGGTCCCTATCCCCTCCATGGCCCACATAGCATGTACAAGAAGCCGATGATCGATGAAAACGGATGGAGCTACAAGTCAAGCGACACGGTCTGGGACAGGAGGGATGCCTTTCTGGGGACTCTGGAACTCTCACCTAACCTCTATCGGGTTGGTGTGGGCTGAAACTGACTGGCTATGGGACATTTGTATCTCGGCTTGTGTATTTAAGCTGTTGAAAGTTTCATGTTGTTTGGGGGACCCCAGCGGTTTCTACTCTTTCTACCCTCACTTACCCTACACTACTCTGTTAGAACTCTCCCTTTTATTTGAGACTGGTTCTCGGTATTCTGTGTAGTCTTAACATTTGTCTCTAATCAATCTCAGTGTACCTTGCCTACTGGCAAAAATGGCAGGTTTTCACGCATATGACAGTCCCACTTAAATGGCACCCAACCTGCTCAGCGAGTTAAGCCTGATTATTGTGTCCTCTAGCCAGCCTATACTCTACGTGACATACACCTGATGGCATGGTAGGATCACCCAATCTATGTGCACTGAGGACCATTTCTCTTTGATAATAGTTGTATTACACAGTTCCTTAATCTACTCTCACAGACCAGTTGGTAAACAAAATTTTGAGAATTTACTGCAATATAGCAACCTGGACGTATGCTATCTAGCCTGTAACAATCATCTTATTAACAAAAATGTGCTTACTTATCAAGACCATGAAACTGTTTTGCTTGTCTTATCGTATGCTTGCTAATGCTACTGTGGCCTTGCAAAGCTATTTGTATTACTCTGCACACAAAAAGCATTTAAAAAAAAAATAAAATTTATGGACTCACACTATCCAAACTAACCATGTACCACCACATTTATTCTATTTCTCAGCAAAGTGGATGACGAGAGCATATGGTGATCTAATGAGATAAGCAGTAGAACTGTGCTTCTGATGGCACTGGCCTGTCTCTCCTGCTCCCTTTGCTCAATTATATACAAAAGAGAAAAAAAAATTTTTATTTATTTTTTTAAAACCGTATATACTCTAGTATAAATCGACCCGAATACAAGTCGAGACCCCTAATTTTACCCCCAAAAAACTGGGAAAACTTATTGACTTGAGTATAAGACTAGGGTGGGAAATGCAGCAGCTACTAGTAAATTTCTAAATAAAATTATATCCCCCCCAAAAATTTATTTAATATTTATTTACAGTGTGTGTGTGTAGGAGTGCGGTGTGCGTGCAGGAGTGCGGTGTGTGTCCGCGTGTAGGAGTGCAGTGTGCGTGTGATGCAGAGCCTTGGTGGGAGGTAGGCATTTTTATTAATTTTTTTTTAATTATTATAATATTTTGTTATATTATTAATATTTTATTAAATTTTTATTTAGATTTTTTCGTCCCCCCGCCCTGCTTGTTAGCTGGCCAGGGAGGGGGGGCTCTCATTCCCTGGTGGTCTAGTGGCATGGGCAGTGTAGGAGGGGGGCTGGCAGAGAGCTGTAACTTACATTTCCTGCAGCTTCTGTCAGCTCCCTTCTCCTCCCCTGTAAGTCTCGCGGTGTGAGTGCCGTGTGGAGCGTTGCCATGGCTCTGACCCCACAGCTCTCGCGAGACTTGCAGTGGGAGCTGACCGGAGGAGAGAGAAGGGAGCTGACAGGAGCTGCAGGAAAGGTAAGTTACAGCTCGTTGCCAGCCCCCAACAGCACCGCCGGGCTCATTACAATGTAATTTGCCATAATACAGACAGTGACTCGAGTATAAGACGAGTGGGGGTTTTTCAACACATAATGTGTTGAAAAACTCGTCTTATTCTCGAGTATATACGGTACTCTAATACAAACAGATCTACACTCGTGAAGTACAGATCTCCTACTTGAGTACCAAGAAAAAAAAAAAAAAGGGCATCCTAGGTGGAGTGCTGTGTTTCAGCATTACTGGGGTTCATTGGAGCCAGTTGCAACTGCACCCACAGATGGCAGAGAACCAAACAAGTCGATTTAAGGTACAGCTGATAAAATAATATTGCCGTGAGATTAACTGCACACATAGGAACTCAAATAAGAATACATACAACTAGTATGTAGAGTTCTAGAAAATTCACCATGGTGATGCAACAATATCAACTGATAAAGTGATGTGAAACCCAGAACCACAGTATTAAGTTACTACTCGACTGCTACATGAATACTTGCAGACCATTGATGCAGCTGTCTGCACAAATACGAGAACTGTCCCACCACTTGTTCTGTGGATACCCAGTTTTCTAGGTTTGTAAATTACTGGATAAACCGTTTTATGCCAACGGAGCTTTCCTTAATCTACCCCCTAGAATGCCATCCTATGCTTGTGTTGGTTTACACACACTCTGCAATGCCAATAGAACATTCTTCGACTGGAGAGAAAAAGAGATGTGTTCAATCATGCAACTGAAGCAGTGAAAGGTTCATTAGCCATAGATAAAACCCCACAAGATAATGGATGGAAAATATGAAAAAAAAAAAAAAAATTAAAAAAAATACATCATTAGGGAGAGTGTTGGAGAGCAGTGAAATAAAATGTGGGGAGATGCAGGGCCGTAAGAAGGTACAGAATACTATACTTAATGTATCTCATTCAATATGACTTCTCTCACCCGATCACGATTATTTTTCATTAGAGACACATTGGCTGTGGGAAACGAACAAAGGATTCCAGCAGGAGGGTTACAAGAGGAGCTGCAAAGATAGGAGGCTTGATTTGTCATATTTAGTAGATACATATCAAAGTCATAAGTATGTGAATAAGTCTTCCCCAAATATTGAAAAGCCCAAATGTCAAACTCACTTAATTTAATCCCCAGTTCAGGCAGTATTAATCTATGGGTGTTCTTCACAAGTCAGTAAATCATAGAGAATTTAAGTCTGAAGCTTTGCTTTGACTATAGTTGTATTAGACTCAGAACTTTTCTAGATCAGCTATACAAGCCTGAAGTTTGCCATTTGTTCTTCATTTTGCTTCAGTTCAGTAAAAATATCCTGTAAGTGCTCTTGCTTATTTTCCAGGAAAAGTTTAAAGGGTCACTCCAAGCATCATAACCACTACAGCCCGTAACAGTTTACCCTCTTACTACAGTCTCCACCGGGTGCCGAGGGTCCTCTAATGGTGGACCGTGACAAGCATTCGATTTCTGCAGATGTACAGAAGCCAGATACCAATCCTACGGACCATTCATTGGCTGACAGCGTCAACTGGGTGTTCTCAGACAATGAATGACATTCTGTGCATAGAAATCTACATAGAATTGAAGATTATGCTAGCGCGGTGTACTAATAATCTTAATTTTAATAATGACAGAAGGCGAATATTTTGCATTAACTTTCTTTACTAACTCCATAGCAGCAAAGAAAAAAAAAAATAGAAAAAGAACCAATCAGAGCATATATAAGTCCAAGCACGACCAATCATTTCCTCTTGACTAATGCGACATCACAAGTCAATAATGTAACAAATAACATGTCCGATCCAACTTGAAACCAATAATGGAATTGAGGCATCCTAGTAATCCATAAAACTTGTTAAACTGAAAGAAAAGACAGACTAGTATCAGTGATACGGAATCGACCGTATGAAAACATAAGTATATGAGTATATACATAAATCCTTATAATGACTAATCTGACTAACCATAAATGTTATCATATAGAGTCAATCCACAATGATAAAAACATCAGCAATCCAAACCATAGTTCATACCAGTATAAAATTTTAATCTTTAGAATTAGACTAGTACCCATTAATTCTAATTTACCTCAGATTAGGGTGGGAACATCAAGTCGAAAAGGGAGGGAAAATATTCGCCTCCTGTCCTTATTAAAATTAAGATTATTCGTACACTGCGCTAGCATAATCTTCAATTTTACAACATGACAGGAGGCGTCATATTTTGCAATTTTAACGCTTAGGTAGAAGAGCGAACGCGGTGTTGGACGGACGGAAATAGAATGTCTGGAACATCTGTTTGCGGGACCAGTCCGCCGTTATTAATATGTCTGCTAGGGATGCACCCACCAGAAAAAACAAAAAACGATGATGTCGTTGCCCCTCGCACAGAAGTCGCGTCAAAAGACGGGCCTAAACTGGTTAGGGAGAGGAGCCATTGATCCATCTGGCCAGTGTGGTGACCGACACCAGACTGTGAGGGTTAACATATGTCACCCAGGTTACCAAGGATAGGCGTCCGTCCAGTAGCATAGGGTGTGGTTTTCCCAATGGGTCCCTGAGTAGGGTGGAGTCGTTCGGCAGCAGAATTGGATCCTCGTAGGACATCGAGGAGTTCTGGCATCCAGGGGTGGTTCAGCCAGAGGGGCATCCAGAGGGTTACTTATTACTCGTCTCCGGATGTGGTGGAGAACTCTCGCAATCATATCGAATGGTGGAAAGGCCCCTGTGATGGCCAGCGTTGGTTGAAAACGTCCACCGCCAAGCATTGTGGTCTGAGAGCCAGCTGTAATTGCGGTAGTTGATTGTTGCATGGTGTAAACAGATCCAGTAGGAAGGGTCCTTTCTGTTCATTCAGGTAGGCGAATATCTGCGGGTTCCACTGCCAGTCGCTGGCGTCTCTCCAGTGTCTGGAGTACCAATCTGCGATAGGGTTCGGCCCTCTGGTAAATGTTCTGCACATATCGTGATTTTGCGTGGGAGGCAGTAGACGAAGATTTCCTTCCAGTTTTTGTGAATGATTCCCTCCCAAGTTGTTGATGTACCGTACTGCAGATATGTTGTCCATCCGTAGAAGTATCCGTCCTTTTGTTAGGTTGCGTATAGCAAAATGACCCCGTTAGTAGTTCCAGGCAGTTGATATGCATCAAGAGTTTCCTGGGTTGTCCACGTTCCCCCCGTGGATTCCTCCCCACCCGTGGCGCCCCATCCCAGTCTGCTCACGTCCGATTCCGGTCCGAAGTTCGGGTGGTTGCCGGAGATGGACCGACCGTTCCATGCAGTTGTGCCCCCATCCAAGTTCTTGTATAGATAATGGAAATGCACACTATCCCTTGTCCTGGAATCCTGGGTGCAATAGGCTGGATTAGCCCCAGTACCAAAAGGAACCAAAAATATCAAATATAAATGTAGAAAAGAATCCAGGCACTCCAGGGTTTTCCAATAAATAGGCAATTTTATTGGGCCAAAGCACCAAAAAACAATGTTTCAACCCTTAGGACCTTAAGGGGTCGAAACTCTGTTTTTTTGGTGCTTGGGTCCAATAAAATTGCTTATTTGTTGGAATACCTTGGAGTGCCTGGATTCTTTTCCCCATCCAAGTTCTTGGCGCACATCGTCCGTCAGCGGAACTGGTTGGTTATACGTGGCACTCCATCGAAGGAAGCGGGCTCTCAACCGTTGCATGGCACGAAAAGCAGGGGCCTGGAAATATGGCTTGTCTTGTTGAGAAGGGTAGGCCAACGATCTGCGTCAGTTTTCAGAGCGGAATGGAGTCGAGCTTGAGTACTCTGCGGCTCTCTTTCCGGATGGCCGTCGCTTTGGTCAACGGGAGTATGCGAGACCTGGAGTTTATCTCCAAGCCCAGGAATTGGATTTCTTGCATGGGGTCATACCTGGTCTGGCTCTGTTGACGATGAAACCCGAGGACTCCAACAATTGTACCATATAGTCAGTATGTTGTACGGCCAGTTCGCTCGTTCTGCAGACTAAGAGTATGTCATCCGGGTAAGGGTTACATCTGATCCCCTGCGTTCTGAGGTGTGTTACCCGTGGTCTCAACATTTTGGTTAAGTACCCTGGTGCGGAGTTTAGTCCGAGAGGGAGACAAGTGAATTGCCATGAGAAGCCGTGCCACAGTAACCAAAGGAAGGGGCGGCTGACTTTGTGAATTGGGATCGACCGGTAGGTGTCCTTGAAATCTAGACACTTAAACCAGTCCCCTTCTTGAAGGAGGTCCCTTAGTAAGTGAAGGTCTACCAATTTGAAGTGGCAGTAGGTCACCTGGGCGTTCCGGTCTCTTAAATTTATCCTGATCTGAAATCCTGGTTTTCTTGCGGGCGAGGAACATGATGCTGAAGAAGCCCCCTTATTTGCACATGGGTTGTATAGCGCCCTTCATGCGTAGTTCGCGGAGCTCCACTTCTATGAGGTGAGCGTCCGAAGTTGAGAGGTATAAGGGATGAGGAGGGTACCTCTGCACGGGGAACGTTTATAATTCGATGTGGTGCCCATTGACCTTCTGTAACACCCTTAGCATCTGTGGGTAGTTTTGCCCAATTCTGGGAACAAAGAGAAACACGGCCGGCAGTCATGTTTAGTTGAGATCTTGATAAGTGGTGGTCTATTACCTATGGGGGACTCTTGCGCAGATATATCCCTGACCACCCCGTCCTCTGTCTGTGTCCCTTTGGTAGTAAGGGTAGTGTTGTCTACAGCCGATGTGCTGGTAAGCTTGTTGGCCTGTTTGGGGTCAATACGGAAAAGTGCTGCGCGGCACCGCTCTAATGAGAGGTCCGTATTGGTATTCTCGAGAAAGCAGAAACCCCTCTGGGTCCATTCTCGAATATCATTTGCCAATTCACGCATCATGTCCACAGTAAATGAGTCTGCTCTGGCATAAGCTTCGCCAGGTATATCACACGGGCCAGTGGCCCCATCGTGTCCAAGAGTTTGTCTTGTGCCCCTTTAAAGCTTCTCTCGACCCCTTTGTGCGGGTCGTCCCTTCGCTCCATAAAGGCCAGCATGAGTTGGTCAAACTCTGGCATGCAAAGCCACCTTGTTTGGCAGGGGTGGTCTGGGGCACGTTTCTCCAGGGACTTGCAGGTCCAAAGTGCATGACCCTGAGTAGGTGCCCATTCCCCAGAGCGGGGGTGCCGTATGTTCCTGAGGTCAAACATCCTCTGCCCCGTGGCGTTCAGGAATATCTCCTGTTCCTGTGTAGCAACTGTAGCGGATGGCTCCACATCTCCTTCACACTGGGGCTCACCCAGGAAGGTCTCCTTCATGTAGGCGTTGGGAGCCCCACTCGGCCTCGTCCGAATCTAAGACCTCTGCCTGCCACTCATCCATGAGTGGAGAGGGATTGGGGCATTTCCTTGTCCTCATCCAAGGAAATCTCTTGAGTTTTGTATGTGGGGCTGTGGTCGTAGGGCACTTACTGCGCTTCAGCGGTGCCTTGCCCTTGTTAGCGGCCTTTTGGACTGCTCGCCCGTCTAGTGCCGTTTCGCCGGGCGTAGTCTCTCCTTGGAATCATCTGAGTCCTCCCTGCTGTGGGAATGATTGCAAACAGTCTTGATAGGTTCAGAGGCCGTTGGTAACACCTTCGCCATTGCCTTCTCCAGGACGCAGCAACTGCGTTGATCATGGTTTGAAGGTCAAATCGGGTTCTGTGTGTCCTTCATAATTCGGGCACTAACAGGCACAGGCATGAGGGTCGAAGGGACCTTGTGGGACGGATGTAGACAGCCCGTTAGGCCGTATAATGTTTGTCACCCAGTGGCGTGGAAAAAGCAGACTCTCTAACGCTGGGGTTCACCCAGAAATTCGGAACTGCTTTAACAGGTTCCGTTAGGCAGCATTCAGGGAATTACCCAAATCGGGGCTCACCCCTTGCCAAACTACTAGGGTATACCTTAACTGGCAGTCCTACTCCCCTGGGGTAGTCAAACTAACCTGCAGAGGTCCCTGTGAGAAAACTGGAATCATCTCTCGTCAAATCTTCAGCCGGTTTGCCTTATCGTGATGAGTGTGGTTCCGCCAAAACTACACCAACCAAATGGTTGCCGCGGGTCTCACAAGAGACCCGAGGTAGCTGACAGGAAAAAAAGCCAGCGAAAACCGTTCGTGGGGAAGGGGAGTAAACAGATACTGCTTATAGCGTTCGGCAGAAAAGTAACGAACGGCTGTTTTTCACGTTGAATTCACGGACGGAATTTGTATAAATTAATCGTGCAAAACTAGACGAATAGGTGGGCTTGGTTGGCCCATTCGCGTAGAAAGGCACGAACAGTAATTGGCCGCTCCGTTCGCACAAATATAGTGCGAACAGGCGGGGGGAGTCAGTCAGACATCTGTTCGTGCCTTGCAATGCGCGAACAGAGTGACTGCCCGCTCTGTACGCACAGATTACAGTGCAAACAGCGCGGGAAAGGAGTGAAAGTGGCGAACGTAGCCACCATAAGGGGGAGGTGAAACGCCGTTGCCTCAAAAGAGGCTTCTAATGAAAAGAGAATAAAAATATCACATGAAAAAAAAAAAAAAAAAAACACGCTATCCAATATCCCATAACCTGGACATACTGACATTTCTATGCCTGTCTATCTAAATCTCACAAGTTTACAATTCATCAATACAGCACAGAGATTATATTTATTCTCCGTTACGGAGGGGAGAGGGGTTAACCCCTGCAATGGTTAACAGCCCAATGGATATTAAATACTAAGGGATCCCCTGCCACCCCCAGGACAGTAACATAAACACAATACTGTGTTGGGTGTTGTATTGGGCAGACTAGATGGGCCGAATGGTTCTTATCTGCCGTCACATTCTATGTTTATTATAATAATAATTAATTCTAATGCTGCTATAAAATTATATATATATATATATATATATATATATATATATATATATATATATATATATATATATATATATATATATATATATATATATATATATATATACATACACACACACACACACACACACACACATACATATACACACACACACACACACTATACTTGGAAAATAATACAGTGTCTCTTTAACTATAAGATTATAATACATTTGAAAAATGACAGTTAAGAAATTAGTACTCTGACCTGTTACTTGTGATGGAGCAGCAAAGAAAGAGGAAATTATTGGTCATGCTTGGACTTATATATACACTGACTCGCTCTGATTGGTTCTTTATTTCAACTGTTTTTTTCTTTGCTGCTATGGAGTTAGTAAAGAAATTTAATGCAAAATATGAAGCCTCCTGTCATGTTGTAAAATTGGCATTAACCAGCTCAGAACTCTTGTTACATTATACCACCAGCAGCAATGAGGCTGTGTATGTGCATAAATAAGATAGAAGTAGTTATTGGTGTTTGGAGTAACCTTTTAAGCAAAACAATAGCCAAAACACATTTGATTTCCTCTGGCAAAGTGACATCTGTTTAGGCATCAAAATAACAGACTATGTAGGTTTATTCAACTTTATCATACGATAGATACCTGATGTGATTTACCTGGTAATGATAAAAAATAAATAAAAATATACAGATTTATAGAATGCACAGCATATTATCTGTGTGCCAGATTACACCATTATCATTTAGCAATAATTATAAACCAGGGTAGCAAACTTTCATCACTTCAGATGTTGTGGACGTATCTCCCCTGATGTTTTGCCATCATTATGACTATAAAAGCATTATAAGGAAATTAAGTCCACTACATCTGGATGGTCTACCCCTGTCATAGACCATCGATACTTTTATTCTTAAATGTGCATCAATACAGGTGCTAACAAAAAAGACACACACAGACAGACCAGGTAGACACCAATTTCTAATACACAGTAAAGCAATATTAGAGGTTTGAACTACTGACACTGTTTTCTGGGCTTTGTGGAAAATATACAGACCTGTATTGGTAGTGCACAGGGCTGGAGAATTTTACAGTTGGCATGTAGGAGTAGTAGAAGCTACCATACAGGAACACAGACACCCAGAGAAGAAAGATGACTGCACAAACCAGGAGTCCAGCTTGAAGGACTAGTCTGCGTATCCTTAGGAACATCACTACACAAATCTCTTCCAGCCAGAGTAGGGCAGGAGGGGACAATCCTTGGGACATGATACCTCACTTGGGAAGATGGAAGGACATGCCAAGGTGCAAAGTATTAGTCCAAAAGATGGATAATGATTTGGACTGTTGAGGCCTGGCAATTATATTAAACTTGGAGTTGCTGCGATCATGTGGTTACCCTGTGTTCTACAGAGAACGTTCGACTATGTATGAGATGTGGGAGTAATCCTGAATGTAACAAATGCATAAAACAGACTGTATGCATAGCTATCTCAGGGTGACATCAACTGGGTGCATTTGTCAGTCTGTACATGCCAATTGTGTCTAGGTCTGAGATCAGTGGCTTTATAAATGTGAATCTTAACCACCCCCCACACTACTGGGTGATAGAGCACAGAAAGATGCTGGATGGGGGAAAGAAGATTGTGAAATTGTCAAGAAGCCTGGAGTTTTGGCAGCCTGTGAAGAGAGAAAGCTATTTAAGATCACTAGATCAACAATTCATTTATTTTCCATGTTATTTATACCTTAACATTATAATATGGTACAATTATATATACAGGGCTTAAAATTTTAAATCCTACATTACTAGCTAGACCACGTCGGTTACTCTCCGGTCCAAGCCTGGAGGATCCGTGGTACTCATTGGGACTGAATTTCTACTCACCACAGGGTAACTTTCACTCACCAATGGCAACTGGAAACTTTGAGTTTTGTAATATAATAAAAGGGAACACAATGTATATTCTTACAATCTGTGCTGAAAAGTACATTATGTAAAGAAATATACGATTGCTTCCATTTTTTTCCCCCCTGCCACTATCACAAGTTACATTCTCATGTACCAACTATTGGTACTATATAGAACATAACAATAACAAGCCATTTCCAAAATCCTGCTTCTGTAAGGATTAATACAAACAATTTATCGTATGACTTATTAAAAAGCAACCATTATGGCACTGTATGCTACTCAACATTAGGAAGGTGCATTTTGCAGAAATAGCAATGAAATAGACAGATCTCACACTGCTATGACTTTCTATATTGCCTGCAACATAACTTAAATACGCTACATAGTTCACTTCTTTTAGCTTACCATAACTATTTCACTCTTTCTAGCAGTAATCAAAACCAATGCAGAGAGTCAAATTTCCCTACTTTTAGAACAGCAATAGCTGTGCCATGGAAAGTAAATTAAACTATGTGATGACCCGGTTCCAAATGCTGAAAAACTATCAAGCTGCATACAGGGGCATTCAGACCTATGGGCACTATTCCACTATTTAACAATGGTCTGTTTTTTGCAAGATTGGTTTCTGAATCTGGTCCAGATTTTAAAGGGTAAGCAATATGTCAGCAAACCGAGACACCACAACTCAGGGTTGTTTACACATCCTGACAAAAAAGTATTTATACAAAAAAAAAATAATACATTACAGCATAAAAACTTAACTGCTAAATAACCATGGATAAGCTACTCTATAGAGGAGCTGTGTTGTAGTAGTCCAATTCACCACAGAACAAACAGCAAGTCATTCATTTTACAGAAGACCAAAAACAACCAAATTACACGCCTCGCTTCCACAGATAAATCCCACTTCATCCAATTACACAGCAATTCCTCTTGGAAAAACAAAATTATTAATTCACTAGACTCTGAATGATGGCAAACTGAAAATTTGGATATAAACAGCCAAACTGTTAGGATTTATTATTTTTTTTTCCAGATCAACAATTTAAGCTTAAATCATTTCAGATTCTAATTCATTACAAATCAGTGTTTGGAAAATAAAACTAATGATTCAATTTCTCAGTCACTCCAACCTCAATACTAGGGAATAGTACACTCACCCCATAGCTCTCTAATTAAAATACATTTTCTGAAGACAATTTCAATGCATTGATTAGTAGTTGCAGTTCACTTTTCTCTAACTTCTCTGTTTTTCTTAACAATTTGGATGCACCAATCACCCATTTCAGACACTATTTGCCCTCTGTCCCAGACAAATCCCCTGGGGCTCCATATATTGTGAAGTGTGTGCCCCCCACAATGCTAAGCCAGCCTGGGGCTAATTTAACATCATGAGAGAGATATACATTCACTCACAACATCTGAAGTGCCACAAGTCCCAGATAACTGTCCCAAAAATGAGAAATAATGAAATGCTATCCACCTGCAGCAGCCCAGCTCACACATTGCTCTGGTATCAAGGTATGTCATGCCCTCCCTCCTCCCATTACTACCTATGTCAGCATTTTAACTCCAACTTCCTCAAGCTCCAGAAAATGACTCCTCTCCTCCCATCTGCATCCACGCCTCCTCCACTCCTCACTCAGCATTGAATGTCGCAATTATCACACTCTCAGCACCTTTTGCAATACCCCAGCCAATAGCAGATCATCTTTCATAAGCTTCGCCGCTAATACTTACTAAGAAGGGAACTGTGATTGGATGAAGTCGAGGAGGCTGGTTGGCAGGTGGATGGCAAATAGAATTGTGGGCGGTGCTTAGTGTAGCACAGTAAGGGCTCTGCATTAGTCCTGCTTGGTTTACATAGTGCAGTGTTTGAATAATACATATCACTGCTTGCTGGGTTTTTAACTTTATACTGAGTGGTCATTCTAATGCCATTGCAAACTCATTGTTGTGCAGCTGAGACAGAGAGAGATGTGAAGATGTTTGTGAATCATGCATTAATGCTGATTTGTTAATTCTGAGTTGCTATTATTAAAAATGGTATTATTATTATTCATTTTAAAGTGCCAACTTATTCTGCAGTGCTGTACAAGGATGAAATTGACTTTATAGTATGTTGAAATACACTGTCATTCCAATGCATTCACACAATTTACAAAAGACAAAGTGTAGAAGGAATGTGCAAAACTTTTTGTCTTGATTTCTCATTTGAGATCAGCCACCTCTTACAGCTGATTGGAAAAAGCATCTTAATTTATGATACACAACATAACATGCTCAAGGGGACCTGTGGAAGATCTTGTGTTGCATTATCTTTTAGAGATCTGTAACATCTATGGAAGATTTGCGCATGCATAAAAGAACAAAGCTGAATCAGCTTCTGTTAGTATAATCTGATTGACAGGAGTAAAATGGTGGCACAAGGAAGATAAGGTAAGTATATATCCCCTTTGTCCCATGTACCAACATGCATCCAACATGTCACCCCACTAGTGACTAGGATGACTCACATGATTTGTATACACACAATCTACACATTGCACTGGCAAAATCACCAGCAAATTTATAAATGGAGGAATGTACTGACCAATGGATTTCAGGATGGGTTACTAATATTGGGAAATGGGGTTTTGGAGCTCAGATTCCCTGGTGCCCAGATAAGGTGACCCCATGGAGGGGTTTGGGTTATGTTACATTTGATTGTATGGAGGACAACCTGGAGGAGGAATTTCACATTTGAACTTTATATGTAGAGAAAGTGTGTTCATTTTACCCCTACATTAAGGCTTTCCACAGCAGCAGAAGGAGCTCCAGGCAGAGGACGTAGCCACCCTCGCTCCCTAGCGTCAGGGAGGGATTCATGACTGCTGACCCATCACACATATCAAATAACGGCCACAGCTTTATTAAATTTTAAACTTTAACATTATCCAAAACCCTGTCAGCTGTTGAGTAGATGCCCAACAGACAGTTCTCGGCACTTGCCATCAGCTCCCGTGAAAGCTGTTATCTCCCCAAAGCGACTCTTCGTCTTATCCTTTTTCCCCTTTGCGCTGTCCAGGATACCGCCAAGCTGTATCCCCACCCACAACAAGACACCAAACCGCCAAAGCCCAAAACAGGGTGGGAGGGCAGGAAAGTCAGTCTTCTCCTGTCCCTTGCCATCCTTACCCAACCTCACCACAATAGAAATACCCCTGGCTGGTCCCAATTCCATCCTTACCCCACCTCACTACAATAGAAATACCTCTGGCAGGCCCCCTTTCCCTTCTTATCCCCTACCGCCACAGTAGAAAGTACCCCTGTGACAGGTTCCCCCTCCGCCCTTACCCTGTCTCACCACAATAAAAGTACCCCTGACAGTTCTGTCTTCTCTCCTTAACATTCATAGTAAAATTGCCTCTGGAAGCCTCCTTTCCCTCCTTATCTCTGACAATAGTAACAATACTGCAGGTAAACCTGTGTTCACTTGCTCAAAAAACACGCCTACCTTTGCTTCTTATCCCCCACCATCACCACCACTTCACAATAAAAAATATCACTGGTAGGCCCCCATTCCCACTCCAAACAGTAAACATACAACCCAAAGAAATACAGGAAAAGGGCTGCACCAATAGTTAAAAGGTACAATAGTTCGTCTGAATAGGTAGGGCAATATAACGTAGTTGGTCTCACTGATATGGTGGGACTATTTGATGGTGGGATTATTTGATAAAGCCCTAGTGGTGAAATGTTTTATGGCTAACCCATTTGATAACACCCTAATGGTGAAACGGTGTATTATTATTATTTTTATTATGGTTATTTTGATTGTGTATTTTTATTTATACAATTTTGTACCAATCATCTTTTTAATACACTTTTTTATTTGGAATCTTTTACCTGGCTTCCTTTTACCTTCGTGTGACTCCAAGTATATCCGAGGTGGGGATCATACCACCAACGCTAACATAATAGTGCAGTACATTTTTATTTATGTTTACTGCATATTTTATTCTACTGAGAGCACTATTGGCTGTCTTTTATATACCCCTCTCCTGAGTGTTGGATACCATCCCTCTGGAGAACTCCCATCACATATCTTTTAAAGCAGGGATTATACCACTGTACGCCTGCACATATTTGTTTATTTTACCCATATTGGCTTTTATAAACTGCACCATTGGCTCTCCTAGTTTTTGTCTTGCATAAAAGTGGGACGGTTGAACGACTAGGGACATGGAGGACTCTACACCCCAAAAAAGGCACCTTATAAAGATACTTACTTCTGAGTGAGACCTAAATATTATCGGACTTTACCTTCAGTTACTCCATCAGAACTTTAGTCCTACCATATTAGTAAGACCAA